ATAATTAATTTTTCCCCCCATTCATAATTAAAATTATGAAAAAAAAAAAAAAAAAAAAAAAAAAAAAGAAAAGAAAAGCTAATAATTTGATTGTACAGCATTGCGAATGTCAACGAGTTGTCTGTGTGTGTGAACTTGATTCTTATGTTGTTCATATATTGTCTATATAATTGAAATGATCAAAAATGATTTTCCATTTGATTCTCAATGACGATGATTCAATCATGCACACACACATTTACTTATAAATCCCTATATATACGAAAAAAAATCACAAAGTTTTCATTCGGGATAAACAAGTGAAAAAAAAAGAAAGAAATAAAACAGACGATATTAAAGAGCCCGCCATCGAATTATAACTGATAGAAGCCAAATCAATGATAATAATAATAATAATTTTTATTATTTGAAGTATGTTGATCATAATATAATGAACAACACCGTGTCTGTATGTGCACCTCTCTTTTTCTCAATCTTTTTTTTTTTTTTTTTGAGTATGGTACGTTCCCGAACCACTACAAAATTTTTTACTATAATTTTTATTTCCGTTATTATTTTTATTATCATTTTTAGGATATTTACCCTATATGTTGATGACCGTAATCATTCATTCATTCGTTCTTTCATCACAGACACCATGTGGATGTCAATTTCAATTTCCAACTATTTTGTTCTCGTGTGTAATCATAGAAATTGTATTGTCAAGTGTGTGCCAGTGTGTTGATTGTCATAAATATCATTAGATTGTATAATAAAGTAACTTTGATTGATATTTTCTTACTAATAGAAAATTCCACTGAAGATTGACAATCACCATTTGAAAGCTGTAATCAGAAACGGAAATAATAAAACCAACAGACAGAGACAGAGAAAGTCTATATTCTGATTCCAAAATTCTGAACACCACCAGAATTCGAACTTTACAATGGTAGATGGCGTTCATAAATCCAAATAAGTATCAAAGCAAAGAATTTTCTTTTTTCGATCAAAGAATTGTAATGAAAAATCTTTATAACAATCATTTAAACGTGTAAATAAATACCTTCGCTATACAATATCCTTAACCCAGTGACCTTTGGTCTTGATAATCAACATATCAATTCAATTACATAAGTCTAGACATAGTGGTAGATGTGATAATTATAAATGATAGAAATTATAACTGTGTAATGATGATCACAGTTTTTTTGAATAGAAAAAAAACAAAACAAAATGAGAGAGAAAAAAAAAGAAAGAATAAATAAATAAACAGACGACATGAAATATTTTCGACAAGAACCAAACGAAAAAAAAAATCTATTCAAACTCCAATATGAACCAAACATAACACACACACACACAATGAATCGGCTGACTGACAACGACGCGTACACAACAAAAAAAAACTGATGGCCACATAGTGAAAAGAGAAAAATAGGGATTGATTTAAGTAAAGTGTCGGTCTGATTCTTTTCGTTCACATTTCTGTATATACTACCAAATGAGGGGAAACAAAAAATTTATTTGGCGACCTGATGATGCCGGCTTGGTTGCCGCTTTTTAAAAAAACGGAATTAATAGATAGGAATGTATAAAAAAAAGTGAGAGCAAAAAACAGCTGATTCAGTTACATAATATTATACACAAGACTCTGCATTCATTTATCAATTTATATTGATGAAATGGTCAAATCATATTGATTTTCATTATTATTATTTTGATTATATCACTTGTCAGTATTATTTTTTTTAATTACAGCAAACATTAAATATATTCTTTTACTTATTCTATGTTGATATTTCAATGATAAAATTGTCCAATTTATTCTTTTATTTACATTTGTTTATTTTTGACCAAGAATTATTTTTGTTTTGGGTTTCTTCAGAGATAATAGCAGACACCCATTTCTATGCAGAAATAAATACTTTCAGACTTGATCAATTTGATAATTGGTTAAAACCATTATCATTGATCAATGCATAGTAAATTCTAACAACAACAACAACAACAACAACAACAACAACAAAATGAAACATACAAAGAAAATTATTGTGAATGAAAACCTAGATATTAGGAAAAAATTAGTTATTATTATTATTATGTCAGTCAAAGGACATTGCCGTTATAAAAATTAATCTTTGGCAGTGACCGTCATTCATTCATTCATTCATTCATTAGTAGTTCCTGAATGATTAATGTTATGTGCGGATCTCTTTCTCTTTTTCTAAAATATATTATGACTGACATTTAATGTTCATTTTTTTCATTCGATTCTTTTTTTAGGAGCCACGTTATGTTATGTTATGCGTTGTTGTTGTTGTTATTATTTTGTTGGTATGTCTGTGTCTATCTGCCGGTCGGTCGAATGCGTTCGAATATTGTTGATTTTGATGCTGTTGCCAATCGTTACACTATTATTATTATTATTATTATTACTAACAGATGATGATGATGACGGGCAAGAAATAGAAGGGGAAAAAATTTAAATTTTTTTATCATTATTTGGCGCGAACCAAAACGATAATTATGATGGAATTTGATTAGTTGATCAATGTATCATTTTATATTTTATTATCATATCAACAATTATTTATTTTTTAGTATAAAACAACGTGGCTGATGGTGACATTTTAGATTATTGATTATGGTATTGAAATAAAAAAAAATAATGGCAAACGAACATCATCAACGAAATGTAAAGAGTTTGTTTCATTGTATTCAAATGCGTAATAACAAACAAACAAACAAAAACAAAACTTACCATGTATCTAATTTGATGAATTCTTCTGGTCCACCTTTTTTAAATGACCGTTGATCGGCCTTCAATTTGATAGCATCACGACGAAGCTCATATACAAAACGCCATTGTTTTGGCGATGCTTTTTGGAAGAATGCCAAACTCGAATCTGATGGTTCAACCATTTGGCCGTCTTCCTGATTATCAGATTATTACAGTGTTTTCAATACAGAAAAAAAATGGATTTGTGATTGAATTTTCCAATCACAAAAATGGGCAATGAGGACACCGAATGCAATTGATCACGACGATGACAACGATGATGATGTTGATATTGATGATGGTACAACGCGATCCAAAACAAACAAAAATAAATTTCAAGAATCGAATCTCGATTTTCAGAAACTCAATATGGTTATGTTCAAATAGGAATAATATTTAGGTATTTTGATGATGGCCAAGCCGATACCACCGTAGTTTTATGTCTCTGTCTCCGTTTGTGTAAAAAAAATTGTGTATCGAGACTTGAATCAAATGCTGTTGTTGTTGTGGAGCAGTTTTTTTTTGTGTTGGTTGTTGTCGTATAAAAACTTTACTTTAATCACACCAGTCCAGCAGTGTTTGTGTGGCTTTTGATGAAACAACACAGCCAACGATGATAATAATGATGATGATGATCAAAGCGAGCAATCGACAAAAAAACGAATGAATAGTTTTTGTTAGAAAGATATGAGAAAAAAAACTCCGCACAAAACAACACAACGAAAAAAAAAATTGATATGTTGGCAACGACAACGACAAGAGATTGAAACTCACCAATATAACATGCAATGTATGCATTTGCTTTTGTGCAATGGCAGCAAATGTTCGTAAAAGGCCAACATTTTTATCGAATACGCATGCGTTATTTTTTTTTCCATTACTTTGAAAAGAGCTAAACGAAAAAATTCTCGTTTTTTACTGCATAAATAAATGCAAAAGATTGTGCCCCACCAAAAATCACGCATCAGATTTACGCATGCGGACAGGATATCGAAAATACGTTATATGAACACAACACAATGTTGAGAAGAACAAAAAAAAAAAATGCTTTATGCGTTGGTTTTTTAAAATGAAACTTTTATAACACACTCTCAATAATCTGTGTTTGGCCATAGTCACAATGAAAATGGCCATAGCCATGAAATGAGTTTTTCCATAGCTCCAATATCGATCAGAATAAGAATAGCGGTGAAAACACTGTTTTTCTGGAATATCAAAAAAATATAATTATCGATGGAAAGAATACTTGTGGAATAAAATTAGTAACGGTCAATCGGATAAAATCAAAAATAAATCTTTGAAAAAAAACTATGCAAACTATGTTATTCTTTGCCATGATTAACAACTATTGAATTCCATTCAATTATTGAATTTGACAAGTTCCGGAATATTTTTGTAAAACGATTATGACAGAAAAAAAAAATCAAAATAAGATCTAATTTATCAATGATAATAATCGTATTATATGAAAATGACGTAAATGAAATAATCATCACGAATATATTCGACTTTGATTATTGATCATTGATCATTGATCTTTGTTTTGTAGATATACAGAAAACAAAGATAATACACCCACACTTGTATAAACTTTTCCAATTTAAAAACAAACAAACATCAAGAATTCAGGACAAGTGAATGAAATTCGAACAGGTAAAAAAAAAAATAATAAAAACAAACTTTTCCAAACTAAAAATCCAAATCAAACATACAGCGAGCAAAAAAAAAACAGTAAAAAAAAAATTTCGCGCTAATAATCACAGTAAAAATTTGAATTTATTTAGGAGGTTTACAAGTTTATCCCCCCCCATACACACACACACCATCGATCGAATCGATTTGATAGAGATAGTGTGAGTGAGTGAACGAAAAGAAAAAAGAATGAATGAATGAACCTGAAAGTTACATTTTTATTTAGTATCCAAGTATAGATGTCGTTCGTATTAAATTAATATTTCATTATTTCCTATAGCCGATTTGTATATTGAAATCTCCATCATAATCATTATCCAATCTGAAGATTCTTGAAACAAATTTAACATCTTTCCGGACAATAAGATTTGAATATAGTAGAAAAAATAAACATTGATGATTTGATCGACATGTGCACACGTGTGTTGTAAATACAACACAGAAAGCATGTCGCCGGGCATCATTTTCTTCATTTCACATCAGTCGATTCTTCATTCTGTTTTTTTTTCTGGTTATGTTGAATATAAAGAAAAAAAATAGTTTATCCACTTTTATTTTTTTGGTCTTCATTTCGTTGTCGTCTGTTCAATTATTAGTCAAAGTAATATTATTATTATTTTGAAAAAGAAGAAAAAAAAAAATTTTTTTTCTTTTTAACCACACTATCCGTTAACCGGTGGCGATATATACCATCATATGAAGAAAAAAAAACAACATTACATAACAGAAACATGCACGTTGAGACACACGTTTATATAACAACAACAACAACAAAAAAAAAGATTCAACAAAAAGCTATCAATTGTGAGTTGATAAAGAAACAAAACAAAAAACAGATGACGATTATATAATGATGATGATGATGATGAGAATTCAAATTTAATGGCGCCAAGAAAATTTTTGTTTTTGAATAGGGATGGATTTTTTTTCACTGCCATTTCCTTTTTATTTTTTACCATATGATGATTGTGTCAATCAATTTTTTTCCTTTTTTTTTTTGTTGTTGAAATTTTTTTTTTCCAAATGTCCAGCTGTTCTATTAAGAAAATCATATTTATTAGCATTATATTTCTGTCATATATCGTTCATTAGGAATAAACAAAAAAAAAACCTGATATGGTTCAAATTCATTCATATCTGTTGTTGTTTGTTTTGTCTAGGTCTGTATTTTTTTCAAATTTTGATTATCTATCATTTAGTCGCAATCATACGACTTTACGGCTCTTTTATTTTGCTTGCTGTAATATTTTGCGTTTTTTCCATCATAGTGTATGCATACATTTTTTTTATTTTATTTTGTATAGAAAATGACGAAATCTTTGATGGCAGAAAAATAAAACCTTTTTTTCAATGCTTGTTTTTCGTTACGACCATCATCATCATCGTAATCGTGTTTCGAAGTTCTTCATCATTCACAGTACGCCATCATCATTATTGAATCGAAAAAAAAAACCACGACGATAGAGCGAAATGGCTGTTGTGTTTGAACTGGAAAATGTGAAGCCCTGCCAAACACACACACACAGAAAAAAATACTGAAAAATAAAACTTTTTCCATTCTTTCGACGGCTGCGTGTTTTGTTTTTTTTTACGAATGTCGAATACAAATCAACTGAAAATTGTAAGCTGCTTATATTCACATACAAATAAATAGACAAGGGCTTTTTTTGTATGTGTTTGTGTGTGTGTATCTTGATCGTTCTTCAATTAAATACGAAAATTCTGTATATTTCATTGACGAGGGAATATGAGGGAAAATATAATGTAGAAAAAAAACTCCTGGCCGGATTCATTAATAATACCATAGAACCTACGCATAGTCAATGTGTCTGGAAATTGGGAGCAAAATATTATTATAAAAACCGGCCCTTTGCTGATGGCTATCTAATATTGAATTGGATACAAAGCCCCCATTTGGAAATACTCTCTTGTTGTTGTTGTATATACAATTCGTTCCGTTTATAAACAACAGAAATACGATGATGATGAGAGAGGATCGACTATCATCATTTCATTTCATTCATTTGAAGCAAATGCAGCCATCCACCATCAAATCATCCACATCAATCGACAAACATAGACAGGCAAACTATTTCATTTTCTCCCTCCCATATAAAAAAAAAACTTAACAACAACAACAAAAAAAAACCAGCAGTCATGCAAGCACACATTAAACTATACATTGCCATTATCATCAAAATTGGGATCGGTTCGGTTGCTTCGTAAATATAAGTCCACATGCACAATGTTTCGTTCGAAAACATTATATTTTTGAACGAATTGAAAAAGCCATTGGTGCATTCGTTTAAGTATACTTTTTTTCGGAACTGAACGGAAAACTGGATGTATGCGACGTCGCCATTTTCAATGCATATATACAGGGAATCTTTTCTCTCTATTTCTCTCTGCTTTCTCTGTTTTTCATTTCTCGCAACTCAATTATCGTTTGGTTCGTTGGTCGTCACCATCATCATCATCATGAGACTCGTCAACCAGCCAACCAAAAATGCTATTGAAGTGAATCACAACATAAAACAGCACACATAGAACGAGAAAGAGCAATGTGAGATCCCATCCAATTTATCTCCTAACCTCACCATGGGGCTCTATGCCATAGCAGATTATTATATGAAAATGCAATGGAAAAGGAAAATAAGAAAAAACTAAACAAGAGGAAGAAAAAAAAAATATCATAGTTGAACACACATAGGATCGTTTGCTGTTTTAGCTTGATTGTTACTATAGATCTATGGCATCCATAACGACAAACAATCAGTATACTGTCTCTATGGGAGCTTTATGTACATTTCTTTTTTGATCATCATAAGGATTGGATTGAGAATTGTTGAACAATTTTGTTTAACAAAAAAAAAACACATACATCTAACTTCAACAACATACAAAAGGAAAATAAAAAAACTTGGATATTTTCTTTTTTTATTTTCATTTTATATTCCCGCCAACGATTACCATGATCATCATGTGTGTCTGTGTGCGAATGGAGAGAATTCACATTTGTGTATAGTGATTATTTTTAATAGAATGGAAAAAGAGAAACGAGAAAACAAAACAAAAAAACAAGTATTTGGACAGATTTACTTGTCAATCACGCAATCATAAGTCCAAATAAAAATTGCATTTTTTTCGCAATATACGAATGAAAAAAAACGTCTGAAATTGATGATTCAAAAACTGAATGAATGAATGAGGGAAATGAAAACCTATATATGTGAAACCTCATAGGAAATTTCATGATTAAATTGAACGAAAATGGCGAAAAAACAAAAACAGCAAAAGAACAAAAATATCCACAAAAAAAAGTTGAAAATATTCATAAGATTATGTTTTGAACATTGTTATCTGAACATTATGATCTTGATTCTCATAGATTTTTGAGGTGATGATATGATATAACTTTTAACACATTTTATCAAACCGGTTGATATAATCGAATGCTATGAATGTTGTCAAACGGTTGACCCGACAAACCTAACCTAAAACTAAAACTAACTTTTAGTCAAGAATAAAAGGACTGATTACATGGATTCTGGTGTAAGAATCTCATATCAAAAAATTGCTACAGTGTCACAAAGATTAACAAATGATAAATCATTAGGCGTCATCAGGAAAAACATTTGTTTTTGCTTTGATCATATAGAATTAGAAACGCCCATGACATTGATCATGATCATTGATTTATTTAATAAGTCATTCAAGTATCCTAAATATAACAGTAAATAATAGTTGAATAAACGCCCAAGTTAAAATCATGGCCAAAAAACAAAACAACAAACTGACAGATTCAACATTCATTTGCCTAATTTGATTTGATTTACCCAAAAGATGAATAATACATACATATGATTTTTGTTTTTCGCGCTTTCATTTTAATTTGAAATTTGGATTTTTGATTTTTAATTTTCTTCAAAATTTTTATAATAATTGATGACACTTTAATCAAACAACGATCATATGATAATTAAATTTAATCAAAATTAATAAATTTTACAAAATTTGCTTCAACAACCAGAATCAATGATAGTTTCGAGGAAGAATAATAATCTGCCATCTGTTGTTTGTGTTTTTCACTGAATTGAAGACCATTGTATTCGGATTGGAAGAACAGGCCAAAATGATGGCTGATGACGATCACAATATTTTTCAAAATTAAATTGTAAATTATTTTCCATTTCGATTAAACTTTTCAATTCAAAAGATTCATCATTATCATTGTAAACTCGTGCATATTGTTGCATTTTTGTCTTGTTAGATTGTATTCGAAACAGTTGTTGATATTGATCATGTATTGTTAATTCTTCAGAATCATCATCAGGATTACTATTACAATCAGGAGCTTTTGATCGAATTGAATATGATTCGGTTTGACTAATGTCGACATAATCAGTAAAATTATTATCGGAATTTTCTTGTTGACGTTGATTTTTAAGTTTTCGTTGATGTCGGCGTGTTATTTCCAATGCTTTTAGATATTCTGAATCAATTTCATCACTGTTATTGATATTATCGATTGGTTGGCTATCGGTGACAATATTGGGATTAGGAAAAACTTGATCAATAACAGCCAAACCTTGATATCCTTGCATTTGTAACCATTTATGGCAATGATTATAATGTTGTTGATAAAATGAATAACAATTTGGAAGTGACATTTTGACTAGTTATTGACAAACATTTGAAATCCCATCCATGCCAAAAATACGAAAAATACTGTAGCTATAAACGATGAAGGAATTAGAAAAAGATAATACCAGATATCTTCAACAAAGAAAATTTGTTCGCTAGGATCTTCAAATGTACAATTGTTATCCATTCGTCAGAATTTTAGCATCCGAATCATAAAAATAATCAAGCTCATGAGAAAGTTTCTGATAAATAACATTTCTGAAAACATTTACGGATTAGATATTTTTTCTCATCATTTTATGGTACAAATGTTTTTCTTCAATTTCAATTTATCCTAGCAAAATTTATTCATCAAAATGACGGCTCCGTTAAAAGGTGTAAAAGTTGTCGAATTAGTTGGCTTAGCTCCTGCTCCGTTTCTAGGTCTAATATTATCAGATTTCGGTGCTCGAGTCATTCGGGTCGACAATGTAAGTTTTGATATTGATTTTTAAAAATAAAATTTTCATTTTTAAGTAATTTACCCTGAAGCTTGACAACACAAATGGCTCAATGTTTTCACGACAAAAAGAATCCATGTACTTGAATCTAAAACATCCAAAAGGTTCGGAAATATTACAACGTTTAACCGAAAAATCCGATGTCCTCATAGACCCATTTCGGCCTGGAGTTTTGGAAAGACTTGAACTTGGACCTGAACGACTTTGTCAGCTCAATCCTCGTTTAATATATACCAGATTATCCGGCTATGGTCAAACAGGACCTATGGCTCGAAAAGCTTCACATGATATCAATTTTCTAGGTCTTTCAGGTGTTATGTCTCGTTTTGGTTACAATGATCGACCACCTATCGGACCAATAAATTTAATAGGTGATATTGGTGGTGGTTCGATACTTTGTGCAATGGCAATAGCTATGGCACTTTACGAACGCAACAGTTCTGGAAAAGGACAAATAATAGACCATAGTATGACTGAAGGTGTGGGTTATCTCGGTAGTTTTTTGTGGGAATCTTTGAAACAAAAAGAATTGTTGTGGCCAAATTGGCCAAAACGTGGACAAAACACGTTAGATTTTGGTTCACCATTTTATCGCTGCTACGAATGTGCAGACGGAAAATTTATGGCTGTCGGTTCGTTGGAAGAAAAATTCTATCAAAACCTGTTGAAAACGCTCGGTTTTGAGGAAGAATGTTTTAATCGATTCGATCATGATAATTGGCCTGAAATGGCTGAAGAGATTGGTAAAAAATTCAAAACAAAAACAAGGGATGAATGGGCTAAGGAATTCGATCTAACCGATGCTTGCGTAACGCCTGTATTGGATATGGAAGAGGTTACACATAATGAACACAATCGTATACGTAAATCTTATGATCCGAATACCGGTTATCCGAATCCTGCACCTCGATTTTCACGAACACCAGCCATAGGAAATCGTGAAGGCTTTATGGATACAGATGGACAATGTGAATCACAATCGCGTGAAATTCTTATCAATGAACTAGGTTATACAGCACAAGAATTAGAAGAATTCGGTTCAAATGTTTTTAATTGATTAGAAATATTAATGATAGATTAAACTATATTGCAACTTTAGCATTCACCTGCGGTTGATTTAAAGCATTTTGCTGAGTTTTCTCGTCTAAATGCTCGATATCATGCAAACGCATACATTCGATCGATTGGATTTGACGTTTTGATGGACAAAAAAATATCTTGAATTCGGTAACTGATGTGTTAGGCGGAATTAGATTTTTCTTTCGATCGAATTGGGGAGAATTCATATTTTTCGGTAAAAATTCTGCAAGGAATTCGATCATCTGTCGTATGATACCACCATGTGATACGATTAATATTCGCTCATCTGGAATAACAGAGGCCAGAATTTTTTCCTCCAAAAATCGAATGACACGTTTTCGAACATCAACCAAAGATTCACCACCTTTTGCTATGTATTCTGGTGTTGATAAACCAGCTTCTCGAGCTGCAGCAATCAAATCTTTTAATGGACGACCTTCAATCTCTCCAAATGAACGTTCTCGTAATAAGGGATCAGTGATGATAGATTCAGAATGATCCGATAGCAATATCGAACATGTGTCATAAGCACGAGATAAATCGGATGAATAAATACGAGTCAATCCAGTTGAATTAAAATTTTCACCCAATGACTTTGACTGCTTGCGTCCAGTTTCATTTAGTTTCGTGTCTTTTTGTCCTTGTATAATGGCTTGATTATTTTCATCAGTTTCGCCGCTAAATTTTTTATTTTTTAGTATCCTTACATTTTAAAACATCAATCAACAATTGAAAAACTTACTGACGTATTAAGATTAGCAAAAAGTTAGGAAATTCAACACTATTTGATGCCGACATTTTAATAATTGATCATATAATTTAGCCTAATCTGATGGAATTGAGTATTTTGATGTTGAAATTCGAAAAATTATCAAGAAATTCAAGTTTATTCATAAAGTACGTATAATTATGACTGTTTGAGTTGCTGACAAATTCACGCGCGTGATATTGTGCCGTTATATGATTGAGTCATTTTCGAATTTATCGCAATAATTTTTCTGCTTTTTCAGCTACGCAATTACAATGGGTAAATTCCAATTATCACCTAAATCTGTATTGTTACGGGATACTGAACGGATAATACAAATTCATGAACGATTGACCAAAAAATTGGCTGAAAAACGACGAAGACAGCAAGAAAAGAAACTTAAACATTTAGCCAATGTTCGCTCTCCAACACAAAATGGCAATGAAATTAACATTTCATCACAAATTCCGATGAAATGTTCATCAGATGAACCGGTTGTTGACAAATCGTAAAATTATTAGAATTTAATTCTTGTCATTATATTTTTGTTAAAATTGTTGAAAATGTGTGCAATTGTTTGTATTTTTGTTGAAAATTTGAAATTTTTTTTCCATTTTTTTTTATTAAAATAAAATAAAGATGATCTATTATTCGTAATATTTGTTATTGTTGTCTTTGATTTTGTTTCCATTTAGTTTTAAGCAATGTTTGAAATCGTATTTGCTTGGATGAAATTTTTCTTTCTCTTCGATGATTACATTTGAAACAATGGCTTTTAGCATAGGCATGATCATTATAAAGGCTATTCACTGTTGATTTATGAGAACAATCAACAAAATTTGATTGAATTGAATTGGTTGATACAGAAAGCTTTTCATCTTTGTTAATACTTTCGACACAAACATCATAATATTTAGGCATTGAATCATCGAATTTTTGATGATCTGGATCATCAATTTCAACTTCACTTGCAATTGATTGTGATGATGATCGAAATAAACAATCATTCGAATCGGATTCAATGCGACCATAACTATAAATAATTGTAATTAGGAATTTCATTTAGTTTTTTTTTGTAACCGAACAGATAAAATCTTACTTGATCATAAATATGGCAGCATTTTTAAGCCAAAATAATCCATCAATAATTCGATCACCATTGTTTTTTGTCATCATAATATCTTTTGGTGATTGATCTGACAAATTCTTTTTCCTAACAAAATGAAATCAAACATAAGAATAATGTTTTAATGAAAATATATGATAATTACTCGATCGAAATGGCTGCATGTTTAAGCAATTCAATACCGCAACCACATTGATGATGATGATGATGATGATATATCCTTTGAGTATCAATCATTTTCTTAATGCTAATTTATTTGGAAAAATAATATGATTCATTGAATATAATATTTAAAGGAATGGTCAAACAAACAATTAGAATGAATGATGATGTGTTTCTCCTGAAAATTGAGCAGGAAATCTATATATTTGGATTTAAATTCTTTTCGGTTATGTTTATTTGATTAAATTAAAATCTTTAACAGGATTTTTTTTTACTTTACACCAAGAAGGATATAAAAATGTGTAGGTAATGTGAAAATGGCAAGGACAAAAATATGTATATGCACTGCGCATCACAATATCCAACATGTACATTGATATTTAACTGAGATGAAAATTATTATCAAATCAAAATCATCATACATATTGGCAAGAATCGATTGGATAAAATGTTTCACTATTTTGACTACCATCGGATGATTGTGAATTTATTGATTCTTTTTCATCATCATCATCATCGTCATTGGAAACATTAGTATTTTGTAAAGAAGAATGATGTGTAACAATAATTTCAGCATCATTATGAACAATTTCATTATCATTTGAATCACAATAATCGCCATCTGCCGTTGGTATATCTATTTCTTCACAGTTTTCATCAATTTCAATATCGGATTCTTCAACATCAGATAACCAATAATATTCGAATGTTTTTGTTTTATGATTATAGAATCCGCAATCACGACAGATGTATAGGTCAACTTTGGTTTTAGGTTGCGAGGTGTCAGATTCGTCAATATGAATCAACTTTAGACGATACATTTTTCTAATACGTCGTATAAGGCCACATCCTTGACAAAATGTTCTTTCGTTAGAATTCGAATCTGAAGATTTTTTTCTCGGAACATCGGCCACTATGAAGAAAGAATTTGAACAATGAGAATTATCACTCAATAATTGATGATTTGTCGATTCATCATTGGTTATCTGCTGTTGTTCTTGAAACAATGTCATACAAGACGATGATGATGAAGATGATGATGATGATTGTTGTTCACTGAAATCGGATATTGAAATTGCATTTGAATTTGATTGTTCATCTGATGATAAATTTTCCGTAGTTGTTGTTTTTTTCTTTTTAACTTTTGATCGAGTAGCCGTAGATTTATTTCGAGTTCGTTGTTTATTGATAGTTTTTGTAGTTTTCGTTGTTATTGATGAATTTGTATCGAAATTAATTACATTATCAGATTCCATATTGAAAGTTTTTTTGTAAGTTTGTTTATATTATTTGAGAATGACAATTTTGATACATATCAACATATCAGACCGATAAATGGATACATATTTTTCATTATCATGTACACATTGTGAATGTAAAAATATGTATCCACTGTGTATACAATTGTTTGCCGTATCCGACAAAATTCTTCACAGTGCGCTTGTGCAAAAAATTCATGCTCTTTGTGTGCTCTTTTCATTCTCATCTGTATATCTGAGAATTGAGCCGAAATAAAATTCTTCATTGTTTTATTTGCTAAAAATTCAGATCTAATGATTGAATTTTTTGTTGTTGTTGTTGTTGATAGCATTCGAATTCATCAAAACAAAAACGTGTTAAAAAAAGAATTGATTTTCTTTTGAGGAAAAAAGAAGTTTGTTTGATTTTTTTCGTAATGCTAAACAAGCGAGTTTCTGTTTCCCCATATATATTCATAGATTGAAATTTCTTTATTTTTTTTTTTGCCGGTTTACATTAATATATTGAAAATCAAAATTCACTCAAATCACTAATTGATATTAAGTTTTTCGAAAATGGATGATTATTACAAGAAATATCCATCCTCTTCAAGGGATCGACACATTCGTCATCAAGCTACGGGTATGGTTAGCGGCGGTGGTCATCATTCACTTGGTATGGGTCAGGTATACGCCGGTTCTCCTGTTTCGATAAATCCTAACTCAAATCGATCTGGACGTGCATTAATACCATCTGACTCACCTTTAATGGGAACACCAACATCATTGGATTATAGTCATGTAGGTAATAATAATGGAACTGCTATAGGTGATGGTCATCATGATTATGGTTCATCAGCATCATCAGCTACGATGATGATGGATCATCGATCAATTTACGGTGGCCCGCCCGTATCATCTGCACAGCCTCCTCCAATGGACATTCCGATGAATATGAAAATTTCAACCGGTAACCAGAATTATTACGATTCCCGTATTGGTGATGCACATACATCGGCAACAACAACAGCCATCCCTCCATCATCGGTATCCACAACATCGAGAACATTGGAAAAATATTTCACTCAAGATGAATTGAAGCGATTCAACGAATTTAATCGTTTTCTTGTAATGTCATCACCTGAACAGCAGAAGAAATTCTATGCATCACTTACAAGCGTTGAATACAAACGATTCAATGATTATCTTGATATGGAATCGCAGGCAAAATCTGTTCCAGCGCCGCCACCGCTGCCACAGATTCCATCTACTCCAAGTATTAATCAAGGCCATCAGCCAGCTTCACAATCTTTAGGGGATCCCTATTTGAACCAAACACAACAGCCAAAGCCATCATATACAATACAATCATCATATTCATATGATACTTCATACTATGATGATGGTAATAATGAAAACATGGCCAATTCTACTTTGAATAATCATTATCATCGAAATGCACGCAAGTTCACTCAATCGCCGTCACAAGTAACTTCGGAATATTATGGCCGATCATCGACAGTCGATAGTAGTGGTGATTGTTATCAACCACCATTACCACAGATTCATAACGATAGCTATAATCAAGAATACAATGACCATCGATACCATGATGGTTACGAAGAAAACCAAACATATGGATCAACATATTCATCAACTTATGGTACATCTTATCGTCAAAGGGATATTTCAGCCGATCGCCATCGTAATTCGACTCGAAATTCAATTAAAAGTCGTAGCCGTAGTCGTACCCCCAACAGGTAATTTAGTTGAAAAAAAATTTTCATCACTTAATAAATAACCATAACTCACGGGAAACAGATTTAGGAAATCATCATCATCTAATCATCGTAACTCTTCGCTGTCAGAACGATCAGCAATTCGCAAAAGTGGTGGTCGTGACGATCACGATCGTTTTAAACATTCCCGTTCGAGCGATTCACGTGCGAAGAAACCAACAACTTCATCTTCAACACCGAAAGAGGTAATTTATTTTGAAATCCTAGAAAAACAACTTTCATTTAAAATAAATTACTCTTTAAAAGTCTCAAAATAAACATCGTACATCGTCAACGAATTCTTCGTCAACGAAAACTCACTCTAAAGATAATGATGTGAAAATACTTGAAGAGCGAATTAAAGAATTAGAAAAACGTCTAGATAATAATCGAACTAAAAGCCATGCCAGTTCATCCGATCGATCCTCATCACTGAAACGAAATCGACCGCAGGATTCATCAGCAACTAAATCAACTAGCTCTAAATCTGGAACGGCAACTAAAACTCCATCATCTTCGGAAGCATCGAAAAAGAAACCCATAATTACTGAAACCAAGAAACCTACGACTAATACGGAAACAACTACTGTGTCGAAATCCAAAGAAACAGACAAAAAATCATCAATCAGTGATGGTTCTAAGCAGCCAATATCAAGTACCACCGATGAAAAATCACAAAAAACAGTCAGCAACTCTAGTGTGAATTCTGCTTCGAAATCCGATTCGAAAACTCATGAAATGAAAAATTATAAAATACCCAAAAAAAGCGACACTCAAAATGCTGCAGCGACACCCAAAAAAAGCGACACACAAAATGCTGCAGTGACAACGACAAAACCTGCTACATCGTCTTCGACAACAACATCATCATCAGCTAAATCAAACAATTCGCCATCCAAGTCATCAAAGTCCGAATCGACAAAAAAACATTCCGATCAATCGCCCATTAAGAGCCGAACTTCTCCATCAAGGGTTAGTACCAGTAGTAGAAGTCATCAAGTATCATCAAGACGTCGAGAACCTTCACCAGTATCAGTAATAAATTTATACGGATCACATAGATTAACTCAAAAGGATTTTGATGATACATTCACACATTTTCATTGGTGTAATTTGTGTCATCTGTTTTTCAAAACAGAATCTATGTATCTGAAGCATTTACATACTGATCGTCATTTTAGTAAATTAGGTTCATCAGATTTTCAAATCATACGAAAAGCAGAAGAACGAATCAATGCAAATGAAACATCTGTACAATCTGATTTTAATCCTTTGAAACATTCATCATCAACATCGTCGACTGTTTCTAACATTTCCAGTCAATCGGTCGACTGTGATAAGGAACAATTTTTAGGTAAATCATCTTTCGATTGATAATTATGATTTTTTTTAATGTTTTTATTATAGGAACCGAATTTTTCTACCCACTTATATCTTTCTATTGTGATTTGTGTTCAAAATTTTTGCCTACAAATCAGCAAGGACAAGATCATCTTCGTTCTGAACGACATCTTGTACTTTATCAGGTTAGTCTGTCCTCTAATGAATCAAACGCTTTATCAAACGTTATTTCATTATCTTTCATAGAAATACATGAAAAAGAATGTGGATTTTTATAACAAATTCAATGAAAAACGGATGGAACAATTCAAGAAATCGCCATACGTACGTCAATTCATTCATGAACAATTCAGGCAAAGATTACTTGAACAGAAAAACAAAGGTAAACCGTGTACGGATTCACAATCATCACAAACCGTATCTAATAATATTTCGAGTGAAAAAGTACCAACTGAGATTAAAAAATTAATGGATTCTATTTTGGATCGCGTCGTAGTAGATTTTTTTACCAAGAAAAATAAAGCAACACAACCTTCGGGAACATCTATCAAACCTGTTGTCCAAGCGAAAAAATCATCTGAAGACAAAATAACTGTTGAAAAAGTGGCCGGAAACAAACGGCCAGCTGACGATAAAACTTTGAAAGAGAATAGTCAAATGAAGAAAATTAAAGAAAATCCTGAAACTGTTGTTGCTCCTGCTACCATCATTAATTCCAATGATAATAATACAGGAACACAGCCCGAGCTTCCAGAAATGAAAAATAAAGGTGTATCTAAAATGAAAAACAACAATGTTGGCCAAGTCGTTCAAACAGAAACAGAAACAAAATCAGATACAAAAGAAATCCAAACAAAAAATAAATCGAAAAAATCTGTAACCGAAAAAACTGATAAGAATGGTGATGATTTGAATGCGATTGAAAAAACGCTTGTAATAGATGATGTTGATCAAACACCGCCTATATTTGCCGGATATAGACAACGTAGAGCTGCCGCTGCAGCAGCTGCTTCGATCATTGCACAACAATCACATCAAACGCGATCAAAACCTATTAAAAAACCGATGAATGCAAAAAATGAGCCATTAAATAACGCTGATAATAAAGTGAAAAACACAAAGAAAAAAAAGAAAGTAATTATAATCGAAGATGATGATACCGAAGAAGAAGAAGAAATGGAAACCATTGAACAATTAGATGCACCATTCGATGATGATAATGATGAAGATGAAGACGACGACGATGACGACGATGAAGAAGGATTTGATGTAATTGATGAAATGGATGATGCGTAGAATTCGAATCCTGGATCAAGACTAGATTTCCTATTTGGCAACTTGGTCAGACAATAAATTCATTTTTCTTTTTATCACACAAAAATCTCTTATTGGTGGTCATCCCAGTCGTTTTATAATATCTTTGTATACCTAACCCACAAGATTCATTCATATTAATCGATTTTTTTTCTCAAATTACTTTTTTTTTTGTTTGTTTTTATCATCTATCCAAACCCATTTCCTTTCTTCACTACGAAGTAAGAATATAATTTCATTTTAATTGTCAGAATTTGAATTGCAGTTTCATTGGTAAGTGTTGTTTCTGTGCAAAAAAAAAAAAAAAATAAACAAAATTTTCAAAGTTCTAAATTAATAGAAATAGTTCTCTCTTCCGTTTCTAATTCAAGTCTAAGGGACTTTTTGTTGTTGTTGTTATTGTTTTTGATTTAATCACACTTCACACACTAACGGCATGTGATTTTCACGCATCAATGATTTACAACTTATATATAAAGTTCATCAAGTTTCTGCTTGTCATCAACAGTGTATGATTCGGAAGCTTAAATTTTTCTTTTCATCATTTTCATTCATAAAATTTACAGTCAATGATTGATTTCTCTATACTGATTGGCTTTTTTTTGAATATATATGCGAATAAGAAAAGCCACAAAAAGGTGTGCCCTTCCTTTTAATCTATCATTACATTTGTAACACACATACATCCACACAAAAGCATTAATTTTCTTTGGAACATTTAGGCCATCGATTCATCAATCAAAAAAAGAAAGAAAGAAATGGTTAAAAAGTGAATAAAAAAATGATTTTTTTTTTTTGTTTCTGTAAAAGTTAAAAAAAAACTTCCTGATTTATTTATAATGGCAATGAGCTTGAATTTTTTTTTGTCTAGCAACATTGATTGGTCATGGAATGTTGTTGTTGTTGGTGGTGGTGGTGGTGATGATGATGATGATAAGGATGATGTTCGTCATTACTAATTATAATGGTCGAATCTCTTGGATCTTCTGGCGTCCATACTTTGGCTATCAGAATATTACCATGTTGTAATGATCCTGGTCGTTTATTTTCATCAGATTCCCATGATAATGAATGCATTAATTCCGATTGTAGTTCATGACAATTTCCATCATCATCATTATGAGTTGTATTCGAATCGGATGATGGATCCAATGGAAAATGAGATTTTATTAAAATTTTTTTGATAGGAGGTGGACAACAATGTTGATGATGATGATGTGAAGGATTTGAATGATGACTATGAAGACCATATCGATTATGAAATTCTGTTACCATTGATATCGTTGTACTGTTGTTTGGTGATGAAGAGGATGATGAGTTAGAATTTGATGTGGGTGATTGTGATAAACCGCCAGTTCGAACAAGATCGGCCAAAAATCTTATGTAACCAATTGCTAAACGAAGCGTATCTACTTTTGATAAACGTTTTTCATATGGCAATGTTGGAATTCGTGATCGAAGACCCTGTGAACAGTAAAAAAAACAGACATTTTCATTTTTTTTTAATTTTTTTATTTTTGGTCCAATGATCCAAAACCAAGTGAAAACCGTGTGAAAAAAAATCATCATCGATAATACATACCTCGAATGCATCATTGATTGATTGCATACGTTTACGTTCTCTTAAATTGGCTGCATGTCTTTGATGTGGTCGATGTGAATGTTGCTGCGATGAATTACGACGATGATGATGATGATGATGGCGATGATTTGTATTATTGTATTTTTTTCGTCTAGTCAATTTTGTTTTGGATTGTTTTTCAACTGAATCATGTTGTTGTTGTTGTTGTTTATCATTTTGTTGATCATCATCATCATCATTATTCCAACAAAATTCATCATACAATTCTTGTGATTGTTGATTTTGTGTTGTTGAAGATGATGTTGTTATTGATGATTCATATGTACATGATGATGATGATGATGATGATGAAATAGATGATTGAGACAATTCAGATGTATGATGTTGCGATATTGGTAATTGATTGATATCTATTAATAAAGACGGTGAAGATCGATTATCATTTTGACAATGGTCATGTTGTTGATGTTGGATATGGCAATGATAAGGAAATGGTCGGATTAAATTCTGTGTTTGAAGATGTTGCGATTGTATATTCATTCGATTATCACTATCATACGAATGGATATTTGTCCAGAATTGTTCCATTTTGTTATGAAAATTAGAAAAAATTACACTCATCAGGACTGTTATCGTTATTAATCATGACTAGTCCGTGATATGATATGATGATGATACACTGTCTTGATTTTTAGTTGTTGAGAATCAATAGTTATCGTAAGAACAAAAAAACAAAAAACAAAACTATCCAAATTGTTAGCTACCGAGTTAACAACAATTAAGTATCACTGTTGTTGTTGTTGTTGTTGTCTATATCATCAAACAATAGTGATCGTCATTTTCATTGATATCGACCACTCGACACAATTTGTAATTTGGATTTGGATATTTGTTAAAAGTTTGTTTCAATTATTATTATTACTATAATCATATTTGTCGGTTGTCTGTTGTCGTTTTGTTTGTTTCAGATATTTTTTTTTGATTTTTTTTTCATTTCTTTCTGTAGAATATTCTGAACATAAAAAACACGAACCAAAAGAGGAGGTGGGTAAATAGAAAATTTGCTTAAGAAAGGCGTCATTCATTTCAACAATGATCTAGATTGGCTAGTATTAGATGAAAAAAAGGGATGGACTTACTTATGGAACAACAACCACTATATGAGGATGCGTATATTTCGTCCGGATAAATTTGTTATTGATTTTTGTTGGACCATCAAAATGAAAAAAAACAACAGAATTTTTATATCGTTGTTTTGATGTTTTCAAAAACAAAAAACTGAAAAAAAGTAGTCAAAATACAGGCATCAAGTGCAAGAATTCCCATGTGAATATGGACATTTGTTCGGTAACAATCGATTAATGTATTCAATTTTTCGTGATCTATGAAACGAATTACGACGGAACAAGCGAGAAAGAAAACGAAAAAAAAACTGAGAAGATTCCGGTGCAGATTTTTTTTTTTTAATATTCAAATAGAAATTCTTTATTAAACCAAGATTTTCAAGAATTCAAACACAAATGATGAAAATAAATGGAAAAAATCTATTTAAAAAAAAATAAAGAATTTGATTTATATACATCGAAACTTTACGGAATGGGAGGTGGTATTAGATCTATTTTTTGTCAATTCTCACCCATATAATGAATGAATGAATGAATGAAACACACACAATATTAACCTGGACAAACAATCCAAACAGATGTACAGAATCTCAGACAAAATATATGATGATGATGAATTTAAATCAAAAAAAAAAGAAAAAGAAAATCGGCTGCTGAGGATTATGAAACTTTATCAAAATAGTGAATGAAATATCTACCGGTCCGGTCCTCATATATGATATATCTATCTCCACACATTTCGTCAAGAGCTAATGAAGCGTTGACACTATACTGAATAGAAAAGTAAAAAAAAAGGAAAATGAAATTAGGAAAAAACAACAAACCCTCGAATACAAAGACCAGCCTACCAATCGTCAGCCAATTAACCAATGGAACAATAATAGTGAAAAAAAATGAACAATCGACACAGATCTGAATCGAATGTTATTGTTGATGTGTTTCACCACGAAACAAACGAAAACAAGGATTTTTTGAATTTATTTTATTTTTCTTTCACATTCGCCCACGTTGATTCAATTTTCAATTTTAGATTTGAATGGATTGTTGTCTGTATTGATTGTTATTCTTTTTGTTGTTGAATAGTTTGAAAAATGAAGCTTTCGTCACACACACAATACAACCGTGGATAGCGAGAAAATTATTAGCTGAATAATAAAAGAAAAACCGTTGCTCAATTAAAGTCAAATCAAAAGTCCATTTTTTCGATATTGTGTGCTTTATTATGATTTCATCATAAATGAAATGAATGAATGAATGAATGTAAAAAAATAACCAGGTTTATGGTATACAAACATCTGTGATGGATTTGAACATCATTTCAAGTGGTCTATCAGTCAATCAGATTGGAACCGATTTGATGATATATATTTTTTCAATTTAACACTTGAGTTTTTTTTTGACGACCAAGAATGAAAAAAAAATTTACTCCTGTCTAAAATAATAATGACCACAATTTGTTGACGAGAAACGGAAATTTGAACTTATAATTATTTTTTGTTTTGTTTTGTTTTCATCGGAAACAATATTCGTGAGGAAAACGTAAATCGATCAGGGAAAGGAAAGGACCTCAGGCTTTTTATAATTGGAAAACTATCATCATCATCATCATACGCTCGCGCGCAAACTAATTTGAATGATCGATTCATTCAAAAAATATGTTTTGCAAACTTCCTTGAAATAAAATCCTGGCTAAACAAAATGGTCAAATGATTTAATCTTTGGTTTTAAATCTATAGCATTCAAAGTTAATTGCATTTGTTATTGTTTGGCTTTGTTCGGTTATATACAAACAAATGAGACAAATGCAAACAAGGTCATGTAACCGTAAAAGTAAATGTATTTGTTTAACAATTGAAAAATTCAATTAATTTTTTTAAATTAACAATTGTTGATGAAAATAAAATTTGTTTATTTATTGAATATATAATTTCATTGTAAATATTCCATTTAGTTTAGGTTATGGAAATTATTTATAAAAAAAATAATCAAAAATTTAAACAATTGAATTTTGGTGTAATTGTTGTTCAAGAGTGACCATGTCACAAAAATTATCTGCATCAAAAGTTCTGTTATCTGGACTGATCGTTTTCACCAAATTCTATGGAAATAAACCATTTAAAATTAGAAAAGAAAGATGGAAAAATTAGTTATTTACATACCACCATAAGCTGATTACGAATATTTAAAATTTCTTCAGCATTTTTTCTGACATTATCTTGTAACTGTTCCAAATATTGTTGTTTCTCGCGGCGACATTCGCTTCTTGTTTCATAAATTTTTTGTAAATCTTCACGGAATCCTTTCCTGGTAGCCAACATCATACGATCATTATCTTTTTTCAGTTTCATGACGGTGCAATAATCGCCGATTATCACCAATTTTTCTCTAGTATCTGGTTGTCGAAGAAATTTGTTAAATTTTTCTCGGAAATGATCTCGAATCTTGCTCAACATTTCCGAACGTATCTGATCAAGTTTACATTCACGAGTGTTATTGGATCCATCACCATCATCAACTTGTTGATTCGTTTCTTGTAATTGTTTACGTAACGATAGAAAACAATCATTGAATAACTTTTCGAATTGACGCACAAATTTTTCAACACAATTATTATGCGTTCGAACAAGATCACGAAAAATTTCAATCAAAGACATTTTTCATACAATAAAATTCAAAAAAACTGAAATTTTGGCGGCTATTTCTATATAAAATGTGATGCGAGCCAAAAAAAAATCGCTGAAAAAAACCGTTTATATATTCTATTTTGCAGCAGAGAGGCCAATTGAGTTCAAATAGATTTCAAAAACAAAATTTTTGCCAAGAAATATTTTGAAATCTCTCTCAACCATGTATCGTCGTAATTTGACCCGAATCCAGATTAAATTGGATGATATTCGTGATTATGAACGCAGCAAAAAGAACGAAAAAGATATTGAACAACAGTATGATTCGAAGAATAACCAACAACAACAGATACAAACAGCCGATGCATCGACTAATACAACACCGCGACCTGATAGTACAGCGGCCACCACTATAAATCATATAATAACTCGACAACAACGTATTGGTTATTTTTCATGATTTCTTAGGCTTAATAATATTTATCTTGAATTTTTAATAAATGGAATAAAAAGGAATTAATAAACAAAAGATATGTGTTTCTATTTGTATTTCGATCTTGATTATCAAACTAAATCTGATTTGAAGTCAAATAATCCTTATGAGGAAATAGAGCTCAGCCATGGCAACAACCATAGATGCACCGAAACTATAAAGTACCACTTTACCCGTATCGAAATCTGGTCGAGTATAATGGATGGTGACATAAAAGAAAAAGAATGTGGCAGCAATGACCATCATAGCATTTATTGTTGCCAGCAATGTTGAACGAAGTTGGCGAAAATCTTGTGACATAGAAAATTTTGCACCAAATCTGTTATTGCCGATGACATAATGGGCAACATTTTGAACCATCGAATCATATTCATCGGATGCCGCTTTGAAGCGCAGCTTACGTAATCTTTCATCCAACGATAAATTCGTTCGCCGTTCAGGTAATTGCATGACACGGAAATTATTTTCCAGAAATTCGTAAAAATATTCTCTGGCCAGTTCCATGTTTTCGCTTGGATCTAAATGCTGCAGAAGACGATGAAGTTCAACCAAATCATTATATGTAAACGTTTGTTTTTGTTCATCGTCCGCTCTGCAAAGTATGATTTCTATCTGTTCCATTTTGGCAATAATTCGTTCACGTTGTCCTTCATCTTCATCTGGATGTATATCATTTTCGTTGACTTCTTTTTTGTTATTTCTGTCGGTACGATTGACTAGATTTTCACTATTGTTAGACGACGTTGAATTGAGGCGGCTGTAAAAATCTATCGGATCGGATTTAGGATTAATTAAACCGAATTTTAACTTTTTCGTTCTGATTAAACGATCAATCTGTTTACGAAGTTTAGATGATGCTAATAACCTGTACGTACAAGCACGGGGATCAATAGTTTTATCTTCAAACATTTTTGAGATTTCAGAATGCAAATTACGGACGCCCAATTAATAATTGGGCTCAACGAAACAAATTTGTTTTTTTAAATAACAGATGACGTTAGGGTAGACTTTTTTCAAAATTTATAATTCCAATTTCTTTTGAAATTTTATTTTTATTTTTCTTGTTAATTTGATAAAATCAATAAAATAATATTATCAAATGAAAATCAAAACTGCGACTTGAAAAACAAGTAAAACCACCTACCAATTAATGACATAACTAGTTTAAAAAAAAAATTTAGATTTAGAATTTTGTCATTATTAATGTTGAAATCAGATATAGTGAACGATATAATCGCTACCATAATGATGATATGGAAAAAAAAGTGTCATCATCGGCACTGGGGTCATCTCAATGCCTATGGGCTAATTATTTTCTCAAAATTAACTATAACTTATCACTAACAAACAATCTGCAATTCGATCATGAGGATTTTGTTTTTTTTGTTTTTGGACAGGTTTAAATGGATTTGTCACATCGAACATTAGAATTGCAGATGTGAGTTTTTTTTCGCAAACTAGGATAATTTCATCGTTGATTACAACTGTATCACAATCAAAAAAATTTAGCAAGTAGTGATTTCAATTGAAAAAAAGTTATCATTTTAAACAATAATGACTGGTCGATGTCTATCATTGTCACATCTAACTTTTTATGTGACCAACGCTAAACAAGCAGCAGTGAATTGGTGTATGCAATATGGATTCAAACCATTTAGATTTCGTGGATTAGAGACTGGACATCGTCAACAATGTGGACATGCTGTTAGCAATAATGAAATTGTTTTGGTATTTGTTTCACCATATGATTGTACTGATGATTCGATGAATGCCTACCTGATTCGGCACGGAAATTCAGTCAAAGATATTGGTATGTACCTGATATCACTGTAATCATGTTTCATCCAATTCTTACAATTTACAGCTTTGAATGTGGATTGTTTGTCAAGCATAAGCGATCGAATCAAAAAGTTCGGATTGCCTATAAGAGAATGGACCGAAGAAGATAGTCATGGACTCGTTAAATATGCACAGGTAATAGCGTTCGGAGATACGACTCACACGTTGGTAGAACGTAACAACTATCCAGGCAATGAATTTTTGCCAAACTGGCATCAAAACCCATTGGAATCCCATCTGACAAACAGTATTTGGTCCAAATTGCCCGATACTGGTTTGAAACGAATTGATCATTTGGCTATGAATCAATTAACCGGGACCGGTAAACAAGTTGGTCAATGGTATAATCAAATGTTGAATTTTAAACGTTTCTGGTCAACTGATGATACGATCATCAATACTGATAGTTCGGGATTACGCGCAATATTTATGATCAATGATGATGATGAAAAAGTTAAACTTACCATCAATGAACCTATTTCGGGTTCACATAAATCACAAATACAAGAATTTCTTGATTATCATCAAGGACCTGGTGTACAACATATCGCCTTTCATACAGATGACATCAGTGAATCAATTATACAATTGAAAGATAGAGGTTTGTTACAATGATCTATTTCGTTTAATAAATTTGTTTTTTTCAAATTTCAGGCGTTGAATTTTTGGATACACCGTACACATATTATAAGAATTTGGAACAACGATTGAAAAAGGATAAAATTCAGATCGATAGAGAAATTTCTCAATTATCGAAACACAACATTTTGGTCGATTATGATCATCGTGGACATTTGTATCAAATTTTTACCCGACCGATACAAGATAGACCAACAGTATTTTTGGAATTGATCGAACGTCATCAATTTGGTGGTTTTGGTGCTGGCAACATAAAGGCATTGTTCGAATCGATTGAAGAAGAACAAAAACAACGAGGCAATGTCTAATTAACAATTTTAATTAATTATTTTATAAACACACAAAAAAAATTATCCGACTATCAAGAATAAAAAAGAAGAAAAAGAAGGAAATTTACATTCATAAATATAACATCAAGCATCAATCAATTTTTGCTCGATTCCCGAAGGTAATGGCAAAAAAGCACCACCAACTAATCGAAAATCGGCTAACATAAAATTGTAGGTCGCTACAGCTTCTTTTGTTGACATCATTTCAATCTTCAAATCTTTACGTAACAATTGTAAATTTCTTTGTAATATTTTTATCGAATCGACAGGCCAATAATTTCTCTCACCAATACCAAGAATTATTAGCTCAATTCTTGGTTCAATCGTTCGAAACCATAACAATGACTCTGGTGTTATATCTTCAATGGTCCTAATTTTCCACTACAGGTCATATATTTATAATATTTAAAATAAAAAAAAAATTATTGTATAATTTGTTTTGTTCAATAAATAAAATCATTATACTCACTCTGAATAAGAAACTTGGAAACAATATGATCGGACCTACGGCAAAAGCTCCGTTGGTGAGCTTGAAACCTCTATCATTTATAGAATTGATCATCAAATATTGACCCACTTCATCATCCAAAAATGATGCAGTTGTTTTTCCCGGACCTTCATATGAAAATTTTCGAGCATCTAAGGTAAACGAACGACGACCTGAAGCCAACCATGATCGATGTACATTGATTGAATATGATCTTACAACCGTAAAACATTTGGCCATATTGCGAATGAAATTCAAATGACGACCAATCCTAAACACATGTGATCAAAAAAAACATGAGCTGTCGAAATAGGTCTAACTTTATGCTAAGGTTTAAATGGAAAGACGTATAATTTGAATGCTTATGTTTCCGGCAATGGTTTATAAAACAACATTTTATTTTGCTAATTATTATCTTTCATATTGGTAACAAAGTTTTATGTGTCAAAATCTCGGTTCAAATTTCAAAGTAATTTTGTTTTTCGGTCCAACAGTTGATCCAAACGCCAATTCCATTTTTTCCATTGGAACCATTGATTCGATTCGATATTTACGAAGTATCGAAGACAACAAAGCTTTAGCAGTTTGCATAGCGAATCTAAAGGCCATGATGATTATAGTTTATTTATTGATTTTTTTTCTTGCAATCACTTACCTTTGTCCAATACAATTTCGAGGACCGGCCGAAAAAGGCGTATAGGCAAATGCATTTCTTCCGTTCATTTGTTCGACCGAAAATCTTTCCGGATCAAATTTTTCCGGATTATGAAACCATTTTGGATCACGATGAAGTTGATAAAACAAGACCATGACAGTTGTGCCAATTGGAAGGGTTTGACCTTTGATTTTAAATTCCTCACGAATGTTACGAGCGATGAATAGAACAGGAGGAAAGAGACGCAACGTTTCTTTGATACATTTTTCCAAATACTTCATGTGTCGAAGATCTTCAAACAAAATCTCTCTGTCTGGATCATCACCATATATAGCATCTAATTCTTCGTGGATTTTTTCCTGAACTTCTGGATGATGACCAATCAATTGTAATGCAAATTGTACAGTTGCCGAGCTTGTATCCTGTCCGGCACTCATGAATGTATCTACTTCGGAACGAATATCTTCATCCGACAATGATTGTGGATCTCTAATGTTTTGTGTAAGCAAACTGTCGAGAAAGGCTAGCACACGTTTTGTGCCTATCTCATTCATGGTCGTGGTAAGATCACCACCCCCATTAGCCATACGATCCACAATTTCCTTTCGCTTTCGTTGAATTACTGTGTTGGTAAAATCATGAAGAAATTTGATTGTTTTCCGTTGTTCTCGCGCCGTTGGTGAAAGATTGAATAGAAACTCGTTCCATAGCCACGGTGATAATAAACGTTGGGTAAATAGATCCAACACTTTTCGTACGGATTTTGAGTATTTAGAAGTTAAATCTGTTTGAGCATCGATACTTACACCCATGGCCGTTTCTTAATAGATAGTAAAACTGAAATCAATCAAACTGAAAATGACTACTCTATCACATACCACAGATGATATCCAATGCACAATTTGTTATCAATGGTTTGATATCATCAACGATTGAATTATTTTTTGGATCAGAAATTCTTTCTTTTATCAATTTCATCATGATTGTTTGTTGTTTTTGTATAATCGGAATGAAAGATTCAAGAATACGAAAATGAAATGCCGGTGTCAACATTTTCCTATGCGAACGCCATTTATCGCCAGTACTTGTAAACAAACCGAGACCCAACCAAGGAATAGCAAAATCATATTCACGCGATTTATCAATGTTACTATTACTGGTCAATATACCTTCAGCACATTCAGCATCAAATATGATGACTACCGGTTGTGTTGGACCAATCCATATTCGCATAAAACCTTCACCGTTTTGTTGGTAAATTTTAGTGATACCTACAAATGTGTTGAAGATTTCTATACGAAAAAATATTTTCAAAAATTGTTCGCAGATCATTGCCATTTTTAACTCACGTTGAAGATAATTAGTATTGGACCTGACTTGCCATACTAACGAAAGATTGCCTAATAGTTTGGATGAAACTGTAGGCCCGGGAAGTTGATCAATTTGTTTGGAAATTTTCCTAAATTGTTGATATCGTTGCCATAAATAAGTGATGAGCATAAATATGCCTACACTTAAAAGAATTAATGTTATTGGAGAAAATGTTGTCAGTATGCAGAACATGTTCTATCGAATCAAATGATGAAGTGACAAAATCAAATCTAATGAAACATCTCTCATTATGAAGAAAAATGCGGTTAAAATATTTTCATTGTAATCTCTGGTGTAGTTAAAAAAAATTTATTATAATCCACATGTACATAGGATTAGTTAGTTTTATCGATGAAAATATGGTTGAAAAATGAATGAATCAATATCTTGTTGTTGGCCAATCATCAAATCAATGGCAGCATAAAGATCACGTTGCCTCAATTGAAAATAATCAACAGTTTTACCCCAAATGTTACTAAATCGATCACGATAAATTGGAAAAAATATTTGTTCGACAAACAATGCGCCAGATAGCTCTTGACGTAAGTGATCAACACATTCTCGCAATGATGATGTATACCGTTGTTCGTTTGAATGTAAAAAACGTATCAATGATTGATCAAAGAAGAAACATAAATCCTGATAGATTGGCTCTTTACGGCATGGTTCAATATGGAAATAGAGATGAAGTTCTCCAAGATGAATTATATCCTCGTCATTCGATTTATCAGGATTCAATACGCCCGTAGCAAATATATTAAATCGCATTCGCCAACTAGAACCTGTACCCGAATACAATGGTTTAGGATAATTTCCACGTGGAAATAAACTTGCCATAAATATATATGGTGAATGGCGATCATCGAAATTGGTCAAAATTAGATAATTTCGTAGCTCATCACGACGAATAAATAATTTTTCTTTTCCTTGATCATCATAAAGGTTGACAAAATTTCCCCATGATTTACGGAAAAGATTATGATTCCTGTTCGACCATTTATCGGTATTCCAAGTAGATGTTTGGCATTCTATTGATTGTTGTCCACTCAGCTCTTCATCATCCTCTTCGTCGGCCCTACCGGTATCAACAAGCCATGAATTTTTCAAATCATGACAATTAAGGCGAATATTTTCTCTAGATTTATCTTTTTCATTTTGTTGTTGATTCCTATTCAAATATTGATCATCACCACCGGCTGACGTTGAACATTGATCGTTCTCTCTTTCTTCATAGAAACTCGACCATGTCATTTGTTTCCTGTTACTGAATATTTGAGACGATCTTTTTTCTTTATAGTTAGTAAGATTGATTAGAAAATTTTTCATTGAACTCATTTTTTCATCTGTTGACAATCTTTAGAATTCGATTAAAATACAATTTTCCCAATAGTTTTTATATATAAAAGTTTCAAATTCAATTTGGAACTATTCTAGAGGGCGCCAACATTAACTGACCTATATTCTATCTAATCCTGAGATCCTGTACATTATCCATCATCAAATATTATAGAATTATGAAACTTCAAAGTTTGTGAAAACGCAAATCAAATCAATTTGAAAATTGCTAATAGATTTCATATTCATCGATATACTCTCAAAGTGTAAACATGAAATGAAAAAAATTATTTTCTAAAAGTGGTAGCGGCACAGGCAATTCTTCTGCACGTGTTTTAACCACATCAAAAAATGTGATTGGAATTTCTTGTTGTAAACGTTGATGAAAAACCACTTGTTAACAAGTTCGATTTTCGACTTTTGTTTCGATATTCATTTCTCTGTTTAAATCATCATGGTCAACGATAACAATTCCGCTGGTATAAATTCGATTATACGACGATTGTTTGAATGTAATGCATTGAAATTCGGTCAATTCAAATTGAAATCGGGCATCCAATCGCCCGTTTATATTGATCTTCGAATTATCATTTCACAGCCTGATTTGATGATCGATCTTTGCCAACAATATGTTCCTTTGATGAAACAATGTCGTTTTGACCAGATCTGCGGTGTCCCGTATACAGCATTGACAATGGCTACTTATCTGTCAGCTCAATTTCACTATCCGATGTTGATGCGACGTAAAGAAATGAAGCAACATGGAACCAAGCAAACGTTGGAAGGCGTTTATCAACAAGGCAATCGCGTTCTTATCATCGAAGATCTTATTTCTTCGGGTTCATCAATTTTAGAAACCGCATTAGCCTTACGTCAAGCTGGACTCATTGTAACTGATGCAATAGTTTTTATCGATCGCGAACAAGGCGGAATCCAAAACCTTCGACATCCAGACATCGATATAAAAGTTCATAGCTGCATTAGTTTTAGTGAATTGATTAACTATTTGAAAAATGAGGGTCATATAACAGATGAGAAATCCACTGAGGTTCTCAAATGGATCAATTCAAATCATTGTGCCATACCTGTTGCTTTGCATAATCAGCTTTCATTGATCACTCGTCCATCATCATGGAAAAGCTACGAAGATCGAGCCCGATTATGCCAGAATCCTCTTGGCAAACGTCTGTTTGAATTGATGAAGTCGAAACAAAGCAATCTTTGCGTGTCGGCTGATCTAACAAATTGCGAATCTATACTGAAATTAGCGGATCTCGCTGGTCCACATATCGTAATGCTCAAAACTCATGTAGATATAATTGATGATTTTAGCATGGATTTTGCTCGAAGATTGCGAGATCTGGCTCGTAATCATAATTTCATATTGTTCGAAGATCGAAAATTCGCCGACATAGGTTTTACCGTTCAGAAACAATATACCGGAGGCTTATTTCGATTATCCGAATGGACCGATTTGATCAATGCTCACATATTACCCGGACCGGCTATAATCGAAGCTCTCCGTCAAGAAGCTGTGGCCTCATCACTTAAAGATGGTCAAGCTCGTGGTTGCCTATTAATTTCTCACCTTAGTTCTGAAGGAAATTTAGTACCTGCTGATTACGCTCAAGAAGCATACAAAATGGCTATAAAAAATCCTGATTTTATTGTCGGTTTTATTAGTCAGACTAAAGTATCATCCGACCCTGCTTTCATTCATATGACGCCTGGTGTAAAAATTGGAAATGAAAAAGGTGACCAACTTGGTCAACAGTATACAACGCCTGAAGATGCCGTCCAGAATAAAGGAGCTGATTTGATCATTGTTGGTCGCGGTATCATATCGAAATTGAATTCGTCCCGTGAGGAATTCGAAACAAACATTATTTTATACAAAAAGCGTGGTTATGATGCTTACATTAATCTTTGTCAATAGAAATCAATAATAACAATAATAATAATTTGTCAATGATAATAAATGTTTTTATTGAATAAATTTATAACTACGTTCCATTCGACGAAGCCGTTTGGCAATCGTTTTCATTCTAATCTGATCCTCCAAATGTTGTTCTTCCAAAGAACGGACCTTTCTTTGTGGAGCAAATTTTCTAATAGCTACTTGCCAATCACCGGTAGCTTTGACTGCATGTAATATTGCTGCCACTTGATTGAGGCATAGATTTTTATCTCCTTGTTTCCAAAGAACATTTTCATCCAACGGTAAACGATAACATCGAATACCTTCTGATTGTGCTTTCACATGTGAAACTTGCCTATGCGAACTTCGATCATTATAACCGCCTAGTATAAAGATGTCATCGTGATCATACTGTTTCAGCGAAAGTTTTGCATGTGGACTTAAGTAAATCAATTTATTTTTTGGAAATAAATCTGGTCGACTTAGGTAACTTTCCGGATGAAAGTAATATTGTTTTAAATCATCCATTCGTTTTAAATGACGCGACAATTCATTCACTGTATTTTCACCAACACGACAATTGGTGAAATGTACATCATATGGTAACGATTCAGGATAATCCCTATTGACACGATTTTCATAATACATTATGGAAATCTGTTTGGCTAACAAACCAATTTCGGATGGTTTCATGTATTGATCATAATCCAAATCGACGATCAATTTTTGACCAAACAAACATGTTTGTCGTGAAATGTGATTGCTGCGATAATCTCGTATAGCTTGTTTTGTTATGCGAGATATCAATGAATTGTGCCATAAACCATAAACTAGATGACCTTGTATATCGAATACTCCCTGTTCCCATTCGTCATTTTCACCATATTTCTCGCGTTTCTTTTCCAACATTTCTTGTTTTTTATAGAATTTTTTCTTGTATGTATTAAATTTATCACATTCACGAGTATAGAAAAACTTTATCATCTTGCGAAGTTCCTTTTCATCATCATAGGTAGACAATAGTCTTTTCATGTCGTTTACCGAAAGAATTGATGGAACCTGTTGAGTCGTGTACTTTTCAAGTTCATAGAGATTCAGGATTTCTTCGATCTGACCTTTACATTTGGGGTTTGTTTTGAATAGCATTTGAAATTGATTGACGGTAACTTCTTTGAATTGTCGGGCATTCTCGTAAAGTTGAGGTGTTGGATTTTGTTTTTGTTGTTGATCTTTACAACTTACAGCCATAATATGTAGATCTCGTTTTATACCATTGTTTCGAACAATTGAATTCGTCCATGATTTCATTAAAGAATTAATTAATCTTGTCATGATTTTGGATTTTTAATGATAATTTGACCAAAACAAATGCACGTTTAACATTTATTGATAATCATGCCATCTATTGTCGATGAAATAAAAAATTCGATTCAAAGTTTGAAAAATCAAGAATTTCACCATGGCAACCGGTATATAATATCATTTAGAATAAATATTATAACATCATGGTAAAATTGAATAACAATGGACGATTCTATTGAAGGTAATTTTTTTTCTCAATTGTTCATTATTTTAATTTATGATTTTAAAAGTTCATAGCAATCTAAATGAAAAATATCGAAAAGCTGTTCGAAGTAAAATTCTAAAACGGATATACGATAAGAACATTTTAGATCCATTCAAAGATGAAAAAAACAGTACTAATCAAAAATCGGAATCACCATCACCATCGAGAATCGTAATTCGAGATGATTCATCAATTAATCAAAAAATTCGAAATCGTTTGTCGAATGAATGGCAAAAAACTTTGGAACGTGTTCTAAACTATAGCGAGGATTATTTCGGTAACAAGCTTGAGATATCGCGAAAAGATGCCATTCGATTTTTTATCAACACTGTTTGGCAAGATGATTATGAAGATAGCGATGATAATCGTGAAGATTCAAATGAAACATTGAAACATAGACGAAAAGGTAAAAATAAGAAACAACTCGATGGAAAACGAACAATAAAGTCTTCAATGTATCGCGCAGTTAAACCTGTTAATGACGCAGATCAAGTGTTGATAGTTCGTCGTGCACGAATACCATGGTCAAATCATGATAAACAACATAAAAAAATCAATATAAATCAAATTCTTACTTTTGAATTTGAAAATGCCATTATTAATGATGATGATGAGGAAATTGATAAACTCGGTTATTTTTTGGGACATCAAGCTGTAAACAGATTGATTAAAGAACAAATCGAATTGAATCAATTTTTTCGTATCAATATTTTGGATTGTTTTCAGAAAAGATTAGTTTTTTATGAACCACATGAATCGCTTTTTAAAGTTTCAGTGCAGAACAAACACGATGATATGACACGAAAATCAAGATTGTCTTCCCTGTTGGCTAGAAGTTTAATTTTCATTCTAAATGTTTCAAACAAAAATGATCATATGAATCTTTGTTTGAACAATAAATCATTCATTTTGAGTATTGGTTCGATAAAATTAGATCTATGGAAACATCCGAACATGAATACTGTGAATAAGAATGTAAAAAAATTGTTGCTAGCATTCTCAAAATATGAAAAATCCATTTCATCTCATTCTAATCGAATGCTTGATACAATAAAACAACAGATCGATACGATTGTCAGCAAATTAGAAAACTTTATGCAGAATAATAATGAACAAACGGCAGACAAAGAAACCAAAATGGATTTAGATTTTCTTCAACGTTTACTTGAAAAACAGGACAAATTAATAGCCGATCGTCGACGATCATTAATTAATTTAATTCAACAATGGAGTTTATTTCAAAATAATTTGGAACGATTTAATGATTCGGATGAATTGCATGAAATTGATCTTCGATTGGATGAAATCGAATCAATCGACTCAGAAATGGAAAGAAAACAATTGAAAGAATTGATTTCGAAACGTGAAAAAATTCAACAATTAATTGTTCATATGACCAAAGTCGACGATAATCAGCTAGATACTGAAAACATTTTCTTGTGTGATGGTCGACTACCAGGTGAGCCAAAGTTTCGACCGATTGAATTGATTTTGCCAAAGAATTTTTCCACTTCTTCATTTTCTTCGTCTTTATTATATTGTATTGAAATCATGTTTGACAACAAGATTGTTGCTACATTCGAAAATCTTCATTTAAATCATAAAACATTTCAGGCAATTTATGACCACAATTATCGTTCTTTTCCGGTTCCAATTTGTTTAGATCCTTCATATACCATGTCATTGATTATGACAAAAGGCGAAGAAGTTTTTATTGCAAACAAATTGCCTAAAATTTGTATTAAAGAAAAAAATATTGCGGACAAGACTATCAAAACGATTACAGAGATAAGTGTTAAAAGTTTACCTCCATTAAGAATAAATTCAAGACAAAAATCCATTCGATTTGAAGAAACATTTCAATGTTCATATAATGAAACTCTCAGCAAAAAAAAGTCAAAAAATTCTTTGGAAGGCAGCATAGAATTTCAAATGTTCTGGTCTTCCATACCTGAATCTAATATTGATCTTGATCTGTTTGATATGTACGATTCAGAAAAGCGTCAAATAAAGCAAATGACTGATTTAGAACGAATCGATCAATGGCTTCATGACATTCGTTATCAAGTGGATTTTGTAGATTCAACTAATCATGATGATCAACTTGATTATCATCGACAAATAGAATTAATGCAAATATTGTTACGACAAAAATATCATATTGAATTGTCTGCGTTATATGAGGGAAAAAAGCTGAAATTAAATAAATTAACTACCGTCGATGATGGTGATCATTATCATCCATCCAATGAGGATGGAAGTTTTTGTACGATGGAAGAAATCGAACAAAACAAACGATTTCAGATGATGATACAACGTCGACAAGGACAAGTTGAACATAGAAATCAACGTTTCTTGCCTTTGACTGACACAGACGTTTTGTTTATCAATGATCAGTCGACCAATAAACTTGAAAAATCATCAACAAATAAGCTATTGGAATTTGTTCGTTTATCTTCGATGCAACAAATTGATCGTATTTCGGAAAATGATCCAAGCGAAGATTCTGTTGTTATTTGTCATGAATGGTGTGCAGGTATTGACGATCAATCTTCATTTAATTCATGGTATAAAACTGCAGCATGTGTGTTGATACAGATCTGGGATCATTCAATCGAATCGAATACTGAACAACAAATCGGGTCAGAAATAGTATCTCTGGATGAAATCATCAAAGAACAAACATTTGATACAATGAGGTAGCTAAATATTTGCAATTAATAATTACTTATTATTCAAACATGTTATTCAGTGGAGTAGATTTCTCCTGGCTTGCTTGGTTGTTTAAGTCACCTGCCGGACATAATCGTAAATTAAATCCTTCAAGACGAAATCGTCACAAAGAAGCACTTAATATTTCGGAAGCTATCGAAAGTGAAATTCAAATACATCTTCTACTCCAACATGCTACAAATGTACCTTCAAAAATTACTAAACAAGAAAACAGTTCAGGTTTGTAGGACAAAAAAAAATATGGAATAAATCAGATTCTATTCTAAGAAAATTTCTCAGAAAACACAGATTTGCTTTCCGAATGTTGCAGTTTTGTCGAAATCAAAATAGATAACAATCAACAAACAATGTCAACATCATTTTCCGATGGATCCAAACCGAATTGGAATGAAAGTTTTAAATTCAGGACCAAGTATATTATTTTCTTTGATTTCAATAAAATTCCAATAATTCTTTTTTTTTAAATTAGATTGATTCCAACAAACCGCATCAATTTGAATTTGTTTTCCGTAAAAAAACATTTGGATGATTTAGATACAAGCCAATTTGATATGTCCGATAGTGACAATTCGAAGCTTGATCGATGTTGGTTGGGACAATTACAATTACCCCTTCATGTTCTTATGTTTGTGCCGAAATTAGAGGGATCATTTCAATTATTTTCGCCCTATTTTAATCCCATAAGTTCAAATAATCGCGAATCCGATAATTTGTTAAACTTGAAAAAGTCACGGCGACGTCACCTTACTGATGATGACGTTGATGATGATGAAGATAATGATTCCGGAAAATTCGCAAAAAGCGTAGATCAGGTTCTTTCGTCTACAAAGAAAAATTCAAAAATAATCTCTTCAATAGGTTCATTTCAAGATATTTCTTTGTCAATGTTCATCACAATAGATCCACATGTTGAATTGAATCTATCATTGAAAACGAATCATCAATCAATCGAATCAACGGAATTGCTTGATCATTGTGAAAAATGGATACAATTATTGTATCAACGATTTCCACGACGACGATTTATTTGTCTGGTCAATAATCTACAACATCGTTCGGTGTTAGCCATACGTTTTCTGGCACCTTTAAAACCACCAACATTTGACGAATTATCTCCATTTCAATCAATAGAGTTGAAAAATGTCAAAAAGAAAACTAAACTAAAAAAATTATCTGACAAGAATAGTTTATATATTTTAATGATCATCCGTTATGTATCATTGATTCCATCATTATTGGAATCGAATCAACATCTTAAAAATTCATCAACTAATCGACGATTTTTTGACCGATGGTCAAAGTCAAACATATGGATGGATGTTTACCAATTTTTAACTATACGAATTGGATGTCAATCAGAGCATGCCATTTTGCTTGCCTGTTTTCTTCAATACATGAACAAAAAAGCTTATTTGGCTATTGGAACTGGATTATTAGACGGACCTGTCGCTTATGTGATTATTTATCCGGAATTCAATAATGATAATGATACAAATATTAATTCGATGAATGAAGAATATGATACAAAAAACAAATGGATATTGATTGATGCTAAGCGAGGGCGACAATTTTTTTCATCGGATCATGACTGTACAATGCAATCGATTGATTCGATTATAACGCCGGAAAATGTAAGTGAATTCACCTTATCTTGATGACATTCCTATCTTTACACCTTTTTCAGATTTATGCAAACATACAGAAAAGTACACAACCGAATTCAATTAGCTACAATCTTCAACGTTCGAATCGCTGGCAGCCCCTTTTAACTTCTCGAAATCAATCGATGATAGTTCAAAATTTAGATATCAGCATACAACCACAAACAATCAATTATGGCTCAATTCGTAACGATTTGGCAAAATTTATAGAAGTGAAAGTAGAAACTCACCTTCGTGAACAATTTATGGCTTGGCGAAGACATCAAACCGGATCGTATACACAGTTCAATCGTTTTTGTATGCAAATAGTCAAACCATTATTACCTGAATTAGAAAAACATACAGTGCTCAGTGTTGATGGAAATCGGTCTTATTGGAACAAACTAGCCGAGCTAGAAGAACGAATACAACAAAATCTTAAACAGATATTTGACGTACATGAGGTTCGTGTCTCAAGCCATAAATGGATATTTTTATCAAAATTTCACTTGTCCTCTTTTTTTTACTGTTTTGAAAAATTCTTATTTCCTTAATTTCTATTTATAGATGATTTGCTATCCATTGAATGTTGTCGGTCATTCAGCAACTGACTTGGATCAATTGACACGATTGATTTATGCGACCAACCTACACTTGACACATTTTGGTAATCCAAATCAAGTGGAATATGTTATTTCCTGTTACGTTCAACCATATCCTTCTGATCTTTACTCTTTGTGGATTTTTTTGGCTGCATTGACAACCAAATCGATTGTCTCTACTTGAACAAATTGATTTTTTTTAATAATTAAATTTATTCAATTGAAAAAAATAATTTTGAATAATTCAAAATGTATAATATAAAGATAGAAGTAAATGATGCCAAAAAAAAACCTAGATGAATTGAAATAATGATCACAATGGAATGTTTTTTGATTTGTTGGTTGGAATACTGATATTTCTTTAAACACCTGTCTCTAATCCAAATAATTGTTTCAAAAGTTCATATGTACAAAACGATACGGCAACCATTGGAACAGCTCGAATATAGTTAACACTCATGCCACGATATAGGCCACGTATGACGCCATGCGATCGATAAGTTAAAAGAAGTGTTTGGACAAAACTTTCTGAGTAAATGGCCGTTTCTTGGCTGGTCATGGCTAATTGCATGCGTCGCCTGGCTACATCCAATGGATATATGGCCGTTTGACCAATTGCACCAGCTATACCACCGCAAAGAAGTTTTGAAGGAACATTGAGCACTAGTTTGTCGTTTGACGCTCGATAACAGGTCCATGAAGGAGAATAATTTACACACCAATGTTTCAAACGTTCGAACATATAGAAATTACATCCACCATATGGAATCATGGCCAAAACGGTCGGAGTGATTCCACGATAAAGACCCATTATTCCACCTTCGTTACGAAATACGGATCCTAATGTTCCAAGAATGGTTGTCGGAACACCGGTAGTTTTGATTGAAATCAATGGATCTCGTTTAGTATTGACAACAGTAGCTAAACGAGCACGAACCAAATCCAGTGGATATGTCATCAGAACAGACGTTACACCAGCCATTGAACCAGCAACAAATTTTAATTCATGATTTACATTCGTTTGATGATTATTTGGTATATTGGCACTTAAACGATCATCACCGGGGAACATTTGTGAGAGTGCACGTTTGTACACTTCAAACGACATGAATTGTACAGCCGCATAAGGAAATATTCTGACCATTTGCGCTCCATTACCTGCCATCAGTTAGTTTTCATAAAATTATTAGAATAAAAGCAATATTTTTTTACACGTACCTTTGTAGAGACTGAAAAAACTTTCTTTCTGTACAATTGCTTTTAACCCGGACCAAACACCATGATTTCTATAATGGCTATTATGAACTTGAAGTAGAATTTTGATTCGATCCAATGGTGCAACAGTTGTTTTCGAAGTCATACCAGCTAGACCACCGGCTACAAAAGATTTGGCAAAAAAACGCCAATCTTGTTGTTGTTGTTTGGTTGACACAGTTTCCATAGTAATTTAAGTAATGAGAATACAATCAATAAATAAAATATTTGAAGAAAATGGTCAACATCATAACCATTTTCATAACATAGACACTAACAATAAGATAAAAAACATATTTGAAAAGCGAACACAAACAAACTAATCAAACTTTTAAATCGATGCTTTTTTTTTTGTTCAATCCTTTTCATTAAAAAAAAGAAAAAGAAAAAGAGAAGATATTTTTTTTCCTTTAAGCGCTAAAATAATCGTTATTATGCTTAAATATAATGAAAATAAACACGATGTTTTATAACAAACAGATGATTATTTGGCATGGCATGTATTTGTGATCAAAAAAAAAAAAAAAAAAAAAAAAAAAAAAAAAAAAAAAATCAAAAAAAATTTTTAAAAAAAAAATTAAAAAGATTTTTTTTTTTTTTTTAAAAAAAAAAAAAAAAAAAAAAAAAAAAAAAAAAAAAAAAAAAATTCACTAACAATGTTGATGAAATAGTATCAAATGATTTTTTTTCTCGCTTTGTTAGTCTCAGTAGGGTTAGTCGTAGTGGTATCCTATAGATAAAATTTTTATTTCTTTTTCTTCTTTTTTTTATGTATTCACCAATGTGTTTTCACTGAATCTTTATCGACATTCTGGCTGCCGGCCATCGATTAAATGGAATGCGAAAATGTGTATGTGTGTGAAGTAAGAGAGCAAAAGCAATATTAACCATCGATTGGTGACGACTACCAATTTTTTTTAAAAAAAGTTATCGTCCACATCATCATCATCATTATTGGATAAATAACATAAGATAGTTTTTTTTTCTTCTGCAAAAATATATAAATAGACCTGATCTGACCGATGATGATGATGATGATGATGATGATGATGTTTCTAACGAACGAAGACGACGAACAACTTTTCCGACGATGTTGATTTGATGTTCAATTTGATCGTTCAGTTGATTTCTATTGCTGATTGATGATGATAATAATTATGAAGACCAATCATTGATGAGTTTAAAAGAAAAATAAAATAATCAAGATCGAAATATTCGAATTTAGATTATACTTTATTCCTGTGTAGTTAAAAAAAAATTAATCAGAATTCGATGGTCATCTTTAAGAAGAATTGTGGTGGTGGTGGTGGTTGGAAACTTGTTTGAAATTCCTGAATACACACACACGAAGCAAAATGGATATAATAATTTTGACAAAAAAAAACATGCGTTCACCGAATGCGACTAAATCACCGACTAAGATTGACATTTTCTTTTGAATATCATGCATGACAATTTTCAAAAATTTTATTTTATTTTTCTAAAATATCTAATGGAGTTTAAAAATGTAAATTAACCAAGTGAAACCAAGTTAGAAATTTCATTTATCAAGCTATTTGTTTCCGGCCTAAAAAACTTTGAATTCTTTCCATGAATGATTCATTCATTCATTCATTCATTAAATGCATCAATAATCACAAATGTGTTACATTGATTGAATACAGTAAAAGGCAATAAATGTTATGATTGTTCTAATTGATTAATTGAATTGTTATAAAATACACTGTATACATATTTAAATCAACTAAATTTGTAACCATCAATACAACAATGATCGAATATATTATCAATATACAAGTTGAGAACTTGGCTTGATCGGTTTCTTTACTTCCAAAAAGTCGATGATCATAATTTTATTTGATAAATGAGAATATTACTTAAGATATTAACGAATTGAAGAGCAAAATGGTTTTTTCAGTACATCATTGCTAAAAATTTTGGAGAAAAGAAAAACCTCTCTAACCGGTATGTTTTTTTTCCAATACTTGTGTGTTCGGAACTTGCATGTCAAGATCAAGTTTGAATGGCCAAAAAAAAGAAAAAGAAATACTGTTTTCAACCAGGTAATACACATTCAATCAAAAAAAAAATTCCGGAACACACAATATATTCAAGGTCAAAAATACAGGAAGCCATTGATTGAATGTTTAGTTTAGAAATTGAATCTAATTATTTATCACAAGTATTAGATAATGATATAACAACCTGGAAAATAATATGAGTACACGCGATTACCAAAAAAACAGAAGATAAAACATGGAATCTGCCTACCCTTAACGTTATAAATAACAAAACTTATTGATCATCATCATTTTAGAGTAAACTTTGTTTGTGTCGACAGAAGAAAAAAAATAAACGATTCTTATCAAATGAAATTGTGTTAAAAATTTCATTTTTAAGAATATGAATTGTAATGAGATGATTATTGATGAAACAAAAAAAAATACCCAAAAAAGAAATTATTTACTAGTCTAATCGGTATCTATGTCTGTTGTTGTTTTTCAGTTATTTATGATCATCAACATGAAATATCTGAATGATTGACATCATCGTCGTTGTTGTTTTTATTTATATTCGATAAAATCGATACGCATTTTAATCAAATTGAAACAAATAATAATAATAATAAACATCATTATATCATTGAATTGCATGATTATATTGAAATTTATCAACAAAACAAAAACAGACAAAGTGACAAAATGATTCATTCATTCAAATCGTTCAAATCATACCTTTTATTTTAATTTTTTCAATTTTGAATATTCCCGGCAAAAAATTTTTAGCAACTTTGTGTTTTTTTAAAATATTTTTAGTATGGTTTAACTACTCGACCGATTTTCCATCACACTTTTTTTTAAAAAGTTTTCTATCAATTTTCAAAGGTATGTTAATTTTTGGCATCAGTCCACGTTATTGTTGCTTTTTTTCCGCATTTACCCGAAAATAGATTCCCATTCAATATTACAATGAAAGATATTTGGCTATTTTGCCAAATACAAAAGTAGTAGTATGTCTTCACTAACAAGAATCTTGTAAGAATTTCTATTTTATTCACACAACAAAATGAACAGTTAAGAACATACATAAAGCCTAGACCCAAAGTACATATAACAAACATATATACAGAAAAAAGATTTCAAAATCAAAATTTTTTTTTGTGTCTAGCTCTTTACATAAGTACATAATTTTAACTGAAAATTCTTCTAACAAAATTACAAAAAAAAAATAAAATAAATTTTTTTGTTTCTGCTTAACCATGACCTGTTGTTGCCGTTATTTGAAAAGATTTGACTCAAATATCGTTAGAAACGATAAATGATGATGATCATCATCATTGCTATATTATAAATGATGGTAATGTTTGCAGACGGGCGAGGCAATTTAATAATGTGTGAAATGAGAAAAAAAAATAACAAATTTTTTTTCTAACGACATCGAATTGGATGGGAAGAAAAACTAGAGTATCATCCGATTTTTTATAAAATATCTGTTTGATGCTTGTTTGTCCTTGTCTATATTGGTGGTTAGATGCCATGTGTGTGTGTTTTTTTGTAGCGTTCATGGTAACTTGTTCACTTTCAAAATTTCAATTGAAAATGCTATAATCAGCAGCAGCAAAAATCAAATTCAAATCGATTTGTGTTGAATCAATGAGAAAAGTGAGAGAAAGAAAACCCGAAAAAAATGCAACAATTTAAAGCAAATCCGGTACAAATGATAAAATGAAACATTTTTTTTTCTTCAAAAAAATTGTGATATCAAGGTAAGTGATGAATGTGATTTACCTTCACATAATCTGATGTTGTTGACATAATTTACAATGTTGTTTTTTTTCTTCATTCAATCGTGTTTGTGTTTTGTGTATGAGATAAGTAAACAACTTTGATCAAACATTTTCTCGTCAAAGAATTATTGTTCTTTTCTGTAAAATAAATTGCTGATATCTTATCATCATCAGATATCCAATGATGATTTTTCGAATCACAAAAATTTCGAATAATATTTTCTCTTTCTGTCAATGTTTCAAATTTCATTCATTCAACAAAATCATTAAACAAACTCGATTCAATCACCTTTTTTTGATTTAATTTATGTCTAAAATGTCTGAATTTTTTTCAAAAACAACAAAATCATTATCATCATATTTAGTGCGTGCATGGTATCATATTTTTTAGTTATTTTATGATATAACTATATCATAATTCGATTGATATGTTTATGATGATTGATAAAATATTGTTGTTAAAATATCGTGAAACTATTTTGACAGTTTAGTGATAAAAAAGAAAAGAAAAGGAAGGAAGATATAAGAGAGAAAGAGAAAGAGAGAGTTGAATCATAATAGTTGAATGAAAAAGATATATTTTTTTTTTTGTTGAAAATCCGGGATCATGTCACAATCATCAATTTAAAATTGAAAAAAATGCTCTTAAGGTGTGTGTGTGTGTGATGTCATCATCATGTTATCATCATTACCATTTTAAGTACATTATTGATCCATTATTTTGATTGATTTCGATTTGATAATGATAATAGGTGGTGGTGGTGGTTTCCAAGGTGTCTTGTCTATAGACAATTCAAAAGATTTTTTTTTCTTCCTACTTTACGCTAATCGATATAATTGTGATGAAAACGTTTTGATTCATTCATTCATTCATTCATTTAATCAAGAAAAAAAAAATCCTTATACCAAAAAATAAGGATATAATACATTAACACAATAAGAAAAGAAAAAAAAAACATGAAAGAGAAAAAAAAAAAATAATACACAATCAAAGAAAAAGATTTGAAAAAAAAAGAAAGAAAAAAAAAAATAATAATAATAATAATCTAACAGTGAATGCGAAATTTCAGAAGAATTTCAGGAAAAAAAGAGGGTGATTTTTTGTTCAAATCAAAAATTTGATTTTTGCCGGTCAAATAAATATATCCTTTGTAAATTTTTTTGTTTTGAACATTTTGTACAAAATGCAGCAGTTCTGGATAACTTTCCATATTTGTCATAATCGATGGCAAAAAAAATATGAATTCGTTGAACCAAAAATAGAGACAATATTAAAAAAAAACAAAACAAAATTGTTGTTGTTGTTGTTGTCTGGGATGGGAAGGGAAGAAGAAGGAAAAAAATCATTCATTCAACGGATGACATTTTTCATTATTAATAATGATGATGATGACGATGATAATGGTGGAACCACCACCACCCTTCTACCAATACTATCTCATCATCATCGACCGTTTATTTGTTTTAACGTCATCCAAAAATCCATCCCAAATTTTGTAATCAAGATTATGATCTTGTCATGTTTATATGGTATGTGTATATGTACTACATAATTGATGAATAGTATGTTCATCACATAATGTAATCATATTGTTGAATCTATATATTTTTTTAATAATAAATATTTTCATTATTATAATAACAATATGAATCTATGGCATTGAAATGTTTCTTCTTCTTCTTCTTCTTCTTAATACCGTGTTATTTGATTTGATTTTTCTTTTAGTAATGGGTATATAACTTTTGAAACAAAATAGTTACAAGCTTGTTGTTTTTTTTTTTTTTTTTTTTTTTTTTTTTTTTTTGGGTTTTTTTTTTTTATTAATGGGTATATAACTTTTGAAAAAAAAAAGTTAAAAGCTTTTTTTTTTTTTTTTTTTTTTTTTTTGCTTGTTACTGGTGATTTTGATGATGATGATGATGATGGTGGTGGCGATATGGTCAAATATAAATAAATTGTATGCATATCGTTTTATTATTCAAAAAAAACTCACATTGTAAAAAACAAAAAACACACACATACACACGCCGAACATTCGAACGTACCAACTGATTCAACCAAACACACCAAGCGTCCAACCCATTTTGGACAGCCAAAATAAATGCAACAAAAAAAAACCGAGCAAGTTTATCTCTGCAAAAAAGCATGTATGTGTTTTATAAATTTTTGTTGTTGTTGTTGTTGTTGTTGTTGTTGTTTTCCTTGTTCTGTTCTGTTCGTAAAGCTCCCAACAAATCATATACAAAATAAATGAAATATATGTTTCCCAAATATTGGAACAAACACAGATACTATCCATTTGGGTGTTTTAGTTAGATAATGCTGTCACCGTGATAGCGTTTGTGTATTTTTTTTGTGTTGCTGTTTTATTTTGGCGCAACGATTCGGCGTGATATATTCTCGGTGTACATCTGAATATATTTGGTTCATTGGATCTGGCATTCAAGTGAATTCCACCACTACTTTAATATTGTGTCAAGATATAAAAACCGGCAAACTCAACATAAAACTTCATTGTCTTTACAACAATAATAATATATCCATGATGAGATTAGCTGCTTTATTATAAGCCACCGGCATCTTTCCTATCTCTATCTCCATAGCTACATATGCGTATACTTTCATAGATTGGCTATAGCGGCGTTTTGTCTTATTTTCTGGATGTTGAGATATTGACTAGATTCTCCCATCTCTCCTATTTCACCATCTCATCTTTATTGTATTCGTGTGTGTGTGTGTGTAAGTTTGTTTCCATGTAGACTTTTTTTTCGCTGATCCATTAACGGAGATTTATCATTTTGTTTGTTTGTTTGTTGTCTATCTTTGTGCCTTGGCCTCGACCAATGTCAATGATATTGATTATTTAAAAAAATTGAATGACTGCTACCATTATCAAATAAGCACGTTTGATTTATTGAAAATTTTTTGATTTTATTATTTGTTATAATCTGGGCGTATAACTTAGAATTTTGTTTTTTTTCTTTCTATTCTTAGAATTTAGATTCTGTGCAAACCCCCGAGTATTTATCATCGCATTTGAAAGCAATGTTGGCCAACATTATTCATCTATGATATTTTATTGCATCTTTTTTAAACCTGATCATGATTCATCAACTGTCATCATTCATTATCATTATTTATTGAAAAAACAAAAAACAAAAATTCAAATCAAATAGATTATCAAAACGAAAATCTTCAACGGTTTAGTCTATATATATACAAGTTGTCGAAAACACACTGGAATCTGACCTTCCATCTTAAGTCAGATTCAAATATTTCAAACGTTTTTTAGTTATATCATCATATTTTAATAATTTTAATAATCATGTTTCAATCGTTGGGTCGTTTGTTCGTCTTTTGTTTTAAATATGTTTCCAGTTGTTTTCAATTGTTCGCTACATTCGGATGTTCAGCACATCATCATCAAGATTATCAACAACATAATAACAATAATCAGAGCAGTCGATCTCTGACTACAAATAATAGTCAACAACAACAACAACAACAAAATCCAAATACTGTTAACACCCATAATCTTGGCACGAATAATAGTGTTATCAACAGCAATGGAAAAGTGATCCATCGAAATAAAAATGGTCATCTAATGAACGGATCATTGACTAATGGATATCAACAATATTATACCGCAACGTCTTCAATTAACAAAAGATCAAAGTCTTTTCAAAATGCACACACTGCCATCATTAACAACAACAATAATAATTATCACAAATCAGTTGTTCGGCCCATAAACCAGAAGCAATTCAACGAACCAATCCGTCCGACAATACCATTCCATATGCTCGTCTCAAATTACATTTGTCATGGTACATTAATGTTATTTGGTTATATGAACGATTTTCTTCGAAAAATCGGCTGGATCGAATCATTTGAACGTGTGGAAAAAAATCGCGAAGGTTATACCCAATTATACAACACATTTAATCCATTCTACATCCGAAATATTATTTTACGGTTGATTAATATGTGGTCACATCCTATTTGTTCGGCACCCGGTGGCTATACAGAAATCTTAGAACGTGAATTTGGACCATATAATGCAACTTGGAAGTTAGTAAGCATCATTGAAAAGATCGAACAATATATTTTGTTTTTTGATCTTTTTAAAGTCAACATCCAAACATGGCTGAAATATTTTTTTTCTTCTTACTATAGATACACTGGACGTAAAATAAAAGCCATAAATATGGGATCATATGATTATCTGGGACATTCAGAGAATAAAGGGCCACGAATCGATTCGGTCATTGAAACTATAAATAATGTTGGTGTCAGCGTTTCTTCGACGCCAAATGAATTCGGTAAATTTATAACCAAGTTGAACTTTTGATCCCATTTTTTTATTATTGAATCCTTGATCAGTTCTAAATCATATCATAATATTAGTACTAGATTTTTGTCTATTGTTTTGTATTCTATTTTAATAATATCTTTGTAAACGATTTTATTCTCATTAATATTTCATAAAACAGGTACTACACAAATATATCGTGAACTAGAGACAAAGGTGGCCAAATATCTGGGTGTGGAAGATAGTGTTGTGATTGGCATGGGTTTTGCTACTAATTCATTATCGTTACCGTGTTTATTTGGTCCCGGATCGTTAGTGATTAGCGATGAATGTAATCATGCTTCATTAGCGCTTGGGTGTAAAATTTCGGGAGCCAAAGTTTGTGTTTTCAAACACAATAGTAAGTTATGATGTTTAGAACATGACGTTTTTATTATTATTAATTATCATTTTTATTATTATTAGATATGAACCATTTGGAAAAGATAATTACTGAATCTTTGTTAAAAGGACAACCTAATGGTGAACAATGGCGAAAGATTGTCATCTTGATTGAAGGTATCTATTCGATGGAAGGTACAATCGTCAATTTACCCGAAATAATACGCATAAAGAAGAAATATCGGGCCTATGTATATATGGATGAAGCCCATAGCATTGGCGCCATGGGATCTCGAGGCAGAGGTATCTGTGATTATTACGGTTGTGATCCACGTGATATCGATATACTGATGGGAACATTTACCAAAAGTTTCGCTGCTGCCGGTGGTTACATTGCCGGTGATAAACGAATCATTAATTACATACGCACCAATTCGGCTTCTTTTTTTTATGGCACCACAATGGCCCCCCCTATTTGTCAACAAATATCATCGATTCTTGATGATTTTCTTTCTTTAAATACCGATAGTAACATCAAGTCACCTATACAGTGCCGAATATTTCAGCTAAGAAAGAATGTCTTCCGTTTTAGGCAAAAACTAAAACAATTAGGATTTCATATTGATGGAAATAATGATTCTCCAGTCGTACCATTGATGGTATACACTCCTTCTCATCTTAAGTATGTACATTACATCCATTTTATCATTGTTGATAATTAATTTTTCAATCTCTTCAGATGTTTAATATCTAAATTGTTAGAAAAAGGTGTGGCCAGTACTGGAGCAGCATTCCCAGTCACTAGTTTAACTGGTCCTCGTGCCAGATTTTGCCTTTCTGCTAGCCATACTGATCAAATGATCGATTATGCATTAAAATGTTTGGATGAGATTGGCACCGAAATCGGCATCAAATTTGATGGTAACAAAAATTTAAAACCATCACCTTCTCATAAATGTTCGATTAAATGTCAACATCAACCTGAATACTTTAATGGTAATGGTATTGCTGTTTTTTAAAGAATCATTGTTCGTATATCTCATAGAATCAAACGCTGGTTTAAAGCCATTTCAAATGTCCGTTGAGGGATAACGAATACCAAATGAATTTGATCGTTTACGTTTTTCTTATATTAATTATTTTCTTTTATCGTTTGACATCACATACACACACAAAAACACACACACACATACAACATTTATAACTTAGATACCTAACGTATATTAATCATTTTAAATAATTGCTTTAAACAATCGCCCATACAAATATTAAATTTTGTTTATCATCAATTTTAATGAAAAAAGTTTTTAAAAATAAACATGTAAGTAATGACAATGATCAATAATCTCCATGTTTATAATTCTTCTCTGATATGTTGGTTGCTATCAGACCGATCTAATTGATCCTGTATGAATCGATTAAGATCCTCAATTTTTCGATCGCCTTGATACAAAATAGGCTTACGGGGACCTTGATCCCGACGAATATAATAAATTGTAGGAAAACCATTCACATCGAACCATTCGGGAAAATCATTACTACTCGCATCAATTTTCATGATTCTCAAACGATCATTTTCGTGTTCGAATTTTTTGGCCAATTCTTGATAGATGGGCATCAATGCTTTGCAATGGCCACACCAAGGCGCATAGAATTGCAACATTATATCATGTTGTTTAGATTGAATAATCAATTGTTGAAAGGTTTCGCCTACCACTGTCCATAAGTTATTGACAGGATTTTCTTTTGGAATAGGTTGTGATCGCAGAACTGGATTAATTTTTCCTGTACGAACAGCTAGTACAAAATCAATCAAGACTTGATCATTGAATTCATCTACTGGTTCCATAGCGTAACGTCGTTTAGCGGATTCAAAATATCCAACATTCACATCTGCGCCACTATCATCCAATTTGAGATCTTTCAATTCTTGTTCATTTTTGCTTTCTTTGGCAATCACGAATGTAATTTCTTCGGTTTTCTTGATTTGTGCGGCAGCTTTCAGAACTTGTTCTCGTATCATTTGGGTTTCTATATATGAGAAAATTTTTAATGAAAATGACTAGATTCATTTTAAAATAATCAAGTAATAGCTTACGTTTTCTGTAATCAAAACTGAAATCAACATCATAGTAGACAACAACTAGCGGATAACGATTAGCATAAAGGCTATAGGTTCGAGAATAACGATATCCGACCAACGGAATACTATGGTTGCGAATGAAATCCACCACTTCTTGCACCGAAGTTGATTGATCCAGTATCATGATATGGCTATTAGATTCATATTTCGAACGAAACCACAATGGGTAAAAAACGGCTATTGAATTTGGTTTTTGTTTGAGCTGATTCACTAGATCGTTGTTAGCGATGTGAACAAAATAATTATCGTCATCGAATTGATCATAAGCAACGTCTATGAAAAGATCGAAAATTTTTTCATCTGGATGAGTATCAAAAAATCCATTAATAGTTGGAATATCCTCTTTGATTTGCTTTCTTAGCATTTCTTTCGATTCGATCAATTTGCTGGGAACTTTTTGTATCTCTTTCATAAAATCTACAATACCATTCTCATCTCTAGGTCCTTTGTAAGTGAGTTTTTTTCCATTTCGAAAAATGAACAACGTTGGATAGCCTTTTACTTCGAATTTTTGAGCTAGCTCTTGTTCAGCAGTTGCATCTACTTTGGCAAGTTTAATTGGTTTTTCTAGCTCTTGAAGCCTTCTTGCTGCACGTTCATATTCCGGTTTGAGACGTTTACAATGGCCACACCAGGGAGCATAAAACTGAACCAGCATCAATGATTCTGATTTTATCGTATCATCGAAATTTACAGATGTTAATGTGATCACAGACTCTATTGGTTTATAATTAGGATCAGCTATTTCACGCATATAATCTGCTATCCCTTGTGATGTACGTGGACCATCGTATTCAGTTCTGGTTCCATTACGATAGATGAACAAAGTCGGAACTACGATCAATAACAACAGTTATTTATATAGTTGAAGATTACGATTGAAAAAAACTCACATCCAGATACATTATGTTGTTTTGTAAATTCAGAAAATTTCGAAGCATCGATTTTGGCCAACACAACTCTATTCTGATCATCTTGTAGAATTTTAGCAGCTTTGGAAAATTCAGGTGCTAATGCCTTACAATGACCACACCATGGTGCATAAAATTCAATCAATGATAATGGATGTTGTTGAACAAAAGAATCATAGTTTCTATCATCCAAAACATATACATAGTTTTCGACAGTTATCGTTTCTATATCTTTTCAATGAAATGAAATCATTTGAAATTTGATTCTCATTTGGGTGTACATACCATCAATATCGATATCGCATCGGATTAATGTTATCAGGAATAAAAGATAATAAAAACTAAATGATAATGACGATTTCATTTTTTATAAAATTTTCACATGATACAATATTTATTCGCAAACTATACGTCATCAAGTGTAAGCACAAAGAACACAAGTCATGAACCTGTTGTCGGGCCGGTCAGCTGACCGAAATCCATGTTCATACATCCATTTTTCAAAACACGAATGATAAATGACAGATATCAATAAATTCACATTTAAATTCTTTCTCGTAAAGTTTTCGATATTATTTTGGGAAAATTTCTCGAAGTCAAGCCGCTAACTTTTTTTCATCTTAAAAAAGTTTATAACAAATTGATGATGTTCAAATCATCACTTTTCTACGCTAGCCACTTATTTTCTAGTCATCACCGTAATTTGTATCGACGATTGTTGCCTTATAATATATCAAAATATTTGCATACATCATTGTTATGTTTAGCTGCTCAAGTTGATTACTATAAAGTACTTGGTGTATCGAGAAATGCTTCACAAAAAGATATTAAAAAATCATACATCGAATTAGCAAAGAAATATCATCCTGATACCAATCCCGGTAATAAAGATGCTGCCAAACTTTTCCAAGACATAGCCGTAGCTTATACGGTTTTGTCAAGCAAAGAAAAACGAAGTCAATATGATGCGCAATTCGAACAAGAACAAAATCAAACATTCGAATCATTTAGACGTTCATCTGCTTCCACTTATCAATCACCTTATGAAACATTTCATTCTTCAGTCAATCCTGAAGAATTATTTCGAAAAATTTTCGGTACCGATTTTCAAGATCGTTTCACCAAAGCTGATCGCGAATGGATTGATTATTCGGGTACTGAACATGGCCACGCTCCAACAGAAACTACTATTATAAGTTTATCATTTCGTGAAGCTGCAAAAGGCTGTGAAAAAGTGGTTGAAGCTCGAACATTAACTGTTTGTGAAAAATGTATGGGCATCGGCAGTGAACCCGGAAAATCTATTCAAGTCTGTCCATTCTGTGAAGGCCTTGGCTTTGAAATTATCGAAGGTGTTGAAGATAGATTTCGAGTAACATGTCGATTTTGCAATGGTAAAGGACATAATGTTGTTAATAAATGTACCAACTGTTTGGGTTACGGACGAACGTTGGTTGAACGTAAAATCATAATTCCTGTACCACCTGGTGTAACGGATGGTGAAACATTTAAAGTTAACGTTGATCCATCCGAAGGAGATTCAGCTCGTGGAACAATAGGAACTCAACAGATTTACATTAAGTTTGTGGTAGAACCATCTGAATACTTTTCCGTAGATGGCAATGATCTTCATTCATCAGCATCGATATCGATACCGCAAGCAGTGTTTGGCGGTGAAATTATTGTCGATGGATTATGGTGTGAGGAAAAAGTTACCATTTCTCCTGGTTCAGATTCGCATACCGTAATGAAATTAGATAAGAAAGGTTTAAAAGACAAAGTTAATCCAACATATGGTGATCATTATGTGCATCTAAAAATCATTGTGCCTAAAACTCTCACCAAGGAAGAAAATGAATTGTTACGAAAATATGCTAAAATCGAAAATTTAACTAATGGTTCGATTCATGGCATTCATAAAGGTGATTTATTTATTTATATTTTAGGTTAAAATAATTAAAAAAAATTCGAATTTTTAGATGCAGAAAAAACCAGATCCGATAGCGATCGCAATGCGACTGATCCAGATATTTCCGATCATGAACGTTTGCAACAAGCAAAAATAAATTTTTCGATTTCGACTATTTTTGATGGATTTATTGGCGAACCAATAAAAAAATTTTATCGAATGTCAAAAGTGATTTTAGGAGAATTCATGTCTAAAAAATAAAAATTAAAAATTTCATTACGCTCTTTGTGATGAACTCTTATTCAGGATTCCCACGTGTTTTTTTGTGTTTTTTTTTGATCATCGTTATTTGCTGGATTCTTAGTTTTATTGATATTTTAAATCATGGAGCCTCACCGACCAGGTCGTTTTAAACAAAAAAATAAACCACATAAAGCTGGAAAAAAACGTTTCCGATATAATTCAACATCTTCGGTTCATTCATTACGATCCTCGTCATCGAATATTTGTGGCAAAAAAGGTTCAGGTTTTGCTCGTATTGTGCGAAAAAATCAATCAATACAAATCAGGCGCATTAAACGAGAAGAACTAATTAATTCGCGTCGAAAAATTGCTATAGCGCCTATTCTTATTGCTGTTATAGATTTTTCTGATCGTTTGGATCATTTTTTGAATCTTTTACAAGAATTCGACCCAACATCTACGATCGAAACTTCCAAACATGGTCATTATTGGCATATTGATCTGCCAAAATTTCGAACACGATATCAGCTAGTAATTTTGGATCGAAAAGATCTTTTTTCATCAATTGACTTGGCCAAATTGGCTGATATTTTATTGATCATTCATTCAACAGACGTTGAACGTTTGGAAATCAATAATCCAGAATTGATTCAAGATGATTTCTTCACCTTGGACGCAATTTATAATCATTGCTTGCCTATGGCTATCCATGGTATTATCGGTTTGACCGATTTGAACAATCCGAAGCAAAAAGATCGAGTACGACGAACACTCTTTGATTTTATGAATAAAAACTTTCCCGGTCTTATGGATGGACTTAATGATAAATTGCGATCATTGGATACGGTTCAAGATTTGTTTAAATTCTTTCACTTTTGTTCGACCGTTAATTGTGGCCGTAATAGATCTAGTAGTTATTGTTCGCGTCGAAGCCAGCTTTTGGCAGAAGATTTTAATTTCGTTCCTAGTTCATCAGATACTGAAATCGGTACCTTGCAGGTTGAAGGTTTTGTTCATAATAATCCATTGAATGCAACTTCCTTGATATATGTTCCAGAATTCGGAGAATTTCATATGGATCTGATTGAAACTGTTCCAGTTCCATATGGTAATGAAAAACGGAAACAAACCAAAGAAATGGAATTCCGAATGTTGTGTGATCCAAAATTACGACCATCATTAAAACGAGAGAATTCTGTCGAAACAATTTTCGAACAAGAAATGAAAGCACAACACGAAGACATTCAACATTCGGAAATAGAAAGGAAGAAAGTGCCTGTCGGTACATCTGACTATCAAGCAACATGGATTTTCGAGTCGGATGAAGAAGAAAATGACGGTGATATTGATGTTGAATGCGATAATGAAAGTCAATTTAGTGATGATCAAGATGAAATCATTCAAAAAATGAAAAAGATTAAGTTTGCCCCTACCGTTGCTGTCTATGACGATGAAAACGTAAACGAAATGATAGATGATGAAAATAATGATGAAAATCTGGATAAAATGATTGATTATGATCAAGAAATAGATATGCAAGAAGAACAAATGGAATTGGAAAAATTCAAGGAGCAACGAATGTATGAGATGTTTCCTGATGAAATCGATACACCTGTGGATCGGCCAGCACGTGAACGTTTCGCTAAATATCGTGGATTGAAAAGCTTTCGAACATCATCATGGGATTGTAAAGAAAATCTTCCTTCTGATTATTCTAGAATATTTCAATTTGAAAATTTTAATCGTGTGCGTAGACGTATATTCAAGTCTGATATGTTTGGTGCCGATCCTGGATTTTACGTTCGTGTCCATCTAGCTAATGTGCCGAAAAAAATGGCTGATTACTTTCAACGAAATTCTCATAAACCTTTAATTTTATATCAACTTCTAGCTCATGAACATAAAATGTCTGTGATGAATGTCGTTGTAAGAAAAGTGACATCGTTTACAATGCCAATCAAATCAAAAGAACGATTAATTTTTCATGTGGGATATCGTCGATTTGCTTCGAAACCTATTTTTTCAGCTCACACGACTGGTGACAAACATAAGTATGAAAAATATCTTCGTTCTGATGTTGCTTGTGTTGCCACTTTATACGGACCTATAACATATCCTCCAGCACCTGTTATCGTTTATAAAGAATTTGAAGATGGTAGCCATCAATTGGTTGCTATTGGTTCTCTATTGGATTGTAGTCCTGATCGTTTAATTATCAAACGTTTCATTCTTTCTGGGCATCCGTATAAAATTCATCGACGTCATTCTGTTGTTCGCTATATGTTTTTCAATCGTGAAGATGTACTTTGGTTTAGGCCAGTTGAATTACGAACAAAATATGGCCGCCATGGACACATTTTGGAACCATTAGGAACACATGGTCATATGAAATGTCGTTTTGATCATCAGCTTAGCTCACAGGATACTGTGCTTATGTATCTTTACAAACGAATTTTTCCAAAATGGTATTATGAGCCGATTATGGTTGATCAACATCCAAACATAAACTTGACATCTAATGATCAACTCAACCAAAACGAAAACAATGATGATGATAATAAAATGCAATTATAATTTATATGAAATTGTTTTTTTTTGAAATAAAAAAATCTGTTTTTTTTGCAACTTTTGAATTAAATAAAATATATTTTATTTTTTCTTACTAATCAGTCCAATTTTTTAAAAATCTATTATCCTGATCAATGTTTTAATGATCGAGTTGAATAAGATGTACGAAAATTAAATTCTTTTTATTCAATTCATTAGAAATGTGTCATCATTTCGTTGAAATTCAATATGATTTTGGAATGAGCGTAGGTTTTGTTTGTCTGCAATTCAATCCAATGAAAGTTTTGTTCATCATTAATTTCATATTTTTTTTCGTGAATTCACGATTGAAGGACATCGAATAGATTGGGCTGGTCTTTAATACACAGGCGATATAACAGAGCTGAATGGATTGATGAAAAAATGAACATCAAACTGACAATGAACAAATAAAAAAACATTTCTAACTCATAATTATTATTAGATTATTGGGTGTTGTGATGGGAGAGATATTTGCTTGCGCTTCAATGATTCTTCTGTTATGTAGTTTTTCGGTTAATGCCGTTTTTATTGTATAGTTTTCGCTTTAAATTTTTTTCCAATCAATCATCAAAAAAAACTTATCAAAACAACATAAATATTCATTGATAAACATGTATACTTAAATAACCATTAGATTAAAAACAATGCGTTTCTTATCATTATATTCATATTCATTGAAAAAATCACCGAAAGATCTTCGATTAGCGATTGTGGCTTGTCGTTTGTCGTTGATATTGGCAATAATTGCATTAATTTTGTTTCTATTAACCGTATTTACTTTTTTTACGAATAATAACCATAATTTAACTTTGTCACCAATATTATCTGATGATCAAGACGATACCAGTTCATTGGAATTAGTTAATCAATCCGAAAATCAAACGAATATAATCACTCCTTCTTTACATCTAAATACTGCCGATTTTTCCGGTGAGTATGCTCAGTTTTGCTAATTAAAAGAAAATTTGAACATTTATTTCAAATAATTTTCATTACATGTTGAAAACGTGATCGATCAAAATTTCTAAATATATCATACAATGACATTACTCAATTTTGTAGTCATATTGCGATAGCTTTAAATAAAAAAATTATGATTAAATATTCCTATTTTTTAATGATTTGATTATTATCTAATCGATTTTATATAGCATTCACTTTCCTATTGATCGGATTTATATTGTTCATTTGTGTAACAATCAGCAGTTCATATGCCTATTTTTTATATCGAAATTATCGTCAATCACGTTTGGTAAACTATGAAATGATAAATCGTTCATTTGATCAGATGTATTCGGAACAAATTGCCAGATTAAAGATCAAAGACCCTATTATTGCATCTTCGAATTCAGGTACAAATCCTGAAAGTTTAACCGAAGCCATTACTGTGATCAAAGTCGTGGAAAGCCAGAAACCAAATATTAGCACTGCGATGTCGATTAAAGCCAAAAATAATCCCCAAAATAGAACCAAATTTAAATTCTGGTCGCGTAACAAACACCAACAAGAACTAAATAGTCAACAAAGATTCAACTATAGAAAAGTTCCTATCTCCAAAGAGATGACCATTTGATTGTTATTCTTGCTAATTATAAAACATTTTTTTCCTCTTTTCATATATTATGATTCTTTGTTAAATGTTATTTACATTATGTCATCAAATGATGGGCAAAATAAGCCGTTAAAAGTTTTTGTTTTGTGAAGGAATTGTGTCCATATTAATATAACATAAAAATGTCACTACTTCGTATCGATTGTATTCGTCTGTATTCGACGTTCGTTCTCATTTGGATTACGATCGCATTCAATTTGATTGATTAAAAGATTCCAACGACGACGGCCTGACCATGACCCGGTATGTACGGTTAAATAAAATGGACCAATATGTTGCTGTACATCGACAATCACTAGAAAATGAAATTTGAAACGAATCGATAATTTGTTTGTATTAATGAATTACTTTCAATACTTACCATATTGTCCTACTTTTGATGATGGACATAAAGGCTCGATGATATCAGCATGATCATGACGCATTGCTCTTAGAGTAATCCAATCCAATATATCACCACTAGTAGAAGAACCAGAAGCATTTTCGCTTTGTTTATTTATATAACGACAGCCATGATCACTTTCCGAATAGCGTATCATATTAGTATCATCATGATGATGACCTTCTATTTCATATTCAATAATATCCAGCCTTATCATTTATCGATTGAATTGAGTCATTAATATCCAAATAATTGATAAATTAGAAACTAACCTGATTTGACATATCGGGTGTATGCCAGGCATTCTATGTATTGTGAGTGAACATTGATTATTTTTCGATTGTTCATTGATTATTGATAAGTCATCATAAACATCATTGTCCTCATCATGATAATTATGATTTGTTTCGGTTTCTTTGGATCCATTTATCAACGATGGATAATCGGGACTGGTGAAATAGGTTGAATTTCGAATCGAAATACTGTTACAGGTTTGTGGAACTATGGTTTTTTCATACAAATTGAATTCAGTTAAATGTGATCATGATACTATCTATGATACTCACAAACACAACATGAATTACCGATACCACATTTGCCAATGGCTACGCCACCTTTTTGTTTGCAAAGCAATGTTGAATAGCAGATTCCTCGGTGTTTTACTTGTGTATAATCAACCAAAAGGAAGCGATTAACTCCATTCACTAGCCTTGGCTGTGGTTTAATGATACACGATGGCCCAGCATGTAATAATGTACCGACTGATAAATGAGAATTGAACATTACATTTACTGTAAAATGATTTCAGAAGAAGACAATAATATAAAGGATTTTTTTAGTCAATACCCATATATTATCGACCTCAAATTGAAAAAAAAACGATTAATGTAAAGGCAATTACTTACTGGAATGTACGGTTGACGGATGATTGCCGATTATCGTAAACATTAATACTAATAAAATTGTTGTTGATCTTAATCGATCATTTTTTACTGTAGATAATGAAGATGAACATTTTGATGATATTAAGGTTAAAAATTTCAACGAAAAAGTTAACGAGCAATTTAACGATAATGATTGAAACATTGTCGTTATCACTGTAAACTGTTGTTGAAAATTTTCAGATCTATAATTGAAAAGATTTCTTATACACGATATATGCTGACGAATGATGATGATGATGATCGAGCTAGTTGTGCAGTGTTATTATGGTTTTTATACAACTCATGATAATTGTCATTGCTCATAATTTTTTTTCCTTCCGAATCAATCTATCTTAATTTTTTTATATATAAATTCCGATCAACACTTAACAAGGTGTCATCGTGCTTCTTGGAATGTTTAGGCTTTAGGATTGCATTGGTATGATATGGTTTTGTCTTAATCATTTGTGATAACTTTCATTTTCTGTAAATAGGACAAACCGAATAGATTTGTCATTTTTTAGACAATATTTCACAATCTTAATCACTTTCCTTGTTGTTCGTTTATATGAAAAAAATTAGGTCATTGTTCATGTTTGATCTTCCTCCTAAAATTGATGTCATTCTGATGATTTATTTGTAATTTTTGTTTTCAGCTTATTAAATTGCAAATTTTTCTTTCAAAACTGAATGATGAATGATTTTGTGGTAAAAATAAACAACGAAGGCAAATGTATTCTTATTACGATTCGCCGAATGTTATCTCAGCATGTTGAAGAAGCTGTTGATTGCTTTAATGATCATTTCGATGTTTTCGATTGTCCCTCAACTGTATTGGCTTTTCTTCATCAAGATCCACAGGCATTTTTTATTGCCATTGAAAATGAATCCTTGAAAGTGATTGGAGTATGCGGTGCACCTCTTGGTTTACATCAAACACATTTTTTTGGTCTTTACGGTATACGACCAGAATATCGATCACATGGTATAGGATCCATATTATTTGAGCAATGCATGAAACATGTTGGTTTTCATAATGCTGGTCTTTATGCAGTACCGAATATGATCCAAAAGTATATAACCAAAGGAGGATTTCAAATCCGAGAAAATGTTTCAATGGTTAATTTTTTGGGAATACCTGAACAAATTTCTCATTCTGGTAAAAAAGATATTCAAATCATTCAACTAAATGCTGATAATATCGAAAAATTTCAAGAAAAAATCATTGAATATGATGGAAAGATTCATGATGGATCTAGAGAAAAATTAATAAAATTCATATTAAAAGATCAATCCTATAGAACTTGTATGGCAATTAATTCTAACGATTCTTCTATTCAAGGTTAGTAGAGGGATGAATTTTTTATTCTTAACTTTATAATTGGTTATTTTGTTTTAGGTTATGGTTGCCTTAGACAGCATTCAATCACCAAACGATTTTATTTAGGTCCATTATATTCAAATGATGTAGATTCTGCTCAATTGCTTATAGAATCATTGATCAAAACTCAATCAAATTCAGTTCAAGAAAATGGTTTAGTATGGAATGCCCTTGATTCAAATCCGCTTTCTTTAGATCTGGCGAAAAAATTTGCCCTTCAAGAAATTGAACGATGTGAAAGAATTTTTACAAAATATCCAATTCGAGCCAACTATCGATGCATATATTCAGTTTTTTCTCCAGATTTTTCTCTTTAAGGAAATTTTAATATCGATTAAATTGAAAATAAATGTTTATAAATTTTAACCACAAACTAATCCTTTTTTATATCAAAGTTATTTTCATATTCACTTTTTATTTCGAATCAAAATGCCAACACCACCAGTGAGCGCATTGTCTCAATTGAAAAAATTGGATCAAAATTTGGTTATACAAATTAGAAATCGTTTCCTAGCCGAAGCTAATCAAAATCCAAAACTTTATGAATCAGAAGATTTAGAACAGATTCAAAATAATGATTGGCAAGTTCAACGTTTTCTATTGGAATGTAAACAAGACATAGAACATTCGTATGAATCACTTCGAAATGCTATGAAATGGCGTCGAGAAGAAGGTATTTATCAATGTTCGCCTGCCGATTTTCCAGCAGAATATTATCAAAGTGGTTATATTTTTCGTCATGGTCGTGATAAAAATGGTGCAATCGTACTTTATTTTCGTGCCAACATTCATCGAAAAACAAATGAATGGAATTCCAGATTGAAAAAATTTTTCATCTATCAAGTCGAACAAATTGATCGTAATTGTGATGGTAAAGGTATGTATGTTTGATATATTATAACAAATTGTTTGAAATTGAATTTTTTTTCTCTCCCAGGTGTTACATTAGTAATCGATTGTTCAAATATTGGAGTATCGAATGTTGATATGGACATGCTGAAATTTATTGTAACATCATTTTCGAAATATTATCCTAAATTATTTGATGCAATTATTATTCATCAGTTACCGTTTTTGTTACAATACATTTTTAAATTGGTACAAACATGGTTACCTGAAGATGATCGAAAATTTTTCCATATGACCAACAATAAAACAATAACCGATTATATCGATAAAAACCAATTACCATCATTTTTATTGGATATCAAAATAGCCAACGAACAATGGCGTTCATTACCAGCCACAACCGATGTTGAAGGTCCAATTCTACCTGCTGATCAATTTGTACAACGTTATGGATCAAAATTTGAAATCAACAATCCAAAAGATAGTGAAAAATTGAGCTATCTCAAAGCTTATCTTATATAATCATAATGATCGTGATTTCTAATAATAAAAAAAAAGTTAAAACATTTCTCGGTCATAGGTGACAAATTCTCTAGATTGATTAACCTGATTCTTTCATTCTTTTCCTCTCTATCCTTGATCTAAAATATATCGTTTTGTATATATAGATCGTAAAACCCGCAAATGAATTGAAGATGACAATGTCACTGTCAAACAATCATAAAGTAGTTTCCAACTATCGTATAAGGCTACATCTGCATTGCTTCTGTTAGATTTTTTTTTTGCATAAATTATTGTCATCATAATTCAGATCTTTCATGCCCTTCGAACAATAAAAACTCACAAATGAAAAATATATATATTACAATTTAGCTTAAACCTTCGGGATAATTTCTTATTAAAATATTTTTGAAAAAAAATGTTTGGACTTTTACAATGTTTTTTTTTGTGTTGTTAATGATTGTTTAGTTTTTGAACATCAGAATTGATTAACCTAAATTTTGTCAAATATATAAAATTTGAATTGAGATAAACAATCGTTGATTCTTGAAATTAAAAAAAGGAAAGAATTTTATCATTTTAACGGTCATTTCAATGTCTAAACAGAAATTGTTCGAATGTGGTCGAATGATAATTTTTTCTTTTAATAAACCTAAATAGGGTTGGTGTATAGTTGATATGACTGGTCGGTCGCTATGCATATATGATAAATGATCATATATTAATTTTTTTTTGTTGTTTTTGTAATCATTATGACAAAATTGTCTTCACCTATACAACAATACGTGTACCGGACATTTCAAACAGTCTCAGTAGGCTAATTCATGAGAATTTATATGATCAGTTAACAAAGAATAACCAGATCAAGGCCAAACAGAATGATTTTATGTAGTAGCAGGATTCCTGAATAAAAGACGATGACAAAAACAAATTTGGTCAGCAGTCTAAATTGTTTTTTGTTAAATAAATCGATAAATTCTTGAAACATAAGCCATGATTTCAATATTTCAATTCAACAGTCATTCTATTTGATAATTGCAATTCAGATAAAGGTAATAATGCCATCTGAAATACCGAATTGCATCATTCGTGCAATGAATTTGTACGATAATGATGACATTCTGGCTTTGTGTCATGATGCCTTTATGTATTTGGGTGATCAAGTGAATGTGACTATGATGAAAATCGATCACAATTGTCTTCATGTTGCTGAAGATATTGATAGCGGTAAGTTTCATTAAATAACAATGTTGAAAAAAAAACTTTATATTAAGACAAAAACAACAGGAAAAGTCATCGGTGTTTGCAGTGGATTTAACATAAATACTAAATGTGCTACGTTTGGTGAATATTCTATTGCGCCTCGATATCGACGTTTCGGTATTGGAAATCTTTTATGGAGCCGATGTATCGCACATTGTTCAAATCGTAATTGTGGAATTTTGGCATCACCAAAAAATGTTTTCAAATACCGAGAAAAATCCGGCTTTTGTGTGATACCGTCACGTAAATTGGTACAATATTGTGGTTATCCTCATTTATTTATGCTAAACAAATATCATGAAGATTGTGATTTCGAATGGATTAATGGTGAGATAAGGTAAACTTGCTATGTGCTAATCTTTGTGATATGATAATTATTTTCTAGTTTACAACCTACCCGATGTGATCGCTTATGATGAACAAGTTTGTGGATTCAATCGTACACAGTTTATTCAATATTCAATTGGAGAATCTAGTTCGGTCGGTATGATGGCTAGAGATATTCACAGTGGTAAAGTCATGGGCTATGGTATATTTCGTCGATCGAATCAATTTTCAACAATTATTCCGCAACCATTGTATGCAACTTCGGTTGAAATAGCTGAAGCATTAATGTATAATGCTTTACAAAAATTTGCTGGATTCGATAAAGTTTTCATGGAATGTTGGGATATCAATAAGGAAGCGACAACATTAGCTTCGCAAAAACTTGGATTAGAAAATATTAAAACATTAAATATTATGTTTACCGAATATGATATTCAAGCCAATTTTGGTAATATCATCTGTAATAGTCCTTCTCAATTTTATCCTTTTTAAAGTTTGTAGATTGATCATTAATCATCTAATGGTTTATTACAAAATTCAAAATAATGAATGAATTGTTATTTTGTTTTTATTTCTAGTTGTTAAACATGAATATTTCTTTATAGAATTTACTTGCCAATATTTGGCAATTTATTCAATAGATGCCAATAATATAATGGATAATCTTTCATCTGATTTGGTGTTTTCGTTTATGTTATTTTAAATAAAAATGGCAATCATTTTGTTCTTGACCACTATCAGATGAAAGTTTTTTATATAAAAAAAATATTATTTAATTCAATTCATCACCATCAAAAAAATTCATATATTTTTTAAGAGAATTTTCAGTATTCATATTGACGACAGCCATACTGCCAACCTGTACCAACAAAAGTAATGATTCAAGAATTAATGCTACCATCGCAATAAGTAATTGATGTGTAATATTGAAAAATGCAAACAATCGAAATTGAAATTGTTCAATCATTGATTCCAATCGCAATAAACAAAGCCAATTGATTGCACTCCAATGCATTGTTCGATGACGAAGACGCCAAACTAGATGATGTAATTCTTGACTAGGCAATTGACCAAAATATATTATGATTAACAATTTGATTACTGATTGTGGTAAAAGATAACTGATGATACCATTGATTTTAAAATTATATAAACTCATATTGATCATCATACTAAAAAGTATGATTGTCATAAATGTATTTGAAATAACTGTCATAAATATTGATTTTTCGATTAGAATTTTTGTCTGTTCATAATGTTTTTGTAATTCCAATAGTTCTTGATGAGTATGATATAAATGTTTTGTGGCTTTAAAAATAAAAACAAAATGAGTACAAAAGTTTTATTTATTTCAAAAAAAAAAAAAAAATGAAACCTACTCATGAAAGCATAACGTTTTCGAACTTCATATATCTGATGACGATAAATAATCATTATGTAAGCAAAGATACAACATTGATAATGACCAGTAAAAAAGTACAAATTAACAACAATATATCGAATAATCATTTCTGTAAATGAAAGAGCATGATTTTCTTGATTATAAATTACAAACGAAAAAATAGCCACCATTACAAATATTATCAAATAGCATATAATGATTCTTAAACCAAGACGAACATTGCGATCAACATTTAAAATAGCCATATTAGCCAAATGTTTGATTAATTTACTACCTGATAACCAATTAAAATGTATCCAATTGAAAAAGTTTTCACTGATAAATAGAATCACAATTGCATTGAAAAGAAAACGTGGCAAATATTGTATGGTTGTGTCAGCATTATCAGCTAGATTATCGTCAAATAAACTACTCGTTGAATCTTGTCTTTGTATAATCTTTTTAGTGGTCATCATAATCGTTATTGATGTATACAATAAACTTATAAATAGCCATTTTAATTTGAATAAAAAATTCCAGGTAAATTTCCAATGAATTTTTGCTTCTATATTTGTTGTATCGATTAGGCCATTAAAAATACCCAAAAATCTTTGATGTTAATAAGCATCAATATCAGATCAAATATGAGAAAAATTACTTACCGAAAAAATTGAACAATAACAGCTAATGATTTTAAATGAGTATTCTGATATCGATAAATCATGATGGTTTCAATACATCAATTTTTATTGTTTGATTCAATTTGTATGCCAAAAAAAATTTTTGGCACTGCATTGTGGTATAAATGAGAAAACAAACGAAAATACTGTCGAATCAAATTTCCTATTTCGATTCAACAAAAAAAAATCGATTTCAAGAAAAACGTACTAAACATTTATCGAATGTTATTTGTCAATGTTCGTCATTATCGTAATGAATTAAACATTCATTTACAAAAAATATTACTTATTACTTCCTTAAGATATTCCAAATTTTGTAGCAAAACCATTATGGAAACTTACAATGTACAGAAAAAAAAACAAGGTATTGATAATATAAGTCATTTATTTTTTGAAATAATTAGAATTTTTATTCATTTAATTAGCTTATGATACAGTGTCAACAAAATAATTATTATTAATAGAAATGTAAATAAGTTTTAATAGCGATGAATACATTATCGACCAAATTTCGAATTCATTCTCATTCATTTACTATTTCAACTACTGAAATAGAATGGAAGACTAGATACATTTTCTTCGGATGTAAAATAATTCATTGGTTGTACGATAAAAAAATCCAATAATGAACAGAAAAAGAATATAAAATCGAAAAATTGTGATTCAGTTTGATTCTTGATTACCGTTGATGATGGTGATAAATGAACATCATTATTATTGGAATTTGTTTCCAATGATTCAGTATTCGAATTTCGTTGCTGATTGATGGTTGTTGGTGGCGGTGGTGATAATGTCGATATTAATGAATCCGATTCGATATTACTTATTGTCGATGTTGATGATTGTTGATGTATATTTGTTTCTTCAATGATTTCTTCAGGTTTAATAAATTCATAAATATCTGGCATTGTTTCCAGATCATCTAGATTAAGCATTGTTATTTTCAATAAAATGATTTTTTGAAAAAAAATCAATATATGATTTTGACAAGTGGAAAAAAAACACTATAGTGAAAAGAATTCAATGAAATGAAAATCGAGGAAATGATAATCGACAAACTGCGTGAATGATGATGATGATCGGACATCGAAAAATATTTAGACACAGGAAGAATGTTAAAAAGTGAGAGTTTCTCTTTTTTTTCTTCTTTACACTTTCAATACAATTGCAATTTCCGAAAATATCTTCCTAAGAAGAGAGACTTGTTCCGATTTTTCTTTTCTTTTTTTCAAATGTTGCGTTATTTTTTTTTTTTTTTGATCAATCAAACAGCACAATAGGACTGGTTTCTATATTTAAATGAATGATAATGATCATTTGATGTATTATAATGTCCAAGATTCAATTGTGATAATCATAGGACTGTGTAATATTATGGATAAAATTTATTCATTTCATCAATGATGACAAAGCATCTATTTATGGGTCGGTTTGTTTGAATTGGTTTATAAATCAATTGAAGAAAGCTCAGTACACAATAACAAAAAAAAACTCGGTTATAACATTTATTGTTGTTATAATTTGTTCCGTATAATCTAACTTGTTTAAATGTTAAAAAAAAATACAGGAACTAAATGATCAGATTGGAGAAACGGCACCCAGATATGAACAACAACAACAACAAAAATATGAACTAGTTTTGCAACAATTATAATTCAGGTCAACAGGTTATATAACCTTAAACACATCCACACACATTGTAAAACTAAAATTATGAACCGGCAACAAACGTATGAAATTCAAATCTCAAACAAATGACTATGTGTTCATTTGAAATTTGAATGCAAAGAAAAAAGCATGTTTTTTCTCTCTCTTTCCATGGAAATAAATTTTAAAGATTTAATCGTTTTTACTCTCTTTGAATTTCATTCATGTGGATACTCAAGTTTTTCTCTTCATTTTCGAATACTTGTTTGAAAACATGTTTTAAAGATTGTTGATTATTTCATGTGTTTATTTCATTTTATTTCCAAATTTTTTCAATTTTGTGGAAATTTTTTTCTTATGACCATCTTTTAAATTATCAATTTTGTTTTCTCTTGAATATTCTGTTGTCAGTTGCTGTAAATCAATCAATTGCAATGAAATATGATAAGTGTGTAGAGAAATAGCAAAAAAATTTTCCAAATGCAATCAAATTTCTTCTTTTTATTATACTGGCCATAGTCTTGTGGTTGTATAATATTGATAACTAGCAACAATAGTAACATAATTGAATTTTAATTTAATTATGAAAAAAAAATCAAATTTCCAAACAATAATAATAATTGGTAATCAATCACCGACAACAATTGACAATGAATTAGGATTTATTGAAATCAAATCAAATAATTTTAGTTGACATTTTGAATGACAAAATATGCCAAAAATACTTGACAAATTATGGACCAATGTGAGCAAAGCTATAAATGGTGCCAATCAAAACAATCAAACCAATCGTACTAAAACGTTTACATTGTCCGACAAAGTCATATTATTTAAAGAAAATTTCGAAGTTATCGATATCAATGATTTATCCAAGTTTGAAAAGTCACGAAAACAACTAAAACAAGAAAAAAATTTATCATTGTATTCTAATTTGGTTACATTGGAAACAAAAAATAGTAATGAGGATTCAGAGAAAAGTGAAAAAGATTCAGTCTATTATGAGATAGTTTATAGTCGTGGAGGTTCATATTCATTTATTGTCTATCATACAACTTCTATAATAATTGGCGAACAATATTTTGAATATTTTTGTCGATCATTGAACAGACTAAGTAAATCAATTTCTATGACAAAATCTACAGCATTTGAACAGTTACAATTAATAATGGAATCATTAAAAATTAATTGTCAATGGTCAAGTACTCATATAGCTGCTCGTCTTGGACTTGAAACACATTTCAAAGAATCACGTGATATAGTGTCTATTGAAGTTAATCTACAAATGGATGATGATAGAATGACACCATTACATTTGGCCATCAATCATCGTTGGCCATTAATTGTGCAGAATATTCTTGATTTGTTACCAGATCTTAATTTGAGAGATAGCAAACAGTACTCTTTTTTACATTCAGCCGCTTTATCGACACATGAAATTTTTACCAAGATTCTCTATCAACCGAACATGTTTAACCGCATTTTATGGAAAAATTATCAAGGGTCTACGGCTTTGCATTTAGCTTGTTTCTCCCAAAATTATAACGTGGTATTTGAATTTTTGAAATTCGGTCTAACCACTCGTATGTTAACATTACCACCACCAAAACAAAAGGTGAAATCGATGGAATATTCTCAGCAAACAACATCTTCCAAAAAGAGAGTTGGATCCAGAAAAAAGAAAATGAAATCACCACAGACACCGCATATTGTTCAATTTACTGAACAAGATTTATTGGATATTGATATACAGGATATTGTAATGGCTGGAAGTCCATTACATTGGGCAAAACATCGAAGATTGTTAGAAAAATTGATTGCTTATAAAATCAGACTCAATACACCTAATATGAATGAAGATACACCATTACATTTAATGGTTAAACGTAATCGTCTTCGATGTGTACTCACATTACTTTGCTCTGGTGCTCGTGTAAATGTTCAGAATAAATTTGGCAACACACCATTACATCATGCGGTCAAAATTGATGAGATAACATTGACCCAGACATTGGTCGTATTTGATGCTGATATTGATATTCTTAACAAAGCTAAAGAATCGGCAAGACATTTAGCGGCCAAAGAGTCACCATTTTCAGCACAAATATTATTTGTTCTATCATCATTGGGTGCTAAGAGATGTTCGGGTGATCAAAAAAATTGTAACGCTGGATGTCGAGAGGGTGGAGATTTTGATGGTAAATGGAGTCCGGCATTGATTGAATTGACAAAACAATATGAAAGTATATTTAGAAATATTAAAAATCAAAAACATTTCAATGAAGAAATGAAAAAAGATACAAACGAAAAAATATCCAATGAAAATGTCAATCTTTTAGCTTTAGATGGGGGAGGAATAAAAGGATTGATCACAGTACAATTAATGATTGAATTACAAAAATATCTAAAACGACCTATTATTGATTATTTTCATTGGATTACTGGAACTAGTACTGGATCTTTTCTAGTTATATTTTTAGTTACTGGAACACCGTTATCACATATACGTAATATTTATATGCAATTTAAAGACAAAGTATTTATCGGTGAGCGACCTTATGATGCGGAACCATTGGAAAAATTACTCAAAGGAATTATCGGTTCCGAAGTCAGGATGGAAGATTTACTTACGAATTATCATAGAATGGTTATAATACCAGCAGGATTAATTGATCGAAAACCCATGAAATTACATTTGTTTCGAAGTTATGAATCTCATAATGAGATTTTAAAATTACCAGATTTTGATAAAGGTTTCATTCGGCTACCAAGTCGTGAACAATTAGTTTGGCAAGCTTGTAGAGCATCCGGATCGGCACCAACATACTTTAAAACATTTGGACCATACATTGATGGTGGACTAATTTCATGTAATCCTACATTAGATGCTATGACTGAAATTGAATTTCGTAATATAGCTTTGAGAGAAGTGGGTCGTGAATCGGAATGTCATAAGCTTCGATTTGTATTGTCATTTGGAACTGGTCAACAACAAATCGAAGAATCGAAAGCAATCGATATTGGTGCCTTTTCATTGCGATTGACTGAGTTAAACAATCAGATAAGATACATGTATCAGATGGCTTCATTACTTTTAAATGAAATCTGTAACACGGATAATCACATTGTAAACAGGTAAATAGTTTGATCATATTAGATTTTATATTTTACAAACTTTCAATCGAATTTTCTTAATATTTTATTTTATTTAGAGCCGAAGCTTTTTGTTCAGCCACAAATATTCTTTATTTTCGTATCAATCCAGTGTTCGATAAATTAATCGAATTAGACGAAACATTAGATTTCAAAATTATCAATGCTCTTTGGGAAACAAAACGTTTTATGTACTTGAAACGAGATGAACTTTGTCGTATAGCCGATTATTTGAATAAATTTACATGTTTTACCGAATCATCATCGATTTCATCATCACATACATCATTAACAGAAAAAATACCAGAAATAGCCAAAATACCAGAAATCGCCAAAACAAATGAAAATAAAATTAATGATCAACAACAGTCAACAAATAATTCGATCAACTTAACGAAAACAACAACCGAAACCGAAACACTTGAAACGAAAGAAAACGCTGATAAAAAATAAAATCTAAAATTTGTCAATGTTAAATAATTAAATCAAATCATATTTATTTATTTATTTTTTTTTTGATTATATATTCACATTATCTTGAATATGATTTAAATTTTATCTCGATGAGTTTTTAATGATTTTGATAAATATGCAAAATAAGAAAATAAATAAATAAATGAAAAATTTTTTTGGCCGCATATAAACAAACATTTGTAATCACAACAATTTTACAAACAACAACAATGCAACAATGATGATAAGATGAACAAAATCTAAACTGAATGCAATTTCATGGATCCTATCCATGATATGATATGAGCAAAAAAATATTTATGTTGATTTTTTCATTTCTTAATTCAACATGACGAATATATTGAATTTTTGAAATTTGGAAAAAAAAATTATTTATTGATAGATAATTTATTACTTTTTTTTTGATTATACATGTGATATGTTTAGAATTTGGTATTCATTTGGTAAGTTTTGTGAAAAGAATGGCATTTTATCCAAGATTCTAATGTATATTCTAACCCTATCTTAGTTATTTTATTTGTACATTATCAAACAAGTATTCAGCAATTAAATTCGACAGAATTTTTTGCAAAAAATTGTGCCCAATTATGGCAACAATATGGTCTACGTGATTCGGGAAATTATACACTTATTTTAGATGATTCAACTGAATCATTCAACATCGGTATTCAAGTTGAATGTGATTTGTCATCAGCATTGGATGATGATTCACAAATCGATGGTGTTTATCTTGATGAAAGTGAAAAGGTTTTTGAAGTGAAAACCATAATTCATCATGATTCAGAAGAGCCACGATTAGTTCAAGGATATGAATCTCCGGGATCTTTTGAACGTAATATCATATACAACTATGGCCACTTTCGGCGACAATCATCATCATCATCATCATCATCGAAAAATGACCATCAATTGTTTATGCGACAGATCGAAATGATTATCAATTCATCATTCAGTTGTCAACAGTACATACGTTGGGATTGTAAAGGTTCAGTGTTTAGTTTTTGGTTTCAACATTATCATAGTTGGTGGTTAGATCGTAATGGTCGAACACGTACTTATTGGGGTGGTGCTGAACCTGATTCCAATAGTTGTGGCTGTTTTCCTTATTGCCATCATACAGTGAAAAATTCAACATGTAATTGTGATGCAAACATGAAAACAGATTGGCTTGAAGATTCAGGGTTATTATTGAGCAAAGAACGTTTACCTGTAACACAACTTAGATTCGGTGACACTGGAGAATCATATGAAGTTGGACGTTATACATTAGGACCATTAATTTGTCGATCCTATGGACATCGAAATGCTTCATTAGGTCATTTTAAAGCTCCGGTAACAATAACATCACCAGGTTATCCTAATCGTTATCCACCTGCTTTTCGACGTTATGAATGGATCATTACTGTTGATAATGGCCAATGGATTGAAATGGTTTTTCCCGAATACGATATAATTCATCATGGTGCTTATGTGAGCGTACCTGGATGTCGTTATGCAACCGAAGTTGATATTTTTCATAAACAAAAAACCAACAGCAATAAAAGCACTATAACATTTACTTACTCTGGACATGAATGGTATTTGGTACATTCTATTCGACGAGAAAAATCATCGCCACCTTATTATGTCACTGATGGATCGGAAACATTATTCAAATTAAGATTTATTACCTGTAATCAACAACGTTCATTAATAAATGATCATAAAGGATTTAAAGTCGAATTTCGTTTTTCCAAATGTCCAACCTGTAATATTGGACCAAATTTTTCTACAAATTGTTTTGTCGAACCTGATCACTGTCTTTATATCTATTCACAAGGCTATCCATTTCCACATTATTTATATGGGAAAAAAATCGATCACGAAAAACGTATTCATCAATGGCAGATAGCCACTAATGTTAATTATACATTGCAAATTGAATTCAATGATTTTGATGTTATTTCAACACCTGGTCAACATTATTGTGATAATGATTTGGTGACAATATATGGTAAAAAATATACCAAAAACAAAACTGATTATTGTAATATTAATCGTTTTAATATTGGAAAATTACATTCAAAATCTAATTATATGGAAATAATTTTGCAAACATCATTGAGAAAAGTCGGTAATAGTAGAGGTATTCATGCAACAGTTCGTTCCATACATCAACAACGTTTAATAAAAAGAAATTCAGTAAAAAATGCAGCCGAAGGTCGGCCCACTGATCAAAGTTCCACACGTTCTCCTCGAGAATCATCGCTAGCCGTGGACAATAATTTTGAACAACGAGAAGCGGCCAAATGTTCGTCAACAAATTATGAACGTGAACCTTGGTGGCGAGTCAATCTACAAAAACGACATCGAATTCATGGTGTAAAAATCTATAGTTATCTGGGAAAACATGAAACTCCGTTAATGCAGCCAAACATCATGCTTGAACATCATACAGACATTTCACCACAATGTGATCGTGAATGGCCAGTTGGTAATTATGCTTTGCCAATGCCGGCTTCTGGTTGTCCAGCATCCGGCAAAATTGGCGGATCAAAATGGTTGACTGGCAAACGCTTTCATGCAGTTCAATATGATAAACCATATGATGATAAAATTCGTTATTGGTCCGAAAATATAATGCTTAAAGGCGGCGCCACATCAACTGGAATCGAACAACATTTTTGTGTTCATGCCGATGATAAAAGAAAAACGACAGAGAATTCAAATGAAACATGTACATGGCAGCCTGGAAAATATTGTATTTTACAATATGGTCATTCTTGTCCAGATGGTTTTCAAATCGGATCTATCACTTGGTTTGATAAAAGCTTAAATAAAAGTAATTCAGATTTGCTTAATTTTATTGAAGGAACAATGCCAAAAGGTGATTATACAACACACAATACAACATTGTATTTCTGTTGTCGTGAAGATGGTGATCCGACAAAGCCAATAAATCTTCCGAAAACAAGACCATTCTATTTGTTTCAATATGGACGAATTTGTCAAGAAGTTGCCGATATGAGCGAAATGGAACATTTTTTCCATTATGAAGAAGAAGTCGTTCTTTACGGTGCTTTACCTGATCTAGTTTTTGCTTCAGGACAGAAACTGAAATTCCAAGATCCACATCCACGTATTGAAGTTACATTGTTTGATCGGGGTCTTACCTTGCATTATTGTTACTATGATATTGCCGATAAATTGAAAGGATTTCAAGTGCTAGTTGATACAACACCAGATACATTCGGTTATGGACGATGGTATGATGGCGATAGTGGTCTCACTAGACCAGTAAACAAACCATTTCTTTCGGCAGTCGAATGCGCTTCATACGGTACAACAGAAGAAGAATTTGCCGATATTACATTGAATTGTACGCAACCGATTGAAGGACAATATGTCATCATATTCATGAAAGATAGACAAGATGCTTTACAACTTTGCGAAGTGGTCGTATTCGGCGAAGAATCTTGTGGTCGACCATTAGGTATGGCTACAGAAGAAATACTTGATTCGGCCATAACGGCATCGACTTTTGATTCAAGCAAAGGTCTTGTATATCATCCATACAATGTTCGTTTGAATAGTTTCGCAGCTTGGTGTACTACCAATACCGATTCTGATAAACATATACAAATCGATTTACGGCTACAAAATTCAAACATTGTTTTCGATTCAAAATTACCGATGAGTGATGAATCCAATTGGAATCAGGTGAACTATGTAACCATTGTTGGGGTGGCAATGCAAGGAATGCCACATGGATTTAAAAGCTATTTTGTTACACATTTTCAACTATTATTTTCAAATGATTCATTACTTTGGACATATGAAGAAGAACCGATTGGTAGGCAAAAAATATACAAATGTGTTCAATGTGAAGCTCAACATGTTGATCCTAATGAAGTTGTTATGTATAATCTGCTTAAACCGGTCGTAGCTCGATTCATACGAATCAAAATCATAGCATTTCGTGGCGGACCTTGTATGCGACTCGAATTGATTGGATGTCGCGGTGATAAGAAAAATTTCTGCTCAAGAACATTGACTGCTTTAACACCTGGTGTTATTTCATCGCCCAATTATCCATTCTATTATGCTCAATATAAGTCTTGCGTTTGGCACATTAAGCCAAACACACCGGATCGTCATATTGAACTGGATTTTATTGTTCTAGATTTAGCACCGGCAGAGAAAAGTGGCGGTAAATGTCATGATGGTTTATACATAAATCATTCGCCACAGAAATCGCTTATTACCATTGAAGCTCCATCGACAGTTGTTTCAGGTATTCATCGTACAGCACATTCTTTTCTTCAACGAAATTTTCCTAAAAAAATTATCTCCAATGGTGCCGTAACATTAACATTGAATACCTGTTTTCGTTTTTCAATGACTCGGTTTCAAGGATTTCTAGTACGATTTCGTGAAACGGATTGTCCAGGATGTGGAATTGGTGATCCACGCTGTTCTCGTTTGCATAATTGCACTTCACTTTGTGGTCGAATACTTTCGATCAATTATCCTTTGAATTATCTTAATAACCATCGATGTCGATGGTTGATTCGAGCACCGGCAGGTCATTATTTCAATATAACTATTGAAGATTTTGATGTTGCAGGATCTCAGGAAAATCCGACAAAATCGTCTGCAAATCGACCACTTAAACATTGTCTATTTGACCATCTTTCATTTATTGATCCATCAACTGGAATGGTTCTGGGAAGATATTGTAATACAAACAAGCCATCAAAATTTATATTTTCCAATTGGAACGAATTGTTGATCGAATTTAGTTCAGATTCATCTGGTAATGGTCGTGGATTCAAATTGAAATATAAAGCCGAACGATATCATTTACTTCCGGAAGCTATACCTTTGTTGTTAACACCGATATATTCTTGTCCAAATGGTTGGCTTTATTTTCGAGGTTATTGCTTTGCAGCATTTGTAGAAGAAGAATCACTTCAATGGTATGAAGCTGAAGAGAAATGTGCACAAAAAGCTAAAGGACGTGATGGACATTTAGTATCGATTACTGATTCTCTCGAAATGAATGTCGTTCATTATTGGATTATAGAACAATGGAAACTAAAACCACATCAAAGTATTTATATCGGATTAATTGATACAAATCGTGAAGGTTTCTATAATTGGTCTGATGGTAATCCTATGAGCTATACCGATTGGTACAGGAATAGTTTCTGGCCACTAGATTCATCTGAAACAACATTCTTTTCTCAACAACAACAACAACAGAATCACCAACAGAAAAACTGGTCCAATACAAATGAATATAATTCACATTCAAAATCGACGATGATCAGTTGGAATGGTGATTTGAATAATTTTTTCAATCAATATTCTCAACCAGACGGCGGAGCTTTTGAAGATTGTACTGTAATTAATTTTCATTCTATTCATTCAACATTGAATTGGCATGATGTACCGTGTTCTTTAGGCAAAAAAGTTATGCCAACCGTAAAGATAGTCAATAATAATGCAACAACAATTGCTTCAACAATTAATCTTATGAACAATAGCAGTCAAACCAATTCCACCATCATCCGTAATCGTAATATGATTCTTAATCATAATGATGGTTTAATTCGAAGTTATATTTGTAAAATGGATTCGAATTCATCCATACATCAACATAGTCCACGTAGAGCATTATTTACTCGAAGAATCAGTGAAGATAAAAAAAAGAAAATTAGATCAAAAGTCGATACAAACCGATATTTTGTTTGTAACAATTATGAAGTAATATCTAATCTATTTCGATGTGATGGTACTGCTAATTGTCGTGATGGTAGCGATGAAACTGAAGGCTGTTCAATTAGTGATGAATGTTTGGAATCACAATTTCAATGTGCTAATAGTCATTGTATTGCTATTGGAAAGGTAAGCATTGTCTTGTTGCAACTTTTTTTCCGTTTTAAAAGTATTTTTTTCAATTTGCCTAGTATTGTGATTTTGTGGACGATTGTGGTGATGGATCCGATGAAATATTCTGCATTCGACGTCATTGTAAAAAAAATTCCGAATTCAAATGTAACAATGATCAATGTATACCGAATTATAAAAGATGTAATTTGATTCATGATTGTCGCGATCAAAGTGATGAAGATAATTGTAGTGGAAAATGCAATCTAAACACTACATTTCAATGTTACTATGGTAATTGTATTCCGGTATATGCTTTATGTGATCGTCATCGTGATTGTCCTGGAAAATTCTTTGAAGATGAACACGAAACTGTATGTTCAATGTTGAACCAAAGTGACCAACATCAAAGTCCTTTCGTATTTGATACTCCTTCATCATCATCATCCAATAATTATCATGAAAAACCATATCGATGGCGACGTGGTTCCAGTTTAACTAATCATCTGAAAAAACGGTACCGTCGAAATAAAACATCATCATTTTGTGATCAAAAAATAGACACTCGCCAAGAAACTTGTCAAGATTTGCTTAAATACCAAGGTATGATGCAAGATGGCTATTATGAACTGAAACCAATTGCTGGAAATAAATTGACATTAAGAGTTTATTGCCGTTTCTTGAATTCTACACATGCTACGACTATTATTAATCATGACACGGAAGATAGGTTGTATGTACGGTCGTCATTTGATGCTCCAGGTTCGTACGTACGAACCATCACATATGAAGGCAGTTTTGATCTTATTGTTGCCGTAATTGATGCTTCAGCTTCTTGTCGTCAATTTTTAAGCTACGAATGTTCAGGATCAAGATTTAATTTCAATTCACCAAAACCAAATTCTTGGTGGATTTCTAGACTTGGTCGTAAAGAATATTCGTGGGGAACTGATCGTACGAATTCTTGTGCTTGTTATCCCAATTGTATCTCAAATTTTCGTTGCAATTGTGATGCTGGATTGATGTTTAACTGGACAAGAGATTATGGCTATATTGAAGATCGAACTCGTCTTCCTATTCGTCAGGTGGCTTTCGGCGAAGTTTATCATATTGGTCAGCTAGGATATGTACAAGTTGGACCAGTAGAATGTATGGGCGAAAGCATTGAATGGAAATCACATTCAAAGAAAATTAATTCCGGTTGTCAGGTTGAATCGTCAAACCTTTTTGAATGTAACTCTGGACAGATTATTGAATCTAAACATATATGCATCTATGAATATGATCAACTACAATATCAAATAGGTTGTCGTGATGTATCTCATTTACGAAATTGTTCATCATTTCAATGTCCACCAGATTATGTAAAATGTCCGGATTCTTATTGTATACCGTATCGTTATATTTGCAATGGAAAATGGGATTGTGTAGGAGGATCGGATGAAATTGGCTGCGCTAGATACACCTGTCCTGGTCATTACAAATGTGCCAATGAAAGTTCCTGCGTTTGGCTTCATCAGCTTTGCGATGGCTTCCGTCATTGTCCACTTGGTGATGATGAATGGTTTTGCGATCTTAATTGTCCTCGTAATTGCATTTGCAATGGTCATTATGTTGATTGTCGATATTCAAACATAACGACCGAAATACTGGCCAATATTTCGAAAGAAACCCGTAAATTAGATCTAAGTGGTAATAATTTAGGACCAGATATGTCATTCATCGATTTTTCACGCTACATTTATCTTGGTGAATTGATTTTGCAAAGTAATCAATTGGAAATAATTCGTTCTCGTAAATTTATACAGCTAACTAATCTGTATAAATTAGATCTACGATTCAATCGAATTCGAGTGATTGAAGCGGCTGCTTTTGCTGGATTGCAACAAATTACTACACTGATGTTGGATCACAATCATGAACTACAAGAAATACATTCTGGTGCTTTTGTAGGGCTAGTTTCATTACGACGATTAAACATTTCGAATACAAAAATGAAAACTATTGTCAAGAATTCTTTTCTTCAGATGAGTTCATTACAGCATTTAACACTGGTTGACAATCAAATCGATACGATCGAAAAAGGTGCTTTTAATGATCTAATTTCCTTAATGTCACTAGATATTCGTGGCAATCCAGTTACGAATTTTTCTAAAGACATGTTTGTTATGTTAAAATCATTACGAAGTTTAGCAAGCGATAGTTTCAAATTTTGTTGTATGGTATCTGGTATTGTGCCGTTTAGTCGATGTTATCCACCACAAGATGAAATATCCGATTGTGAAGATTTATTATCGAAAACTGTTCAACGATTGATTTTATGGATATTAGGCTTCAGTGCATTGATCGGTAATCTTTTTGTCATTATTTGGCGTTTTAAAACATTAAACAAAACCAATCGTGTCAGTTCAACACTAATTTTGTCGCTTGGATTTGCGGATTTTCTTATGGGAACTTATCTAATCCTGATTGCTTCTGTTGATGAATATTATCGGTAAAATTATCATTGATATGTAAATTTTAAAAAGTTATTTATTTTTTTTTTGTCTTTGAATAGTGGTCGATATATTGAAAATTCAGATTATTGGAAAAATTCTATATGGTGTAAATTGGCCGGTTTTCTGTCAACTTTATCATTACAAACATCTGTAGTGACACTAGTATTGATTGCTATCGATCGTCTTATTTCCATTTCGTTTACATTTTCAAATTATCGTTTTACCGTCAAATTAACATATAAATTATTGGCATTCACATGGATTACTATGTTTATCTTATCATTTGTACCATTATTACCAATCAATTATTTTCAAGGACAATTCTATTCAAGATCGGGTGTATGTCTTGCATTCCATATTACCATAACTAAATGGCCTGGTTGGGAATATTCGGTTGCCGTATTTTTAGTGTTCAATTTGATTGCCTTTCTATTTATTGTTTGTTGTTACCTTTATATGTATAAAACGATTGCTATTACGGTTAAAAAACGTCGACAAATGATTCAAACAACAAAACAAATTCGTGAAAGCAAAGTATGTATATTGTTATTATTTATTATTCATTTTTAATTTAATGGATGGCGAAATGAAACTTTCAGATAGGATTACAAATGGCATTGATCGTGAGCACAAATTTTCTTTGTTGGTTTCCGGTGATTATGATGGGATTTTTAGCGTTAGGTGGCATACACATTCCAGGCGCTGCTTATTCTTGGATAGCGGTATTAGTGTTACCGCTTAATTCGGCTACGAATCCTGCAATTTATACATTGTTACAGTTGATACCAAACTTTCGATCACAAACACAACAAAAACGAATCGATCATCGTTTGGCATCGATGAGATCGATTCGTATGAATGAGTCGAATGGGGGAAGTATTCGTAGAGCAGCTAATCAAACAAACGGACAACAAGATTCGAGTTTTATATTATCACACGTATCATCCCCTTTACAAATGATACAACAACCAAGTCGACCTCCGGTAAAATTATTGATGCAAGCACCTCCTGGATATCAAAATCTAAACGAATTTCTTCGTACCAAAGAACCATTAACAGCCAAAGATTTATACGAAATTTGCTTTTCATTGAGTATGATTTTGAAAGATTTCCATCAAATGGGTTATGCATTGGGCACGATAAACTGCGAGAATATTTTTGTTACCAGTCAACCTATTCTCTATATCACTAACTATAGCAAAAACGATCATGAAATCGACAGCGAAACAATAACAAAAAGAGATGATGAATATCGTCTACAAACTTATATACCACCATTCAATTCATATCAAGTACCACGTGCTGCAATTAGTGATACTACGTCTGACAACAATTGCGTATCGGCAGACGAACCAGACGATTTTGCCATGGACATGGAAGAATTCGGAAAGGTGATCAAAAGAATGTTACAAGTATATCATTCGCGAACATTAAGGTCACCGAACAGTTCATTTCAAAGCATATCATCATTAACGCCAAAAAATACAGATCATAAAGATTAATTTATATTTATAATTTTTTTTATTTATAAATCTTATCATAAAATTTTATTAAATAATAATTAACAATGAATTATCAAAACTTTTTACTGATTCAAAGTATATTCATCTTTCGAACTGTAAAGTAAATAAAAATTGGAATTAAAAAATTGAACAAAAACAGTAAAATATCAATTCAACATACCCTATGGAAAACATAAGATAGAAAAGCATCGTAACCAATAGATACAGTAGCAACATACAAATATCGATATGCAGGTGGTACGAAAGCAAAATTTAACCATTGTATCGGAATGAACACTAACCATTCGGCCGTACAAATCAAACCGAAATTGCTTCGTATCCGCTGAAAGGTTATTTCCAATTTTTGCTCATTAATTTGGCCAAATAAAAGAAATACGGATGATACAAGTAAAGGACCCATAGCTGATTCGGCCATCAGTTTTTTGCCAATAGAACTTTTAATTTGAGATGGAAATTTACGATCTAAATACGAATACCACCAATGTCCAAAAAGGCTGAAATATATTCCTGCAATCATCATGTTTTCTGGAAATTAATTCAAATACATTCTATTAATAAAAAAAATTAAATGTAAATACAAAATAATACTTGTTCTAGTACGATTCCATTCAAACGGTTGATCATCTTCATTTGCATTTTTCTGTTTCGAATGATTAGACCAATGATGTTCCAGATTTTGTTGCAAAACATCACCGATCGAAATCGAAATAACACCGGTAACTGTGTTTGTAAATAATAGATAAGGCCTTGAATATAATCTATTTATCAGACGTTTGACAAAAAGATGAGCCATTTAAAAAATGGCTAAATAAATTATGTTATAAAGTCGATTATGGATAATTATTATTATTGAACCATTCTGATATTTTTGGTAGTCGAAGACTAAAGGTTGACTAAGATTAAACAAATTCGTTGTGATTTTTTTCTGTGATATCCATTCATTCGGATTTGTTTATTTTTACATGTAACTATTTATAGTTTCAACAATTGTTCACGGTTACGCCATCTAGAATCTTGATTTTTTCTCTCGTTGAACCTAATAAAATTAAATTTTATATAATAAAATTATTTTTTTAACAATTTGGAATAAAATGGCTATAAATTTTCAAGTTCTGCTATAAATTTTAACCAATCATCTTAATCATGTCCGATGGTAGCCACATAAAACGATCTTTAAGTTTAAAACAATTTAGTCATGAGTCAAGAGTTAGAGAAGGTTCGAAAACAAATGCCAGAAGATCAATGAAAAACGAAGTTCGTTACAACAATCTATCTCGACAAATACGAGCCAATCTAAAACAAACAAATTCACCGATCAAACAATCCACCGATAGCCGAGATGATGGAAGACATTCTTCTCAAATGACGAAATATGTATCAATATCAAATGAATCGTTTCAATCAGCAAAAACTGTCAACACTCCTAAAATTATTTTCGAAATAGATCCGAAAACACAAGCAGTACTTGATCGTAAAAATTATAGATTGTTAGAAAAACTAAGTCAGGGCTCATTTGGTGAAGTGTACAAAGGTGAATTCAAAATTGATCATCGTTTAGTGGCAATAAAAATTTTGGAAATAAGTAAGATGTCGATGAAATTTCGAGAACGATATGTTGCACGAGAATTAAAAGCATTGATTGATTGTCGTCATCCTAATGTAGTACAAATTTATGATATAATCCGTTCAAATAATCGCTTATTCATTTTTATGGAATATTGTAGTAATGGAACACTCACTATGTTTTTAAAAAGATTCGGTTCTTGTCCCGAAACATTAGCACGTATATGGTTTCGACAATTAGTCGATGCTATTCTTTATATTCACTACGATTTAAAAATAGCTCATAGGGATATTAAATTCGATAACATTTTGCTTGATGACAAGTTCAATTGTAAATTGACTGATTTTGGTTTTGCTAAAGAATTGGTATTGGATGAAAACAGTAAGCAAATAGAGTTAACGGCCACTATATGCGGTACCGAACCATTTATGTGTCCACAATTGATTCAACGAAAACCATATAATCCAATGAAATCGGATATCTGGGCAATGGGGGTATTATTATTTGGTCTTCTCAACGGAAAATTACCTTTCACTTGGACAGATTCAAGTTTAATGATTAAAGAACAAACTAGATATCCTAATTTTATTCGATCGGCATCAAAAAATAACATTTCTGAAGAAGCCAATGATTTGATTATAAAAATTCTTGATCCAGATGAAAAAACACGAATTACGATACGTGAAATTGCCGAACATTCGTGGCTAAAAACAAAACCATGTGGTGAATTTCGATCGCCCGGTGTATTGATCAGCACGATGTATCCAGTTGTATAGAGAGTTTAATAAAACCTTCTTGAAATTATTTCTTCAATAATAATAATAAAAAATATATAATCATGTATCAATCATTAGTGTAGTGACAACATCATCATCACTCTGATGATTCTGCACATCATAAGATTTTCTAATTTAAAATTGTGTCGATAATAAATTTAAAAAAAAAATTGACAATCAATTTTTACATTGGTTTGATTATTTAATTTAAAAAAAACGCATTTTGTAATTTTTTTTCAAATCTTTTAGCCAATTATAAATGGAAATTGAATTAAAAATTTTGCTATGTTAAAAATATTGGAAAATAAAAAATATTTATGTTTTCTGTACAATTTCAATTCATATTATGCCGTAGTTGGTGAGCTCATCAATAATTTTTCCCTTTCGCTTTCGCTTTCATCATCCGTATAATTCCTTTTACTGCAGCAACAAATATATGACCATAAAATTTTAAATATTCCGTTTTGATCATCGACTGATCTAATAATGGCCAACATAATAACAGAAAAAATGACCAAAATAGAACCAAGGATTGATGTCCAATGGACGATAACATCTAAAATGACTGTATCCCATATGAATGCTAATACGATAGTCATTGTACGTGATACAGAAACAATACCGGCCGATTCATATTTAAATGCTAATGTCATGAACAATTGATCACCAATACCACATAAACCTATGGCCAACAACCAAAGCCAGCTTCGTAGATCTTGTGGCAAAATAAATTCAGCAATAAATGGTAATGTAGAAAATGCGGAAATAATTGTAACAGTTGAAAACCAAAGAACAACAATATGTACGGGTGTTTGTTTCAATTTTCGTAACATGATCATAGAGAAAGCAGTGGATATAGCTGCAACTATGGCCAAAAGGATACCTTGATAGTTGACTTTTTCCAAAATGCTAGGATCAAAAAATTGTAAGATAAATTTTGGTTTGGATACAAATACAACGCCAATCAATGCAACAAAACCAATTAATATATGGCAACATGTCATTGGTTCACCCAATATAAAATAAGCAAGAACAAAAACCAGAACAGGAGCTGAAAATTGAATAGTCGATGCATCAGCTAACGGAATTAGACGATAAGACATATAAATGGTGATTGCTGCTATAGCACCAAAAATGGCTCGAAGTGATAGATCTAAACGATGTCCAGGTAGACCAAATATTGGTAATCGAAAATATAAAGTTGTCGATAAATAAAATATAAGTTGAAAAACAGATCTAATATATGTTTCGATTAGTTGATATTATTAAACTGATATGATAGAAAAAAAAATACCTGATACCAAGGATTTCCAATGCATGATATTCAGTAAGAATTTTAACGATCAATGATGCCAATGAATAACAAACGACCGATAACATTGACATAATTAAACCGAACAAAGGAATCTTTCGATTCAATTTATCAGTTAATGGTTCATCATCATCATCATCATCATCAATTATTGTTTGACCAATTGGTCGATAATTCATTTTATTATTTGAACTAATCGAAGCCATAAGTTCGTCTGAATGATGATGACTTTGAATGAATTGTGGTATGTTGAAAGAATTCTGACGATTATAAGTCTTAAAAATTTTCGTCGGTTGAGATTTATCCATCATATAAAGATTGATCGATTACTTGGAAATAAAATTGCTAAGAAATTTTTCGAGATGAACACATCAAAAACATCGATGAATGAATGATCCGAATCTAATATATCTAAAGTCTCTTTAAGTTTTTTCCGATAAAAAAAATTTCACCATGAACATTTTTAGCAGTGAATGATAAAATGATAAGTTAACGAAAAAAAAAATCGAACCATTTTATCATCAAATGAATGACATTATTTTATCGAGAGTAATCGAAACAAAAGTAACAACTTGTCGTATTTGTTAACAAAATTTGTATTGAATAAACGTAATTCCTTTTATATGCGAAAATCCCTTAACCAATAAATTACCAACAAAAAATAAAGAACAATTAATCACAACTATAAGCATTGTATTCATTATAATTCGAATTCGAATTTTATTTAAACTTTGAATGGTTAAAATCAAAAGTGTTATCATCAACAACAAAAAAAACAAAATCATCATCAATCAATGATGGCTTTTAATGATAAATATTTTTATTTCAATAAATGAATTGTTGTCGTATCAATCATCATGAACAATGTTCTCAAGCAAAGCAATTTTAATATACCAGATGGTACATTTGACTGATAATCAAATTAATCAATCATTAAACAATCAGTTGTTGTACAAAAAAAAAATTAATCTTTAAACTCTGGTTTGTTGTCATTGCCAACAGACTTACATTAAATGGATTGAATGCAAGACAAAAAAAATGAAAACGTTTTTTTCTGGTCACGGTTTAGAACTTTGGTTTAATTTGCTTTTTCATTTTATCATTATTTTTTTAAGGCACAATTGTTGAATGTCAAATGATATAAAAAATGTCGCCATCTTGAGTTTGAATTTATTTGTTTTCAAAGACTTTTAAACTTTATTTCACATATTATATGAATGGTGATGTGAGATTGCAACATCACAAACGAACAGAATGCAATTTTTTTTATGGGTAGTAGTATAAGTTATAGACAATTTCCAGGATGTGTATACAACAAAAAGTAGTAGTATACATATATGATAGCCAGACAAAATCTAATGTTGTTGTTGTTGTTCATTTTTTTACAACGAACATCGCAACGACGGCCATTTCTATGCAACTCAATCATTTCAAAGGCTCACATTGATTTTTTATTTTATTTGTGCTCGCCAGCCTCGCCTCAAATTATTATTATTATTTTTTTTTGAGTCGTATAACTTTTCATTATTCTTTTGATTACAATAAAATTATAAAAAAAAATTTGTCCAATTATCTTTAAAATTTTGAAATATAATTCTATATTAACAAACGAGAAGGTATTTTTGAAAAAAATAATTGATTTCACCTTATCAAATACATTTATCTTTTTTTTTATCTATTCAGGTTTTTTTTGTTTCGTAAATCGATTGTATTTTTTTTTCGTTATCAATCGATAATTTTTTTTCTCGTTTCCCTTACATCTTCTGCTCTGTGATATCATTCTAAAAAAAATTCCGTTGAAGAGACAAAATAAAGATGGCTTGCGTTACTCTCAAACGTCCCTTGGAATGGGTTGATCCATCTATGTCACCCGAATCGGGTTCCTCTTCACCAACTCATATGATAATTTCAAATTCACCTCCACATCATGGTTTACGTTCGCCAAAACGATTATGTTTACAATCGTTAAGTCAATCATCATCGACCTCAGCGAATATATCATCGCCATATTCAAACACATTGAATACATTTATGTCTCATCAAACATGCCATTTTTCATCTCCGTTTGCAAATAACTTTTCAAATACAAATACCAATCAATCATCAAATTCTGGTAACAATTTAAAACAGCTAAAATCTTCTGATCTTGCCGACCAAATTCGTGAGGAAGTGTTTCGTTTACGATTGGTTCGGCGAAAAATGGCTAAAGTATCTGCAATAGGAAACAAATTGCAAGAATCATCATTGTCAGGATCTTCTTCACCACAACAACAAGATACAAAGACCATTAGCAACAATGTCGCAACCGATAAACAGCAACACTTACCGTCATCATCAGCAAGCACATCTACTTCGGCTACTCAACATGCAGCATATAGCTTATACGCCAGTTTAATCGATGCTGCCAATCATCATGATGTAGAAATTGCTAAATATAAAGATGAAAATTTGTCTTCCACTACTTTCAACAGCGACAATAATCATGATGATGATGAAAATGAAAGCAGAAAAAAATCGTCCAGTTCTTCCAAATCGTTGGCTAACATCAATAACAACGAACCATTATTCACATTCAATCATGTTGTTTTGATTGTCGAAAGAATTTTACGAGAAAAAGAAGAATCGATACGCCGTGAATATGATGCCATATTATCACAACGTTTAGCTGAACAATATGATCAATTTGTGAAATTTTCTTACGATCAAATCCAACGACGTTTTGATTCACAATCGTTGCCCAGCTATTTATCGTAGAATTTTCATATTTTAATTTTTTTTTCTGAAATGTACATTCACATACCAATCTTTATACCTACCTATAGTAAACAATACATACAAAGAAATTTTATTATTGGCAAATGAATACTTCCAGAATTCTCTCTGTTCACTTACACACAATACATACAGCTAAATTACATCAACAAATAAATTTTTGTTTCATTGCTATATCGAATTTTCAAACTATTGTCGATATCAAAAGTGTGAACCGTAATAAGATTGTAATCACATCATCATATATATAAAAAATACACCTACATCCGCAAACATTCTTTTTGTGCTTAGTATACATTGATTATTCACATTGTTTTTTTTCGTTTCTAACACATTCATATATCCATATACGCACTAATCGTTGTTTTACCCTTTTCACATATTGGGAATTTTTTTTTCTTTTTTTTAGTTAATAGGCTTAGAAATGAAATTAATGATCAAGATGTATCATTATGCCGGTACGATTTGGATTATTTTTTGAGGGATAATGATTTCATTTGAAAATAACCATTGATTTTGGTTAATTTTTTTAATTGATCAAATTATCAGTTGAACGCGATCATATCGATCTCTTTTTACCTGTTTTTTTTTCATCAATATTTTCACATTATAACTTGTAGGCTATTTTTCTTTTTTTTCTAATTTTTTTTTGTAATTCAATTAGTTTAGCTTTAAGCGAATTTTCGACAGGATTCAAAACAAAACAATTGAATTTGGCAACAAATAGATTTAACAACAATCGAATTCTATTTTGGATGGGAAACAAAACTTATGTCACCACTATTTTTTTTTCATATTTTTTAATTTTCAATTAACTGTATACATTTCTTTGTTCATTTACTAAATAAAAATATTCTGAATCTAAATAAAATCATTTTCATTTTAAACTATTGTGTAAAAAGAATAAAATTATCATGTTTTTTTACGACGTATATGAATGAAATGTTGTTCGATCTGAGCGTGCGTGTGTCCAGAATTGCAATTTCCGTTATTCAATTCTGTTGTGTCATCGTATTTCGAATGTTTGAAAAGTTTACGTTCTAAAATGAATGTTACCGAAGTCATCGAGGTCAAATCGAATCTTGTTGACCATGAAGAAAAAGGCCTATTTTCTTCAATCACAACAAATGTTGAGTCGAGATCATCTCCGGTCGTATTGACGATAATCAAATTTCGTCAATCAAGTCAAGATGATAACCAAGGTTTATCGCACGCTATGAATTCTGATGAAGAATTTAAACAAACAGCTTTTTTTTTAGTTAATATGTTCAAACATCTTGATTGTACGGCAATAATTCATCATAACTATTTTCAAAATCATCTAATTTTGAAGTAAGATTCATCACTTATTAGTTTCAATATTCTGAATTCGAATATAAACTGTTTTTCTAATTCTCGATACAGAATCGTTATAAAACTGTGTTCTAAATTATTATCATTAAGTGGAAATTCATTCACACTAAATCTTTTTAGTGAATTACTAAAAATTTTTCGACATCCCAATGTACCTCAGCTTAAAATCGAATTTCCATTTAATACATTAAATCGTTTAATGTCAGATATATCCGCTGATGTGCTCTTGGGTAGCGGTTTCTTTGAATTTCATCTTAATGCATTATCTCTTGGATCAATAGTCAATCTTTCACATTATGTAAATCGTTTGGATATCTCGGAAAAAAGTTCAATTGAAATTGATTTCAATCGTTTGAATATCTCGAAAAAAAATTCAATTGAAATTGATTTCAATCGTAAATTAGTTAGAATGCATTTTTTTGTTTACAAAATGACCGACAAGTATGAGCTTTTCTTTGTCAAAAAAAAACAAACATTAATTTCATTTTTTCCACAGGTATTTCCACAGATATAAAATTGAAATTAGCTTTGAATCCATCAAATTTATAGCGATTGATTTAAGCCATAATTCGGATCTGAAAAATGTTCGCTTTTATTTTGAATTGAATGCTGCACCATTTCTATTCTCAGGCACAAAGTTCAAAGATGTTGGAGAATCTTGGAAAATGCGTTGGAATAGAATAGAAGATTTTCATGAATGTTTTCGTGATGAAGAACAATCATTCACTTCAATATTGTCGAATCAAAGTCGTTCTAAAAATCAAGAACTGATAGGCTATGCTTTTAATTATCGAGTGGATTTAACAGCCATGAATAGCATACATGTACTCATATATCTATCTTATACGTGTAAAGAATTGAATCCAACTTTTTCGTTGTACACTTGTCGCATTCTAGATGCTTCGGAATCTGTTCAAATGAATACAAAACAAATGTCTCGTATGATCGACAAAAATTTTGGTGATAATTTTGCCATCAATTATGCTTGTCGTGCTTTATTCTTTAAATCGTATGCAATCATTGATTCAATAACATATGAAGATTATCCGGAAAAATTGGACTTTTTTTTCGATCAAATCAAAAATTTATGCAATGAAGAATCACCATCATTTGTTGAAGAGATCTTCTATTCACTAAGTTCTTTATGTAAAAATCGAATTTTTGATTTAATCGCCGATTTAGAATATCTTACAAACAAAATGCGATCGATATTTAAACAGAAAAAAGAATATGATCGTCATGACCATGTCTTAATGCGAAGAGCCGATTTGACAGCAAGTCGTATCGAATTTTTTCGACCGATGATTCTACTTCGTTCACGATTTGCAAATATAGCCAATCTTGATTATGCATTACGTTTAACGATATCTGAAGACAATAATAAACAATTATGTGCTTATTATAGTGATACTGATTTCATCAAAAACAGTATTAAACGACAATTAAAAAGTGGCATCAAGATCGGTGATCGTCTCTTTGAATTCCTTGGTTCATCATCAAGTCAAATGCGCGATAGCAGTATCATATTCTATGCTTGTGATGATAAACAGCCACCACTGACAGCACAAACTATACGTGAAATGATTGGTGATCTTTCCGACTATAAACGTAAAGTTGCCAAATACATTTCTCGATTGGGTTTGATTTTTTCCCAGGTACGTCATATAATTTTTTTCTTCAATAACAATAAAAGGACATTTTCGATAGGCCATGACTTTCTATCCATACGATAGTTCAACTACGGTTGTGAAGACTCAAGATTTAACAACTGAAAATAAGCAATTTTGTTTTTCTGATGGCATTGGTATTATATCGAAAAGTTTGGCTGCTAAATTCTTGCCCTTATTACGCATTCCACAAAATTATTTTCCATCAGCATTTCAAATCCGTCATGGTGGTTGCAAAGGAATGCTTGTCTGTTATGAAGATTTTAAAAAGGACGTTATTATATTTCGTGATTCGATGGTCAAATTCAATTCTGAAGATAATAATTTGGGCATACTTAAATTTTCGATGGCACGTTTACTTTATCTAAATCGACCTTTCGTACAAATTTTAGATCAGCAACGAGTGCCCAGTCAAGTTTTTCATAAATTTTTCATTGAGAATATCAAACTGATCACGAGTGCTTTAATGTTCGAAAATGATGCCTTGAAATTGCTTATGACGTATAGTAATCGTAATTTGTCTTATAAAAAACTGTCTTCTGCTGGATTATCTATTCTTAATGAACCATTCATGCGACGAATACTTCATCATTTGATTCGTTATCGTCTTGAAGAATTGAAGACAAGAGTTCGTATTCCATTACCTCATACGATTGGGAGAATGGCATTCGGTGTTCTCGATGAAAATCGCAAACTTGAACCGGGTGAAATATTTTTTCAATATTCTGAACTAGACTCACAAAATTGCCCGACTGGAAAAACATTTATTATTGAAGATCAAATAGTAATGGTCACTAAATTTCCTTGCCTTTCTCTGGGCGATGTGCGAAAATTTCGCGCTGTCAATATACCAGAACTATCTCATATCAAAGATTGCTTAGTATTTCCTGCCAAAGGAGAAAGACCGCATACGGATGAAATGGGCGGGTCTGATTTGGATGGAGATGAATTTGCGATCACATGGTTTCCAGATCTGCTGTTTCCGGGTGATAATTATAAACCATTGGATTTTACGCCCGAATCAGCCGAGGAATTGCCCACTGATCTCAGTATCGATGATATTGTTGAATTTTATTGTGATTTTCTTCTAGAAAATAATGTAGGACAAATAGCCAATTGTCATCTGATGTTTTCAGATTTTCATCCAAAAGGATTACATTCCAAAGAATGCGAAGTATTAGCTAAAAAATATAGCATTTCATTAGATTTTCAAAAGAATGGTGTGAATGCAACCTTAAACATGTAAGTTAAATAATATGTCTGTTTATTTTTGTATCAAATTTTTGTGATTCAACATAGGAAATTTAAACCTAATAAAAATTGGATTCGACCAGATTTCATGGAGAAACATGAATTCAATAATTGTTATCTATCACAAAAGATTCTTGGGCAAATGTTTAGGAATTGTCGTTTAATGGAAAACATCATTTTCATGTCTGATCAATATTTGTGTTCATTGGGAGATGAAAGTTCACCGAAACTTCTACCAAATTTGACAATTGAAGGTTGGAATGAATTTGAATCCCAAGCTTACGATGCTTTAATAGAATATTATCATTTTGCTATCGAAACGATGGAAATGATGGGCATCGATTCCGAAGCTTCATTGATTAGTAATGTTTATGAAGATAAGTCCGATGCTTCGGGTTTGGTTTTTGATAAATTATTTGAATATTTTAAGCAGAAATTTCAACAACAAGCTGAAAACAAATCCGAATTCCAAAAATTGTTACTTACGTCTGCTTGGTATACAATTTGTTTTGAAAAATGTCATTTACTTCAATATCATTACAGAAATCAACCATTGTTAGGCTTACCGTTTCTGATACCGGATGAGATCATCAAATTGATTGACTATAAACGGAAGCAAGACGCTGCTGAAATTACTAAAAATGCTAGTTTGTCTTATCCAATTGATGATGAGATAATTTCATTTACTTGTGATTTGATCATGCATTGGATTGAAAGATTAAATGAATTGTTCAATTATCAAATGAAATCAGAACTAAAGATTTTGAAAAATAACAAATGGATTGCCTACAGCGAAATGGAATTGTTGAAGAATTTTATTGAGGTAAATAACTGTTATTTCTTAATAATCATCATTTAATTCTCTTAATTTTATGATTCAAATCTGTATTTCAAACAAAAGAAAAAACTCCGTGAAAAGGATATAACAATGATTCGTGACGAGTTTCCTATATTTCAATCAACTTTGATTGAAAATCGTGCTAGCTATGTCATATTTCTTTTCAATTATTTTATGTATCGAATATTTGATTTATCTAATTATGGAAATGAAATCATCCGTACCGAAAAATTGGAAGAATTGATGTTTTTAAGATATTCTATCTTTGCATTAAATTTTGTGAATACAATTAATATTGCTTTACATCATCTATCTGATCCGGATAAGATGATGGAAATTTTCCGAAAACAATTGGACGATAAATTGCAACGATTACAAAGTTTGCAATTAAAAAAAAGCAAATTTTCCTTGATTAACGGAATCCAACCGTCGGATAAGATTATAGATAAAGAAAAAATCGATTTCAATAAGGTGAGTATAATTCATTGAAAATTCATTTTTTTTATAGATTTGTTGTTTTTTTTTTGACCAGATGGATTTGAATTTTTTTCGAAAAATCAAATTACTTACTGGCGCTATCTATCAAATGGACATATTTGATCAGGAAAATTTTCGTATTATGTCTGGAGTTTCTGATGCCACCAAATTTTATAAAAATATAACCGAAATGACAAAAAGTTGGCTTCATTATCCGTACGATGTAAATAATAAAAATTGTAACAATTTAAATTTATATCAGATTGAATATTTTACGATCGAAGTTATTGGATTTCGTCCAACCATTTCATTGCTACGATTATTATTGGGTCATCCAGATTTCTACCCTAATATTTATCGAAAAATTCAATTGCCTATTCCTGATAACGTCAAGACCTATGATGTTCGAAACGACTGAATTATTTGAAATAAATTAATGTTGAAACATCTTTTTTTCAAAAACAAAATTATTCAATCAAACAAATTAAGTAAAAAAAATTCGGTTATTTTTTGGTTTGTTTAATAAAACGGCGCATGAACTGTTTAAAATGATATTCTGTTTACGCTTTCTAAATCTGCAGGTACATCTTTTGGTATGATGCGCGCAATTTATGATCAAGATGTAAGTGAAAAAAAACTGCGAATCTATTAGTCATACTCAGAACTCTATAAGAAACACCTGGATTCCATTTGAACGATCAGTTAGTTTGCAGAATTTATTTGGATCGGTTCAGTTTTGTTTGTAAACTTAAAACGAAATAAAAATTCCAAATGAATAACGTAAAAAAAATCCAGCAAAGAAAAAGTTTGTTTATTTTTCAAATGATCCATCGATTCGATTATCTTTTGATGAAAATCGATTATTATAATAGACGACGCTATGTTCGTCGATGTCATGAACATCATCATCATAATGAAAATTGGTTGAAATCATGGCTTATTCTAATATTTACAATATTAAATTTAAAATTTCAACATCGTCATGATTCAATATTCCATTGTCATTGCCGTCATCGTCATTCCATACGATTTATTTTATTATCATCATTATCGATTTTATTTTTGTTTGGATTTTATACAGGTTTAATCGAGGCTTATGAATTTTTTCATCATGATCATCATAATCATTATGAACAACAACAGCAACAATTTCAATCGAATCAACAACAAATTCATTTTAGTCCAATCATATCGAATCGTTCGAATCAATCCAACATATTTCGTATAGGTAAATAGTATTATTTAGATTTTCGATTATATTCCATTTCCTATTTCATTTATAGGCTATAGTCGTTTGCTATCAATATAATTTAAATTTTCATTTAATATTTATTTCATATAGGAATTATATTTACCAAACAATCTCATACTGAATTTCATCATGCAATTTTTCGTTACGCAATCAAATATTTTAATAATCGTCAACAACAAACGATACCATCATCATTAAATTCTTTATCATCATCATCATCATCAACAATCAAAAGCCATTCAAATCATCAACAACAACAACAAAATACAATGTATTCTTCTTCGCAACAATTCAATCCACAACCATATAATCATTTGCCTACATCGACATTGACCAACAATGAACATTCATCATCATCATCATCATCATCTACGGTACCATTTCCACAAATAAAATTAATACCATTGATCAGCCATATTGATCATGATAATCCATTTCAAGTGATCCAAGAACGTAAGTTTGACATTATTTCTCGGTTTTTTTTCTCTTTTTTATAATTGTTTGATTTGTCAATCAATCAAATTGAAAATAGATTAAATTTTTTGTTTTGTTTTGTCATGTAAATTTGTGTGACATTCTTTCTTTTCATTCTGATTTGTCAAATTCAGAACTTTTATTTTAAGATTGAAGAAAAAAATTTATTACAAACGTCGTTGTGTTATAATAGTTTTTATTCACAATTTTTTTTGGGTTTAATGAAAAAACAAAAAACTTTCTTTCCATCAAACAAAAGAATCTATGAGAATATGAAAAAAAAGATGACGATTTTTTCTCAACAATCTTGCGTGTTGAGAATTTTTTTTTCATCATTTCTTCTTTCATTCATTTCAAATTAATCATACTTATTTGCCCCTTTTTTTGTTTGTTTGATGTCTTTCATATTCACTACTTTATCAAATGTTTGTGTGTATGTGTGTATGCCTAAAAAATTAATGATATTCTAATTTGTTTTCCGGCAAACGATTAAGGTTTCCTGTTTTTGTCTATATGTGTGGTATTGGGTATGATGTAAATATATTTTATTTAAACTTTCAATACAAACAAGACTTGAATTTTGAATTGGATTTTATTTTTCTGTTCACTTAAAATACACAAACACCTAAATAACTAATTCAAATAGCTAACTTTTTTTTTTTTATCTTTTCTTTTTTTTTAACCCCGAATGGTTAGATGGATAATTTCTATTTGTTAATTAAATTATCACTTTGTTTTCTTTTTCATAGAGTCAGATGAATTCAAAAAAAAAGAATATAAAAAACGACACTGTATAGGGAAAAAATTATGTTCTACATTCTGAAATTCTGATTCTGAATGATGACTAACAGAATAATCAGAAAAACTAGACAAAACAAAACAAAACAAAACATATAACTCTTTTTTTATATTTAACATTTCATTTAGTATAGATTTTGGCATTCTTAATAAAAATGAAACAAAAAAAAAGTGCCAAAACATTCTCAAATGTACACACACACATAAAGTATAATTCTCCGGAGACAAATATTACCTCGACAACTTGCAATGATTAAAACAACAAATGGCCCATCATATATTATTTGTCCGTTGTAAATAAAAATTTATTCTGTTTGTAAAAAAAAATAACCAATATTAATGTAAATGAATACATTTACTACAGCTCATTATTTTTCATTGTTGGGTTGTTGTGTTTGGCCAGGTTAATAATAATGACGATGATGATGATGTTAATTATATAAGATTTAATACAAACAAACAGCCACATATTCCCTTTACATCATTTTAAATTTCTAATTTTTTTTTTTCCTTTTCAAATTCAAATTTTTCTGTTTTGTTTGAATTCTTTGATTCTATTCAATTATTTAGTTAATTATTGATCTTATTGATCATATAGGAAAAAAAAGATATATAATAATATTAGATGATATAATTTGCATGGTGTGTGAATATATTGATGTTAAATTATTAAAAATATTTATCTATTTTTTATGATACGGAAAATCTTTTACTCATAATCAGTGTATCTATTATTACCTTTTATTATTGTATTGATCATCATTAGTAATAAGATTTACTTATTATTACTACACTAATCTATTTGATCTGACAACAACAACAACAACGAAATGAATCTTATCGTATTCCTTATAACAATAGGATTTTGTCATAGTAAAAAAAAAAGATTTGTAAATCTCATTGTGAATAATCATCTTTATTATCTTTAGCAATTGAAGCAAACAAAAGCGAAACAAAAAAAACAACTTATTAGTCAAGACATAAAAATCCATGTATGTTTTTTTTGTTTGTTGCAAGCATAATAATGATACTAATACCATACCTATTCTCATTACTTCTTAATTTGTTCGAGTATTTCGGAAGTTTTTCTAGCATCTCTTTTATTCATTTATTAGTGAATTTGATTCTTTTGATTGTAAATCTAAATCTTTCTCAACATTCCAAATTTGATTTTTTGTTTGTTTTTACGTTTCTGCATTTTTGATAGACAATTTTCCGAAGACACATTAAGAATTGATAATTATTCCCCGGGTTTTTTTTCGTTACATTCATGTTTTTCATAATGTTTTTTTTTCAACAAACAAAAACAAAAATCAGGCAAAAAAAATGAATGTTATGAATTTTTAATCCAGTTCATCAGTGATGTTTTTATTATTTTTTTTTATTCATACAGAAATATCTGACACCGAGATTTATTTTAAAATTTTTTTTTTTTGTTGTTTTTTCTATATATCCCCCCAATTCATTATAATTCATAACAATGAATAATAATTTTGAATATGAAAATTTTTCATAATTTAAATTCACTGCTTCCCGAAAAAAATGTTTTTTTTTTAGTTTTGTTTGGAATTCGTTAATAATCTATATCTGTTGCCTGCTGTATGGTCATTAGATGATTTGAATTTCAAAAAAAAAATTTTTTGATTCAACTACCAAACTGAATAATAAATTATTTCAAATTTCAGTGTAGTTTATGATGGAATATTGTTCAACAACAACAACAAAAAAAACGATGGCACGTTTTTTTTCCTAGACAATGCTAGAAGCAGTACCAAATACCAAACAAACAAAATGAATTCAATTTAATTTGTGCCGCTGAACAATTGCATTCTGGATTTCTTGTTTTTCTTTCATCATTTCAATATTTGTAAAGCAACAATCATATATCAAACAGTCATACAAAAAAAAAAAAAAAAAGAATTTGAATGGCCAAACACTTACAAATTGTGTGTGTATACATGCATAATGCTAATATTTTTCTAAAAATTGAATTCAATTTTTTTTTTGATATTTGAAAATCTGATTAACTAGATTCTACGATTGGGATTTTTTTTTTTGTTCTCCTCTGGTTGCATTAATTAGTTTGACTATAGAACAAACTTGTTCGATTCACATTATTAACATTTTCACTTTTACAAATTTGAATTTGACTTTATCTCTTTACGAAATGAAATCTGATTGAAGACTATGATTTGATTTTGACTATGTTAGACAACATATCTAGACGATCATCATGTAAAAAGGATCATCAAATCAGCTAAATGCAATTGAATTTATTCAAATAACAAATCAATGATCAATGAAATGCAAATACAAAAAAAAATTTCATTAGGCTTGAAATCTTTTTTTTCCAACTTTAATCTTAACATCCAAACCAAGTTGTTTGTTTATTTTTTTACATATATGTCTGGCCTTTGATATGGAATTTTGTTGTTTTTTTTTTCGTTTTTCAAATTTCGAAATACCAAATTTGTTCATTCTGGTCTTGATCACGGAATCTCCCGGGATAAATGTCGATGAAAAAAAACTAAGCAATATCACTTAAGAACGAACACACACACACCAAAAAAAACATTAAAACACCGAGAAAAAAAAGTCATTGAAGAAAATTGTCCAAAATAATTTCGATGAGAGTTAAAAGTTAGTTCCATCAAAATATTACCGGGTGATTGTAAATCATAAATTATTGATCATTTTTATATGGACTTTGTAGACAACAACAACAACAAAAAATGAAAACAGAATTCTGACACATCAGCACTGTCTTTCTATTCTCTATATGTTTTTTATAAATCAATTTTTGATCAATGGATTTAAGAGTTTACTAAATATGTTTTCAATTTTTATTTTAAAAAAATAATAAAATAGTTTGCCTTCAATTAAATCGTGGTGCAATGGCATTGATAATACCACCAAGTGGCCTATTCAATAGCCATCAAACATTGATGGCTTATTCAACAGTATTCAAGGTAATAAACTTTCTTTAAAATCATTTTCTTAATTTTCAATCTTGAAAAATAATTTTACCTTTTTCAATAGTTTCCATTAATATCAACAGCAATGATACCATCATTTTCATCCGAAAATTCTTATTCGAAAATTCCAAAATCATATCCATGGCCATCATTTGAAACATCATCATCATCATCATCATCATCACAACAACACCAGTCATCCACATCAAATCAAGAACGTGATCATCTTTTTAAGAATCGTTTTCGTTCATCATCATCATCGTTTGAATATGGAAACTTTACGTTTCATTTATATCCAGATTTTACTAGAGCAATTGCTGAAACAATCAAATATTATAAATGGCCAAATATTATTTTTTTGTACAATACAGATACGGGTAAGTGAAACAACAACAACAACAACAACAAAATAATCAATATAAAAAAACAATAATTGAATGAAAAATCAGAAAAGTTATAAAGACAATGTTGTTGAAAATGTTGTTTGAAAAAATTCTAATTTATTATGATCATAAAGTGGAAAAAAAGACAATGAAAAATGAAAATTTTGATTTACAGATTTACACACACACAATGATGATGATATGTTTTTTTTAAAGTTGCTTAAATTCAAATATTACACTTACGTGACTATATGGAATTGAAAACGTACACATTTACAACATTCACATTTATCGTTTTTTTTCATTTTTGTTCCCCTACTATGATTCTATGGTTATCTTTTTTTCTTTCTTTCTTTACCTTATGGTTCATCTAATAATCCAATTCTCTTGGTGATTTGATTTTTCAATTTTTTTTTGTTTTTTGTTTTTATTTTTGCACAGCTTAATTGAAAACATTGATAAGAATGCAAACAAACAAAAAAAAAATCCTGAAATCAACATTATCTGGTGTAAACGATTCGTTTTTTTTTTGATTCGAAATGACGATGTTAATGTTATATTCATTGGAAAAAAAATCATGGATATCATTTTGTTGAAAATTTGTCGGTTCTGTTTTTCTTTTATTATTTTGAATCATTTATTTGATGGTGTAAATTTTCATAATTATTTGTTGTTTTTTTGTGTGTTTGTGTGATATGGATAGAATGATATCATTTTCACTGATACATTGAGGTTGGTAATATGTTTTTTTTTTGTTGTTGTTGTTAGTAATGATTGTTGATTTGATGTTGACTTGTATACCAATGGTTGATTGAATTCATAAGATTGGTCTACAGAGATTCTTTCGTTATCTGTGATTCCTATACCGGTTTTTTTTTGTTTAACATCATCTGTGTTTCTTATGTTGATTATTATGAAAATTGCCATGTTACAAGCAAGATAAGTTATACCATATAGAATGGAATTCATTAATTTTTTGTTTTTGTTGTTATTATTTTCAAATAACTTTCTGATTAATCTCGACAGAAAGAAAAAAAAATCAAAATATAACAAGATCCCTAAAGAAATCTGTTTGTACAGATTTCTCTATTTGATTATCAATTTTTTTTCCTATGTTATTTACTTGAAAAAAAAATAAATAAAAGTATTAAGAATCCGTTTTTGTTGTTGTTGTTGTTGTTGTGGTTATTTGATTTAAACAAACACAAAAAAAAAACAACAACAGAAAATTAGCTGAATAAAATTGAACCATATCGTTTGATCAATCGCTTCACTGAATATCATATAACTATCATCATTATCATTAATGTAGTTGATTTTGATATACCTTATTTTTTATGATCACAAAAGAATTCAATGATTTTTTTTTGAAAATAACAAGAAGTGATTTGTGTGTGTGTGTTTTTTTTTTGTTTTGTTTCATTTTCACCATAAATCAATAGACTTCCAATTATTTTGGACAAGATATTCATTTTTTTGTTGTTGTTATATAGACAGGCATAGGTATATTTCTCATTGTCCGACCGTTATTTTCATTTTGAAAATGTGTTTTTTTTCTATGAATTTAATTGATGGATAATGTATGTATAGTTTCGGTTAGATCGAATATTTCGATTTTCACAATAATCAAGCATCATCTGCCAACTGAATAAAACCTAATTTCAACATTTGCCTACATTTTGGTAGGAATAACAAAGACTCAGGGCCGCAAAAAAAAACAACAACTGAACTTATTACATTGTGATATAGTGTTTGTAGTTATGGATCGTTTCATTGATAATTTATTTATTTAGACCATCATAAATCATTCAAAATTATTGTTTGCTGGTTTTTTGGAGAATGAATAAAATCTTATGTTAAAAATAAAATAAAACTTGATCATTTGACATACGTTGCTGTTAAGAAATAAGATTTTCATTAACAAGAATCGACACCTTGCCAACAAGGTAAAAAAAAAACATTTATCTTCGATCTATTCTATAGCACAGTTATTCTTGTATCGTTTCGATTGGGTCATTCTTTTTTTCATTTTTCGTTAACTTTTTTTTGAATGATTTTATCAACCTGAGTTGGTAAAATGAATGGCTGAATCTTGACCAGAAATAAGGAAATTTTTTTTTTGTCAATTTGCGATGACTATCAAAATAATTTATTCCTAAATTGAAACTATTTTGAAGGCGATTGAGGTAAATGAGTATTTTTTTCTGATTGAAAATGCCCAAAAGCTAAATTTTCAATTACTTAAATGATGATGATGAAGGTAATATTGTTTCATCGTTTATGGGATTTTTTTTATAACTGACAACAACATTAATAGATTACTTAACGATTTTTTTTGGTTAAAATAAATAAATAAATCTTGTGATACTTTGTTTGATTGTCAGAATTTTTAAACAAAAATGACCGTTTTGTTTTTGTTTCTGTTTTTTTTCGGGTATATTGATTTCGAGAAAACAAAAAAAAAATACTGAAATGTCCAACACATAAGCTTAATAGAGAGAATTTTTTATGCCGTCAAACTTTTTTTTTGGTTTGTTTCATATTCGTTTAATATATAAAATATTGTATGTTTCGGACAGGTTCACTTCGGTTTCAACATCTAATGCATCATCTTACTGGTTGGTTAGATGACGGACAATGGCATCCAATAGTATTGTCATTGGTACGAAATTTTGATAATATCAATGAAGCTAACCATATTTTACAACAATTGGAATTGAATGAAAGCCATTCACGAAAACATGTCGTACTTGAATGCCGTACAATGGCCGAAGCACGATCGATCATTGTCAATCATGTACGTGATATATTCATAAGTGCAAGAAATTATCATTTCCTCATTTCCAATCATCTATTATCTACTGAAGAATTTTTCGATGACACTATCAAAGAACTTTATGTAATGAATATCACATTGCTTCAATTGTCATCCTCATTATCATCATCATGGTCTACATGGCATTCAAAGTCCAGTAAACTATCTCCATACGATACTATGGACATGATCAATACATCATCAGCCGAAAGTCGCCTTTTTTCAATTTTTTTCCGCTACTTTCATACACAAACGAATGCTGGTGTCGATACGAATGGAACCAGTAATAGCTATCCTAATGGAAATTTCAAATCATCAGCTTCGTTACCGCCACAATTAGAACAGGCTTCAGATGGTCTACTTTTATTTGATGCTATACAAACTCTTTATAAGGCATTTTTTTCAATGTCTAATTCGTTAAATTATGACTTTAATCAACGTGTTCGATCACCGACACCTACAAATACATTGAACTTAACAAATGCTTGTAATTCGATAGGAACTGAGCAATTCATTTCGACACAATTCGGTGACCATCTTCGACAGTTCATTTTGAAACAATATTTAGACGGTCTCACCGGTCCAATTGATTTCGATCGATTCGGACAACGACAAAACTACTCAATCGACATTATTGAATCTGGATTGAATTTAAAACCACACAAGATTGGTAATTGGACTAATCGAGATGGTTTTCGTTTAGATCTGGAAATGATAAAGAAAAAATCAGAAGATTTGGAAAATCTGGAGAACAAAATTTACTATGTTACATCGATTGTCGAAGAACCATATTTGATTGTGAAAAAAAGTCATGGTGGAAAAAAATTTCAGGGCAACGATCGTTTTGAAGGTTATTGCAAAGATCTTGCCGATTTAATTGCTCAACATTTAAACATTACATATGAAATGCATTTAGTAAAAGATTCAAAATATGGTGGAATCGTTAAAAATAATACTAAAGAATGGAATGGTATGGTCGGCGAATTAGTCAGGCATGAAGCTGACATTGCAATTGCTCCTTTGACCATTACTTCAGCTCGTGAACGAGTCATCGATTTTACTAAACCATTTATGTCATTAGGCATATCTATCATGATCAAAAAACCACAGAAAAAGAATCCTGGAGTATTTTCATTCATGAATCCATTGAGCTATGAAATATGGATGTGTGTTATTTTAGCATATGTTGGCGTATCAGTCGTTTTGTTTTTAGTATCAAGATTTTCTCCTTATGAATGGCGCTATGAAGAGACTGTATATGGACCACATGTTTCTAATGATTTTTCATTATACAATTCTCTTTGGTTTGCACTTGGCGCCATCATGCAACAAGGTTGTGATGTTTATCCACGATCGGTTGCCGGTCGAATTGTTGGATCTGTTTGGTGGTTTTTTACATTGATACTTTTATCCACCTATACCGCTAATTTAGCTGCATTCTTAACGGTTGAACGTATGGTGACACCTATTAATTCGGCCGATGATCTAGTCAAACAAACTGAAATTGAATATGGTGTTCTTGCTGATTCTTCATCGATGGAATTTTTTCGGGTAAGTTTTTTCCTTTTATAAATTAGTTTTTTTAAATTCGATTACGAGAAATCATTTCCATCTTTTTTGGATTCAGAGATCTAAAATTGCCGTTCACCAACGAATGTGGGAATTTATGAAATCCCGACCACATGTTTTTGTTGATTCATATGAGGATGGTATACGTCGTGTACGAGAATCGAAAGGAAAATATGCGTTTCTTATTGAAAGTACCAAGAATGATTATGTTAATGAAAGAAAACCGTGTGATACAATGAAAGTGGGAAGGAATTTTGATGCCAAAGGATATGGTGTCGCTACACCTCGTGGATCAATTTTACGGGAAAAATTGAATTTAGCAATATTATATTTGATTGAAAATGGTGATCTAACTAGGCTAGAGAATCGATGGTGGTTTGATCGAAGCGAATGTAAATCGAAAGAACAAAAAGTAATTTATTCATTTTTGTTACCAAAATCGTTTTTCAATATGATTGAACCGATATTGTTATTACATTTTTCTTATTCATATGATTCAGGATACAAACCAATATACATTGACTTTAAATTCGGTTGCCGGATGTTTTTACATATTGATCAGTGGTCTTTTATTGGCAATGATTGTCGCTTTATGTGAATTTATATTGAAAGCTCAACATGATTCAGCCGTTTACAATGTAAGTAATATAAAATGATGAAAACCGATTCTATTTTGACATAATAATAATAATATTGGCCCATAGATTTCATTCATGGAAGCAATGCGTTCAATTCTTTGCATTTCAATCACCGGTAAACCAACTAAAATGATTCGAAATCTACAATTGAAGGTTAGTTTATTCTTTTAAAATATTAATATTAAAAACATAAAGTTATATCAATGGAAATTTTTTTTTTCTCTTTTTTTTCAAATTTGTCATTCATCAATCAACCAATCTATCAATCAATCACAATCGTATTAACCGTAAAAGATAAATCAAGATGAATTCGATACTTCGGCAGCCATCGATGAGCCACCACCGCCAACCTCAATGAATCATTCATTTGAATCAATGTTTCAATAATTTACACACAGAAAAATAAAGTCGTAAAATATACGGCAAAATTCATAACATTTTTGGGTTTTAACGTCATCCACAAAATGTTATGGTTTT